AGGTGGAGGGGGTTGGGTGTAGTCCGATACACGCTCGCTCATCCGAAAAGGAGGAGAAACAGCCGAGAAATCACCAACTCAATCATGGGGGTAAGTATTAGTACATGGTGGCTACAAGTGTATACATCATGTCTCGGTATCTCCGCTGTAGCTCCATGGCGAGAGAATCCCATCCTTTGGCACGATCATGCCATTTTTTGGGCAAGCCCATTGACAACTCCTTTAGATAAATGGGAAGCACTCGGTATTTGTCGTTCTCGCTTACCCTTTTTCTTACCTCCCACGCTGTTTTGACCTGCTTTTTAAATTCTCTCGACAGAAGGTTGAACCTTCCCAGCGCATTGGCAATCTCTGAGTTACCGCGGGGAATGAGCTTGTTAGCGAGTTCATGGCAGGCATACTGCAGCTGTCGTGCTCGCACTGGTAGGCGCATTTCTCATTCCCTCATTTCTTCTGTTTTCCCGTGGTCTGCGAGCCAACCCAGAACAACCGCCAGCCAATAGCCTTCGGGGTCTTGGGGACCGCGAGTGAGTCGCATCATCTTGATCAACAAGCAATGGACGGAGAGAGAGACTGTCCATATCTGCACTTCCTCGTTCCTCCATTCATCACCTCCTACCTCCGAGACGAAGCTGTCATTCTTTGGTGTCAAGAGTGGGGAGAAATCGAGGCCGTCGATGTATTTGACGAAGTTTCGTGCTTCCGACATGTTTTTCCACCTGACAACATCAGTATGAAAGACTAGGCAAGCGCACGACTAGGTAAGTCGCGCCCTTACACAATGTTCCTTGGTTGAGACGGGACAGTCAGATTGTCTGTCCATGATGCTGCATGCAGTGGAAGGAGAGAGTATCTGTCTGAGAAGATGAGCTTTTTGCCGTCTCGCACACATTGGGTGGTGGAGCCTAAACGAACGCTCGCCACACGGAGGCAAAGCACGGAGGACAGAGCAGAGGAGGTTGTCCGATCACCTCCTTGCCCACATACCGTGTAAAACTCTGCCTTTCACCGCAGCGATACCGCAGACAAGGCACGCAAGGAACCACCGAGTCATATGCATCTTCGTGATGTGAGCAGCTACTTGGCAGCTACCTCCAGCCAAGACCCGAAGCTGCAGCGCATTGGAAAGTTTGCATACGGGAACATGCGTTGACCTTCAGCCCTCACCTGGTTTGCTACTCCCACAGGCCCTCGACAGGCCCTCTTGAGACGGGGGCGCGCCGGGGGCGTCTTTGGAAACCCACTCCAGTGCGTCCTGGACCCGCTGTTTGTTTTGGGCTGTTGCCTAACGATGCCTGCATGTGGTGCGCGTACTCATGGGCATTCAAAATCCAATTGTCAAAATCACGTCAGAATGCGTCGCCAGCGAGCTAGCCCATCAAGACACAGAGTTGTCGGTCTCTACGCACCCGCATGTCTGTACACCCCGGGTGGCCACATCAGCTCGCTTCGCACTCGTCGGCAGTCAACTCATCTCCGTCGATTTGGCCTGGTGGCTCAAGTAACCAAGTAATAACGCCCACATCCAGTGGAGGCGCCGAATGTCATCGACCACTGCAGTACTAGTCATTTGGCATCTCAGCTTGACGACCGACGCGCCACGAGGAAGCCGTCAGAGGGCCAAACGGACCGCATGCAACTCAAATCCCACGTCTGTACACGTTCTCACGCCGCGGTCGTGCTGACTCATGTCATCGTCAGGCTCCCCTCGCCTCTCCATCAGATGGGGCCATCGCCTCACCGCCACTACCACCGCACTCCTCCCCTCCTGTCCTCTTCTCTTTGTCCGCAGGCGACGGCTCTTCCGCGGCCCTCCTGTCCCCGCCCCTCAGGTCCCTCTTGCTGCTGATGGTCTGCTGCGGCTGCGATGCTCCCGATGACGACGCCTCCTTGCTGCTGTCACCGTTGTTATTGTTGGTATTGGTGTCGTGGATTATCGTCACAGGACCATCGTTTACCAGGTCAACTGACACACGACACGGAGGGCAGACGGGCCGCTTTCTGTTCCGTAAGGTGCGATGGGATGGGTGTGGTGTTTGTGTACCTTCCATCATGGCCCCGAACACCCCATCTTTGATCCGCTCTGGCTTGTGCTGCTGGCGGAACAATTCGACAATCTCCGCGTAGAGCTCCTTTGCCGCATCGCCGCCCATGGCCAGGTGGAAGTCGGGCTTGTTGCCCTTCTTCATCGTGCTGCACGCAGCGCAGACACAGAGTGAGAACGGCGCCTGGATTTGTCACACGTCGCTGCGGCGTGCGCTGCGTTACCCGTAAAGCGTGAATTGCGATATGACGAGCACCTCATAGTCGTTATCCAGCACTGAAGAAGCCCAACTCCTCTGGGGATTGGACGCATCTGGTTGACACACAACAGATCAAGATCTGTGCATGAGTCGAGTTGTGGCCGTCGTGTGTTCTTGCGCACCAGGCCACAGCCGTGCCCTGAGGCACTTCTTGACGAGGGAATCGCCCTCTGTCCTGCACACATGACACACAGAAGGGCGCATTGCATCGACGTGCATATCTATCTTGGCGCTCTCATGACTCATTCGCCACGTTGGTTGGTTCTGTGCGGACCTTGTGTCGGTGGCTGATATGCCGAGGAGCAGGACGAGGCCGCTGGAGATCTGGCTGACCACTTTGTTGTCCACAGACACTGACGCTGAATGCAGAAACACACCCAAAGCATGTGCATCCCTTCGCCTGGAGTGCTCCTTCCTGTTATATATCGGTACCTCGACTGACCCGCTGAATCACCACACGCATTGCTCCAGCGGGAGAAGGAACTTTTGCGAGCCGCGGCCCATCCTGGCGTGCAGATCTGAGCCGGTTGTCAAACCCGCCACTCTCAGCAGCAGGGGGTTCGTAGGGTATTCATATCTCAAGTAGGGTGAGGAATTCGATGGATAATTGTCTTGCAATGGGAGTCGCAGCGCATGCACGTCTCGCCAGGCATCCTCCATGAAGGGCGTACGCAGCCAAGTCTGCTCTAGCGAGTTTGGTTGCACCTACACCCTCACTGATGTCAATGGCGAGATCTGCAGGCCTGCTTGCTGTCTCCCTCAGACAGACAGAAAGGCACCACACAAAGCTGGGCTGGTACATACAGTGAGCTGGCAGACGGACCTCTCTCTGTGTGATCGATGAGAAACACACACCCATCCTGTCCTGTCCAGGAAACATTGCACGATCCCAGAGGCGCTTCTGACACTGCAGCATGCTGCCTGGACGGGGCTGGCTGGTTTGCACACTCTCATCTACCACCACACGCCGCAAGAAAGGAAGGGTCACCGAAGGCTGGCTGGACTCGCATACCATACACTTAAACCGAGATGCTTCAAAAGCAGGACAGGACCAGTGCACACCACGGACAGACAAACAGAGAAGCAGAGGCTGGCTGGCGCGCACGCAAGCAAAGAAGCACCCACCCGCTTATGCAGCCCCCGGCTCTCTCCCTCGCCCTGTCCTCCTGCGTAACGTCTGTACAACGAGGCCAACACGATTTCAGGCGCCGGCCGTTTGGGTGGCGCATCGGCTGGCCTGCCTGCTATCAGAAAGCTATCCAGTCAGTCAGCCAGCAACGAACAGGGCCTGCCTCGCTAGTTTCTGGCTCGCGTAGTGTACATTCCATTCATTCATGTTTCTGTCGCGTCCTTCATTCCTTGCCTCCTTCGAGCCGGAGCTTCTTCTTGATGTGGTGCGGCTGCGATTGGTCGGTGTCCGCCGCCTGCAGCCCCGCCCCTACCTCCTCTATGGCTGCGCGGGGAGGGCTGTGCATCGACGTGTCCTCCTGGGCGGCAAGTGGTGCGTCGCCGGCGGCGGCTACTGTGGCACCTGCCGGCAGCGACAGACCAGGGGAAACCGCCTGAAAGCGACAACAGCACACAAGAAGACAATGGACATTTAGGACACTTAGCTGTGGTGTTTTGGCTCCTCTCTTGGCGTCTGTCTATCTGACCTGTGGCTGTTGGCTCTGGTCTCTCTGGTCGGTGTCCTGCGCCATGGGCCCGCTGCCATTGGCCCCCTCCCTCCCCTCCACACCATTCGCCAGCCCCCCAGCACCAGCAGTACCCCCCGGCTGCTGCCCCTGACCTCCCTCACCGCTGATCCTGCGATGGGAGGAGATCTTCATCGTTATCACACCAGCACCCCTCCTGGCCACTGCACTGGCGCCTCGGGAGATGGGCGACCGGCTGCCGGCCGGGCCGCCGCCCGTGGCGAATACGTTTTCGAGTCGTGTGGGTGCGGCAGCGGGTGGCTGTGGTGAGGTGACGGGTGGGCCCTCGGGGGCGGTGGAGAGGGGCTGTGGGTGGGAGGGGGGAGAGGCCGGGGGGGCCTGGGCCTCCTCATCATCGTCGTCGTAGTCACTCATCGCAGCACTGAGGGAGGAGCCCACAGCAGGCAGACCACGCACAGCACACGACATCCATTTAGATAGACCTGTTGGCGCGTTCTGCCCCCCCTTCGTTGGTAGCATGTGTGTGCGTACCGCAGTGCATCTTTGCTGCCGGCGATGGTCCGTTCCGGCCTCTGCTGCTGCTGCTGCTGCTGCAGTGGCATGGGCGGGACCTGTGGCGGCCCCCTCTTGGCCGCACCCAGCCCCATACCGGTCCTCATGATGCTCTGCGAGGGCGATGGAGGCGACACATTCATGACCTCGGCCGACTCGCCAGAAGGTGGCTGCTGGGGCGGGGATGAGGCGGCAGCTGCGGCTGCTGCTGTGCCGGTGGTGATCTCGGGTTCTTGCTCGGGTTGGCCCTCCACGATGGGCCCCTCTATGTTGGGCTGGTTGGGGCTCTGGACGTCCTCGTCGTCCTGCTCCAGCCAAGCGTCCTGCTCCTCGTCCTCGCGCGCCTGACAACATGACAGAACAACTTGTGTGTGATGGTTGTTTTGGTTTGGTGTGCGTAGGTGACGTACGAGTCGTCTTGAGCTGATTGAGTCGCTGTCTCTGTCCATGGCTGATGTGTCGCGCCCCAGCGGGTGTGTCTTGGGTGGGAACTCCTCGACCTCCTTGCACTTCTCCCAGTCAATCAACAGTTGCTGCAGAAAGTGAGTGCAGGCAGACATACGGACAGACAGACGTGGGTATGCAGCACCAGGCCCGTCCCGTGTTCTCTTCCTCTCGTCACACACGCCCCGCACCTCGTATATCTTGGTGTTGCCGGTCAGCTTGGCGCGGTCGGCCAGCTGCTTCAACAGGTCCTCATATTGAGACCCCTACACACACACACCCCACCAACATACACACCAGCCCATGACATGTGGATGGCATCCCCGTGTGCCGACAACATAACATGGTCTCTGTCTGTGTGTGTGTGTGTGTCTGTGCGCACATACGAGGTATGTGATGAGTTCCTTGATGGGGGGGTTGGAGCAGTGGATGAACTTGAAGAGCTCCAGGATGGCCGACTCGAGCAGGTTGCCCATCCCCCCACTGAACCGCGACAAACCGCCCTGGTCCTGACACCACCACCACGTCGTCACAAACACACAGGTGCGCGTCCCGTCTGACTGACATGTCTGTGTGTGTCTAGGTACCCTGAGTAGCTCCATCATGGGCCGCAGCACGTCGTTCTTGGCGAAATATCGGTAGTAGAACGCATCCTGACCCACCCACCCACACACACGCACATACACACACACACTCCTCCTTGCCCTCCTTGGTTCTGGCGTCTGTGTGGTTTGGTTGCCTTGGTGTCTACGATGGCCCTGATGAATCGTATGGCGGCGAGTACGAGGTGTTTCTCCCTGGCCTTGGCGAGCTGCATCACCTTCTTGGCCAGATCCACACGCAAGATGTAGTACTTGATGCGGTAACTGACACACACACCACACACACCACACCACACGATGACGACGAATGACAAGTCATTGCGTTGGTTGCTCTGTCACTTACGAGTGCTTCTTGACGATGAAGGCAAGGATCTCGCAGATCTGCTGCTTGGCAAACACGTAGTTCTCCTCCTCACCTGGTGCCACAAACACCGTGGGTGTGGGTGGTGTGTGTGGTGGTACCCCTCCCTGTGCGTCAGTCAGTTAAGAGTGCGCGGCTCACTGACTTTGTGTGTGGAAGTGCGTCTTTGGTCTGAGGATGGGCTCGATGAGGACCTCCATGACGCCCTTCTCGTAGAACAACGTCAGGAAGTCGTCCTGCAACACAACACATACACACAAGCTTGATGACACGTGCCACGTGGCATGGCAGGTGGGGACCTGCGTACCTTCTCGGGCTGCTCCATGTTGGACGTGTCGAGCACGTGACGAAGCACCTCACCCAGCTGCACCGCATCAGAACACACCCTGGTTGCGTGTGTACCTGTCTGTCTGTCTGTCTGTCTGTGAGTTCCCTACCTGTGACTGTATGCCCTGGTCCTGGTTCTCAATCATCAGCCGGCACAGGAGGGCGAACGAGTCGGTGTCGGTCTCCATCGAAGTACGACCGCCGCCGCCCACCATCGCCTGACCACTTGACGCAGACCTGCACACACACAAGACATCACACTGCATCCGTATCGGCAAACCTTCGTCCCTCTGACCTTTGTTTGAGGAAGTTTCGGTAGAGTCCGGGCATGGCTGTGACGGCCGCCTGGATGATCTCCACAGCGGCCGACACAGGATTGGTGGACGGCCGCTGCAGCACATGCGCAACCGTCGGGTGGGGGGCGGCGCCGTACGTCAGCTTCGACACGGGCATGGGTGGTGACGAAGCGCCACCACCACCACCAGCGGCAGCGGCAGCTGCTGCTGCCGCAGGGGGCGTACCGTTGACCGACATCTGAGGCACCAAACAAAGGAGCAGATTGCTCCAGGACATCCATCAAGACCTCTCCCTCCCTCTCTCCCTCTCTCTCTCGCCCACCTGTCCACTACTGTGTTGTTCGTCGGTTTTGGCGCTTCCCGCTGCGGCGTTGCCGTCCGTCACCCCCTGTCCACTACTAAGTGGGTGTGGCTGTCCGGTGTGGTCCCTCTGCTGGTCCTCCCTGGTCTTGGCCTCCAGCGCCATGAGTCGCTCCCACTGTTGGTATCCGTTGCACGACTTGCGGAGGTACTCCTCGAGGGCCTCGAAGATGTGTCTCTGGTTGAGGGCGTTGAACAGCTGGCTCTTCTCGTTGGGCATCATCTGCCGGCACATGGCCACCAGCGAGTTGATCCACAGCAACGCGTCGTAGTTGTCTGGCAACGCCCTGATGCACACACAGGGAGAGGCACGTCCGTCCTCGTATCGTATCGGGGTTTCTTTCTTTGTGTCTCGGTGTGTTGATCGGTCCTTCACTTGAATATTTCAGCTAGGTGTCCCTTTGAGTCGTCGATGCTCTGCGCCAACAGATCCAGCTGCTGCTGACCGGCCAGCTGACACACACACAGACAAACAGACACACAGACATGAGGATGTGTAGTGCTTGATGGTGTGGTGTGGTGTGGTGTGGGTTGACTGACGTTGGATATGATGGCCAGGCACTGGTCGTCCAGCACTCGAGCCAAAGCCACATCCTGCACTCACACACACACACACACACATACACACATACACACACGGCGCCTCATTTGTCCATCAGTGTGCCTGGCAGCGGTCTCTCTCCCCCTCCCTCCCTCGGCTGTTTGGTGTGTATAGCTACCTACCTTCAGGTAGCACAGCCTGAAGTGTAGGTGGATTTGCTTCCGGAACTCGTTGTCGGCGATCTGCACCGGCTGCACACATTCATTACACACACACACACACAAATCCATCCGCACAGTACTTAGGTAGGTCTGTGCGTGTCCTCCCTGTGATGTAATGTGATGTGATGTGGTTTGTTGGGCTAGCTACCTCGACCAGGTGGCAGTTGTCCTTGATGTAGGACCTATGCCGGATGCGCCTGTCGTCCGGGATGCCCTCGTCGTCTGAGAGAAGAGAGGGAGGCAAGGCAACACACAGCCGCACCGCACACACAAGAGGAGTGAGTGGTGTGTCGAGGTGGGTGGCCCTTGTCTGTCTGTCTGTCTGTGTGCGTACGTTCTAGGATGCCGAAGGTCTTCTCGTAGTGTTCGTCGTCGAGCAGCAGGTTAATCAACTCCTTCGAACAGGTCATCACTGATCGACACCATACACACCGACAGACACACACAGGGAGGGGCCTCTGAGTGGGTGTTCTGTGGACGGACTGGCGGTCGGACGGACGAGCATACCCATTTTCTTGACGATGTGCCACAGAGTGGTGAGCTTGTCCCTCAGTTCCAGGTCCTCGGCGTCCTCAAACACACGGTACAGCTTGTCCAGAAACGTCTACACACAGACACACACACACAGAGAGAGAGAGAGAGAGGCCGATAGCTACATAGAGGATGCTATCGGCCTGCATGTGTGTACCGCGTTCATGCAGTCGCCGATGACCTGCTCGCGCTTGGCCTGGAATGCCACCTGCACACACACGGCACACACAGATAGATGCATGTGTTCGCCCCTCTGTGCACTGTCCGTCGGCAAGTGGGCCGTTGTTCTTATCTTACGTCGTTCTCGAGGTGGTTGCATATCTCGTTGAGTGTGTCGAGGGAGGGTAGGGGCAACACGCTCAACGGCACCGTGTGGGATGCGTCTGGGAGGGAGAAGAAAGGAGCTCACAACCGACACCTACCTGTTGGCTGCGTGAGTGTGCTCCATGGCCTGGCCTCCACCATGTCTTTCTGTCTGTACCTGGGTGTGAGTGGGGCTGGATTGCCCGCTGGATGAAACTCCTGCACCACACGCAGCATAGCCAGCCACAGTGAGTACGACCACATCCACACTCGTTCTGTCGCCCATATGCTGGCCCCCCCTGTCGCGTACCAGACTTCGTGACAGCCCGCCGGTTGCTGGAAGGAGAGGGCCTGGTAGGCGTCCGCACCCCCCGTACGCTTCGGCTCCTGCCACGTGATGATCGTGTCTGAGGCAAACACACACACACACGCATGGAACAAGTACGGGCCATGAGAGGATCCTGAGTCCACAGCGTGTGTGTGTGTGCGTGTGTGTGTCTGCACTGCACCTTTCTGGTGTGTGTAGTTGTGCGACTCGTCGACGATGGAGTTGAGTAGGAGGTTGCCCTGCTCCTCGCCCTTGACCGTTATCTTAAACTCCTGCACACACAGATCGAACCATCACACAACACACACAACACACATGACGACAGTGCCATCAACAAAAGCAACAGCAACATGCACCAACTCGTCTCGATGCAATCAATCACCCCGTGCGCCTCTCTGCCCTCACTGTCCTTCCTTCCTTGCTGCTGTCTGTCTGTCTGCTTTCACCCCCCTCACCACCTCCCTCAGCTCACCCGTCCGTAGGTGTCACAGATGACGTGTCCGGTTCCCCTGTCCTTCCATGCCCCCGAGTCGGCATCCAGCTCGTACAGCTTGACTCGCTTCGAGGCGGCTCCCCCGGGAGTCGTGTCGTCCACATCCATCGGCTGCCCGTCCATCGCAGTAGCAACCAACACCACTCACCGCAGCACGACAGATGAATCAGATCACACACAAACTGGCGGTCCTGGTGGCGACGCGCGCCGAGTAGGAGGGAGGTCTCTGCTGGACGACGACGCTCGTGGTAGTGCTGGATCTGAGATCTACAGGCTGATGAGTGATGCGCATGCAGCCGCCGAGCAGCTGAAGGGTCGCTGGCAATTGGAGAGGCGTCTACAGCACCCGTGGGCGTGCCGGAGAGCCTGCGAAGGCACAAAAAACGAACTTCTCTCGGAAAGCGATCGGACGTTGCGAGCTACTTGGCGGAGGAGGGCAAAGAGGGAGGGACAGCCGTGTTGCCTTTCTAGCGCAGCACGTTGCCTTGGAGAGCACCTGGCTTTGTGAGTGCCAAAAAGCCTTGTGAATGTCCACAGGAGAGCTGGGCTCTTGAGCTCATCGGGTTGCGCATCGCATCGCTCGTGTGCGGCATGACAACAGTCGGCATGTCAGATCTCTTCTCGACGTACCAAGAAGACTTCGGTGAAAACAAAAAGGGCGACGGGGGAAGGAAGAATGGCTTGTGTGTGTCCATGGTTGTCTTGTCAGACCGTCTTATAGTGGAGGTGGAGGGCAAACTCAAGATCCTCAACAACTACGAAGGTCAACTTGAAGGCCGGGGGACCGCACAAACACGGCCCCATGTGTGCCATCGACTCCTCTGTCTGTTGCCGATTGTGTGTGTCTGTATGCACCAGATTCGACGTCAGACCTCCGGCAGGCCATCGCAGACTGCCAGAAATTCATCCAACAGGCAGAACAGAACGTATGCCAAGAAAGGACAAGCGCAGCATGTTGGCCCTCAGGCAAGTGTGTGTCCATGTGTGTGTGTGTGTGTGTGTGTGTTGATTTGGGGTGTGTTCAGTTGCGGCAGATGGAAATGGAGTGCCGCACCCTGCCGGCGTCGACAGCACCACACATCGCCGAAAGTGTAAGTGTGACTCACACCCCAGCAGATGACATGAGTGACCAACTCAACTCATCCATCGCCCATGTGCGTGCCTGTCTGGTCTGTCTGTAATGTTCAGATGGCCAGCCGGCGTACGAATCTGACAGAGCTTTCCCAGGAGTTTCAGAATGCGAGGACAGACCTCGAGAGAAAGGCACTGCTGGGGCAGAGAGGGGGCAGGGGAGGCGCATTCGAGATGAATGGACGTACGTAAGAGAGAGAGGGCCAGGGGGGCAGGGCAGGGCAGGGCAAACACACACGGGAAAACAAACATGTGTGTGTGTCTTTGTTTGTGTCAGTGGGTAGTGGATCTCACGAGCACCGTCAGCGGTTACTTGACGCGCGGAACGGACTCAGGCAGGGCGTCGACCAGCTGGAGGTACACACACAGATGGATGGACACCAACCAGCACACCATCGTATGGTGGGTGCCATCTCTGTGTGTGTGACGGTTCGGTTCATGCCTCACTCACTCAGGAGTCGCGTCGTTTGGCGCTGGAGACCGAGCAGATCGGTGGGGAGATACTGGGGGACCTGAGGTCACAGAGGGAAACCATACTCAGGACCAGACATAACGTAAGCAAGGATGGATGGATGGATGCTATGGGCGGGGTGAGGTGATCAATCCTCTCTGTGTGTGTGTAGTTGTCTGACGTGAGCTACAACCTGGATTGGGCGAGAAGAACCATCGCAAACATGGTCAGTCAGACAGCCACATACATACACACAGACAGACAGACAGACACACAGACAGACAGACACCGGTCCATCCATCGTACTTGTCTGTGTCGCGTGAGTCAGGGTCGGCGTGTGGTGGCGAACAAGATCTTGCTGTATTCGATCATCGGGGTGTGTGTGCTGGCTATCATATTCATCATCTACTGGAAATTCGCGTGAGGCACAACCGATTCGAGAGAGACAGAGAGAGGCGGCTGTGTGTGAGCAACGCGATCGAGTGCATTGCGCTGAGATGATAAGAGGAAATGAGAGACGGACGGACGAGTGTGTGGGGGCAGGTCCCTTTATGGTGAGGGCCGCCTCTCAGTCGTGAGTGCATTGGCTGGCATCTTTTGAGTTTTGGTTGCACCAGAGCCACAGTGCTATGAATAATGGATGGACTCATCACATCACATGGAGGGTGAAATGAATGCCAATTGAGTATCCCGCGGCCACCCACTTGAGTGTCGAAAAGCCTGCTGCTGTCAGGCGTTCTTGCAGTTATTCGTCACTTGTGTTGTGTGTGGAGGGGTTGATGCGTTCGTTCATTGCGTTGCTCCCTATAGGTCGGATGAAAGCCGACAACAATGTGGCGAAAGAGACAGAGAGAGGCGGTCAAGGATAGGGGAGTGGTGATGCTCAGCTGAATCTCATGATGACACACACTGCACTGCTCCTTCTACGATTCATGATGTGTTGAGCGGTCTCATCCATCCCATGTGGCGTGTCCCTATCCCTCCCATGCACCGCCATGACATGAAACATGTATGCAGTCACGTGTGCACCCGACGTCAGCCACCCGACCACTGTCTCACTCCATTTAGAGTGACACTGACAGAGGTGCCGACACACGCGCCACACTAACACGACACACTAACGACACACAGATACATAACAGATAGATGTGTCTACATGATGCATGTGTGCACTCTGCCTGCCTGTCTCCCCCCGTCTGTCCACGTGCAGTGCATGCCCTATACGCGTCGCTTCTTTTCCACGAATAACAGGTATGTGTCCAGATGGGCAGATCTCTCTGCCTTCCATGTGCATGGTCCATATGTATGAAGGAAGAGACGGACACACACACACTAGGAAAATGAACCGACAAACAGCGACACGTGTCCGCAGCGAGCATGACACTCGATGCGACGAAAAATACATACAGTCCAGCCATGCAAACCATCACGAATACGTGGAACCATGACACACCTGACGAAAAGAAAAGCTGGTGAATTAAGACAAACAGAAGAGATGACCCACACGATCTGTGCCACTCGCCTAATCTCCACATGAACAGCATACCACAAATACACAAGACCAGACCATACCATATCAGACGAGGAGAAGAGCGGGTGGTTCATAGTTCACAGGGACAGAGCAGATCTCACGAATTCATCGTGCTGCCACGATAGAGGCGGCATGCACGGCACAGTCGTCTACCAGCACCCGAAGTAGCAGTACCAACGCCGGCAAACAAATCCACAGGGCCTTGCTACGGGTAGCTCATCTGACAAATAAGGATCAAGAAGAAAGGCTGAGAAAGCAAAGCATGCGTTGTCGGTGCATTGCTTACCGTGCTGGGTCGTGGATGCGGGTATGTCCTTGGCCTTATAGACAGTGTGTGTGATGTCATCGGTGACATGGTACACCGTCTTCTCCAGCCCGCTGCTCGCCATCAGCTCGCTGATGTCCTCGCCATTGTCGATTCTCGCGGCCAGCCCCTCACCAAAGACTTGCTGCTGCTCTGTCAGGCTGCCAGGCTCATTCTTGAGGTTCTCAGCTTGGAGATACAGCTCCGCCACCGCCTTGAGAAGCTCCGTGGGCTTGCCGGTCACCACACCGACGACAGTCGGCGCAGGGATGTACTCCTCCGCCTCCTCTGCAGAGCGAAGGAAGAGACAAGCAATGTGAACGAGAACGAATGTCTCAGGTCGTGCACACACCTCACCCACCCACCCACCTGCAGGCGCCAGTTTGCGGAGCTGGCAATGCGCGATGCCAGCGAGGGCAAGGAGGACGAGCAGCCCAAGCACACGCACCATTGTCGTCGTGAGTGATCGAGGAGGCGAAATGGAGGCGAATCGATGGATGGAAAGATGCGCAGAGAGGGAACGAACGAAGGCAAGGAGGATGTGGAGGCGCTGGGGCAGAAGCAGGTGAAGGCCGAAGGGATCCTTCCGTTACGGCCATCCTTCTGTTACCCCGCGGTCTCTCTTGTGTTAGCGCTCGTTCACCATTGACTTTCGCTTCGGAAGAGGGCAAACGTGAAACCGATGTGTAAGCTCGCAGGGACGAACCGGTCTCGAAAAAGGCAGCTGATGCTCTCTCGAGGCCGTTGAGTTGCTGACTGTATCGCTTTTGATAACGTTCATTGAAGTCTGCGCCAGCCGTCCTTGCCGATCCCTTGTCCCTTCGTCGAGCGAGTGCGAGACCTTGCGCCGCCATGGCGGACCGTGACGAGTACGCGGGAGGTGCCACTGGCACCAAAGATGCGGGGAGGGCCACTGGGCATGGTGAGAGGGGATGACTGCACTGTACGTCCGTGATGCTCGTCCATGGGTTTGCAATGGGATGCCTTTGCGCTTGCGTATGCGTTATCAGGTGGTGATGGCATCATAAGTTCCGGCGCATCGGATTTGATGGGGAGCCACCTGGCAGCGTACGCTACAACGACAAATGAGGCACTGCACCATCCCATTCCACCGGTCTGTGTGCCTTTCGTTCTTCAGTGCCAGGGCCCACAAGGCCGAGGGCAACAACCTGATGGCCAAGAAGGCCCCCAAGGCGGCGCTGACGGAGTACAAGAAGGCCATGGAGGCACTCGAGTCGGTCAAGTCCGTCGACATGAAGTCGTGGATGGCCCACACCGAGGAGGTGCAGCAGCTCACCATGAGCGTGTGGAGCAACTCGGCCCTGGCCAGCCTCAAGGCCGACTTGCTGGACGAGGCCCTCACCTACACCGACCTGCTGCTGGCCCACGATGATACACACCCGAAGGTGACCACAGCACAACGAGAGATGAATGCATTCATTCATATGTGTGTGTGTGTGTGTGAATGTGTCTGCAGGCGTTGTTGCGTCGCGCGTGCGCCCGTCGGCTGTCTGGCGACTTCGATGGCGCCGTGGCCGACCTGCGCAAGCTGAAGGCGTCACACGAGAGCTACGGCAAGGAGGCCGACGCCGAGATGGCCCTCCTGGCCCACCGCATGCAGCAGCAGAAGGCCAAGGAGCACCAGGTGGGCAGACACCGATCTGGACGTGACGCGTGTGTCGTGTGCGTATGTGTGTGAATGTGGTGTGTCTGTGTGTTGGCTCCAACAGCTCTACGGTGGCATGTTCGAGAAGATGTCGTTGTACGGGAGTCCTAACGAGGGAGAGGGGGAGGGGTCTGAGGAGAAGGATTGGCTGATGACGGAGCAAGATAAGAGCCTGATAAAGCTGGGTATGGGGTATGCCTTCCGCCCCGCCAAGGCGTCCAAAGGCACAGAACACACCATCGGTCAGTGGCACTGCCTAACAGAAACACCTTCTCACTCTGCAGATCCGTTCCCTCTCCTCTCTCCCTTGTGTGTGCAGAGTTGCCACCTCTGCGTTTCGACGACCAGCCATCGGACCACCAGGCGGCGGGCAACGGTGCGGGCGTTTTCACCGTCGGCTCGGCCACCGCCACCACCGAGGGACGCACCAAGCGTGCCTCCCGCCGTCTGTCGGCTCGCCCGCTGCACTGCGTAAGCACCAAGACGCCCAACCTGCCCACCGTTTCGAAAGGTGAGTGGCCTTCTATGTCGTCACACACGAGATGGAAGTGCGAGACGATGCGGCATGTGTATGTGTGTGTGCAGAGAGTGTGTTTGTGTCTGGCGAGGACCAGCGTCTGCAGAAGGAGGACACCGAGACGGGCAGCGAGCCGACGACCGAGGACGGCACGCAGGGAGGGACCCAGCAGCAGACGGGCTTCTGGGGCAAGGTGTGGTCGTTCCTCTTCCCGGAGGGCATGTGCTGCGGCTGGTGCCGGGAGGGACACACACACAACTAAACCAACACACACTCACAGGTAGCAAACCCCCGGCAGACGGACAGACTGATAGGGACAATAAGGGGGTTGGGATGCATTCTCTCTAACGGCCTGGGTGTAAGGTTGGGTGTGAGAGAACCAGAGAGATATGGCTGATATGAGTGTTTGGTCTGCCTGCCAGCCAACGGTTTGTGTGATGGTGTTTTTTTCCAACATCAGCGAACCGTTACGCTGTGATGTCTCTGTCACCCCCACCCCCACCCAAACGTATCAGACTGACACGCGTACCTCTTTTTTGGTATGGCTCGATTTGTCCCGCTCTTTGTTTGTGATTTGTCGTCGTTTGACTGCCCTGCGTGTGCTGATTGTCGTGTGTGTGTGTATGGTGTGAGTATCTTGTTTGGTCTGTCTGCCCCGCCAATTTGTGAGTGCGTCGTGTGGCTGGTTCCGCTCATTTGTCGTCTGCCCGGGTGCCGAGTGACTGACTGTACGGTATCTTTCCTTCCATCCACCACTCATCCCTACCCCCTGCTCCCAGCACACACGAGGGCTGGCCGGGCTGGATCAAACACACACGTCAGGACAACACACAGTCGGGCAGGTGTAGGTGTCCGCATGGTGCTGTATGCCGCAACAGACAAACAGACAGACAGACAGATTTGCTGGCTGGCTGGCTGGTTGGTCGGATGGATGCCGCGTGTGGTGTCTGTCGTGGCGTTCATAATGTCGTCGTCGATCGGTCGGTTCTCCATCTTTTGTGTTTCATCTGTTGGGCGTCGGGGGCACTCGGTGTGTCGGTCGACTGTGCTTATGGTTGGGGGGCTTGCTGTCGTCCGTCATCCTTTTGGAAGATGTATGTGTGTGGCAGAGGTGGATGGATAGCTGTCGTCGTTTGTCGGTCGGTCTTTTTTGTCACCGCAGCGCATTCCCTCGCCAGTCAGTCAGTCCACCACTGCTCTGACCTCGCAGTCTCCAGGAGTAGCGGGGGATCGATGGGCAGCGGTGGACGGGCCGGGCGGGGGCAATGCAATCAGTGCATTGCCTGTTGTGTTGTGTTTGGGTTGATTCGATTCCCCCCCACCCGTCGTACTACAGTCAGTCAGTCAGCCCATCACTGCTTTTTGCCTTCCTCTGGCCGCTTCCTTGAAGAGCTGAGGAGAGGGGCAGTGATGCACACAAATACAATCGGTCGGATGGGGAGGTTGGGTGGTGTCGTGGGGGTGGGTGGTGTCGAGGGGTTCTTTTCTGTCGTCGTCGGCCGATCGGTCAGTCAGTACTGCTGCTTTGACCTCGCAGCTCTTCCGGAGTAGTGGGGCATGGAAGGGCAGCGGTGGACGGGCCGGGAGGGGGCAATGCAATACGTGTTGTTGTCGTTTGTTGGTACCCCCACACCGCCTTACTACAGTCAGCCCATTGCTGCTTTTTCCTTCCTCTGGCCGCGCCCATGGCGAGCTGAGGAGAGGGGCAGTAATGGAGACCAATACACGGGGTTGGTCAATGGGTCGGACGGAGGGATGGGTGGGGTGCCGCGTATGGTGTCGTGGGGGTCTTTTTGTCGTCGTCGATTGATCGTTTCCTTTCTCCGTCTTTTTCGTCCATCGGTTGGGGGGTCAGGGGAACTCGATGTGCCGGGTTTTCTTTGCCATTTTGTGGACTCTGTGTGGGTGGGGGGCACTTGACGGCTGATTGGCTTTTTAGTCTTGACTCGTCTTCTTTTTGCGGAATGTGTGAAGTGCCATCATGCCTTCCATCGCCTCGTGTGGCAGACACAGACAGGCGACCATACAGTCAGTCAGTCTGCTCGTCTGTCTGTGTGTCTGTCTTGCCCTCACCTCGCCCCCCACACCCACACATAGCCAAGCCCCTCTACTAGACAGACAGCCAAGACAGCCGAGTTGAGCCCAGCCCCCTCTCTCTCCCTAGTACAGACGTTTCCATGTGTGTATTGTCTGTGTGTGTCGGTATGGGCGGCGTGCCAAGCACCCACCCCGCCAAACTACTTTGCTCACAGACAGACAGAATCAAGGGGGCGGTGTAGTCTTATCTACCGCTGCGTCCGCTGTGTGTGTGTACTGGATGGCTGTCTGTCTGTCGGTCTGTCTGTCTGTGGCAGAGTGGCTGCGTGCGAGTGACGTGTGCGCGTAATGGGGGCGGTTTGCGAGAGCGAGGCGGATGATATGCGTCTGTCTGATGGCCGGTGTACACTACCACACACACTTATATCTTAGATGGGATCCCTCACAGCCATGGGGGGGTGGGGTCGTAGATGCGATGTGTGCGGCTCAGCGTGCTTGATGGAGCGAACTAGTCAACATGTATGGATGGACGGATGGCAGACTGATCATGTCATGCAAAGCCAATTGCGTGACCATGATACGGGTGTATGAGCGGATATGTGGGATGGCTGTGAGGCGAGAACCGACCAGTGTGTGAGTGTGTGTGTGTGACCACGTGTGTGGACTGGGTGACGATGAGTGGGAGACGGGGTTGTGCATGTGTTATGTAAAGCGGACACTTCTTCTGCGATGAATCAATGACATAAACCGACTTGATGGACTAACGATAGTACACGCGCGGTTGTGCTGCCCCCGATGTGCGTGCGGTTTGTCGGCCAGTTTTTCCATCTCGAAGGTGCTGCCCTTAGGGGGCGGCGCAGGCCAATCAGTACCCACACAGGAGCCCAGAACGGACCTAGTGAGCGACTGACGTGTGGTGGTGTGACACAGGCCAATAGAGGGAGGGAGAGAAATGAGATAGAGGACATGGTTTTATGAATATCGACATATATACGCTTCTTCTGGCATGGATGAGAACGCTTGACACACGGATCACATAGTGAGTGCATGGCGTCAGTCAATCGGCAAAGTACACACTACACTTGTCTTGTGTCCCTCCGCACGTGCTGTTGGTTTATGGTGCGGTCGGTCGGTCTGGAAGTTGCTGCCTGAGCAGGCAGTCGGCAGCACCTTCGAGACCGACAACCAAGACCACAAACCATACACGAGGAGGAGAACGAAGCACCGACGAGACGCACACCTGTACAGGGCCTACAACATTTGCCGCTCTCACACGCCCAGAAAACATGTGAATGGACATGAAGAAAACATCCCGACTGTAGCCCTCCGAGCACATCAAGGCTCTTTTTGTCTCTTGACGTAGTCCAAAATGCTCGTCGCCCGCCCCCCTCCCCTGGCACCATGCCCCCCTCCTCCCCTATTCACATGCTGCCGCCGCACCTCCGCCTGGATGCCGGCAGGCAGCCCCATAAACCACGCAGCGTCCACACCATCAGGCACCCGACATGACGGCTGTTTCTGCTCCTCATCGAATGTGTCAAGGTCGATCGTCTCTGGGCATGGGGGCTGGGCGGCAGCTGCTCGCGATTGCTGTGGTGGTTGTGGACGCGAGAATGTGAGTGGGGGCGGCGGGGCGCTGTGGAAGTTGGTGAGGGCCAGGTTGAGGATGTTGCAATGGAACGGACGAGATGTGTCGGGCACCTGGACACACACACACACCACACACACACAACCACTGTAACAGACGGCCTGTGTATCCCTGGTGGCGTGTGTCCTTCTTTACCAGTTTGTTGAGCAGTGATGCAGCTAGTCTTATGAGGGCCCCAGGGACAGGGGGCGACTGAGGTTCCCCCTCGCCCACCGCAGAGCTGCGGTCGCTGGCTGGCGGTGCACGAGGGATGGCGTTCGGGGGCAGGGCGGCCTGTCGACACTCGCGGCTCGATTTGCCCACAAACCTACACAGACAGAGGAGAAAGAGGTCCATACTTGGCTGGAAATCGCATCCTCGCTGGCTCTCTCTGAGTTGGTGGTACCTGACGGTAAGTTTGAATGTCTGTGGCACCTGTCTGTGCCTCGCCGTGTGTTCCCACGACCGCTGGATGAGGTGAGGAGCAAGCCTGGTTATCTCCCTCATGACGCCATCGCGGCCAAAGATCGGCGACGCCCAATAGGAGTTCTCTACACTTATACTCTGGGGAGGACCTGACACACACAGACAGGGGGACAGTTTACGCTTATAGCAGGCAGTCGAGTGAGCATTCTTCTTCGACCTGTCTGCTTGACGGGTGTGGGGTCGATGCCGTTGCAGAGCTGCAACACTACTGTGGCCATGTCGTGACCCACTGCGTCACGAATCATGTGAGGCGGGCTCGACAACACGTCAGGCACACTCGCCAGCCTGCACACAGACGTGCACAGTACAGACAGGCCGTTTCTGTTTCTTCCCTCCACTGCACTGCGCCGCTCGTTCGTGTGCCCTTACCCTCTCTCTTTGAGTTTGGCGCAGGTGGCAAAGCCAATGCCCGGGATGCTGCCCAACGTGCAACCCTGACCACCAAGACGCAAGATGAGGTGCACGCAGGCTGACGGATGCGCCCACGCACAGGAATGGGGCAGCGGGGGTCACTCACCTGCATGAACTGTTTCACGCGATCCGGCAGCAGACAGGTCTGCTGGTTGGGCTTGTGCTCACCGCCCACCTTCTTGGCCAGCATCTTGTTGTATGACACGCCTGACGCAAGTGATCCAACACCCATCACCTGCCCAAATGAGCACCACATACACTCCCTGCCCCCTCTCACCTCCACACGTTGTCAGCTGCATCTTGTCCACCAGCAGGCGGCGCGTGAACCCGCACGCAATCGAACCCAAGGCAAGGCGACGCACACACCCACCCATCGCCGACTCACAATCCACTGCGATAGATGGATCGGCTCCCTCGTGAGAGTAGACGTGCCCCTCGAACGACACACTGCTGCTACCACACACACTCGACAGCCGACTGTCGGGCAGCTCGGCAGCCTCTTGCCCAGATGGAGTGCCGCCCCTCTCCAGCTGCTCAATGCGGTCGTCGTAGGCAGTCACCAGTGGCGTGACGTCGATGAAGAACTCATCGAGGCCGAGGCGCTCCACATTGATGGGGTGCGGGGTGCGGGAGGAGGGGAGCATGGGTCGCCATGTGTTGGGGCTGCAGAGGAGCTCGAAGATGCGTTGAGAGGTCTCACGGTAGAAGTCGAGGTTCTCGCCGCTCTTGAGGATGAGCTGCGGACACTTCTGCTTGGCCTCCTTGACGTTCATGCCCTTGGTGAGCCCATGCTGACGAGCCGCGTAGTTGGAAGTGATCACCTGCTCAGTACAGAAACACAAGAGGACGGTGCGCGTCGGCATGGATGATACTGCACGCCTCAATTCGCGCGCACCAGAAACTTCTGCTGTACGCCAACGGGCTTGCCACGGAGCGTCGGATCTCTCAGCTCTTCACACTGAAGGTGACGCACACGCAGCATGCAGTAACACATTTTGGGCATCTTTGTTGTATTGGCACCTGGGCGTAGAAGCAATCGACGTCGATGTGCACGATGGTGCGCTCCCACCCTTGTCCATCATCATCTCGTCTTCGCTTCACGCCCTTGCTTGCGATGAAACCGGAGAGCGTCTGCTGGACTGAGGCGGAGTTGGACCACTGCTCGGTGCCGCTGCAGCCACCAGAACCTCTCCGCGCGTCCATTGACTATAGCGAAACTGATTCATTTGCGAGCTCGAGGGGGGGGGGGTCTGGGGGCGCATGCATGCATCGCTGGGGACCAATGATGAGCTGCGTTTCCCTGTTTGCACTGGCCAATGCGTGCCTTGTGTTGTTGCTGGTGACTGCACACGGCATGGCATACGTCGGAGCCGTTGGAAGAAGGCAGAGACCGTGGTGGATTTCACGCCTCTGGCGAGGGCAGCAAGACAATGCGTCCGCTGCGTTTATGGTGCCACCTGCTCATGGGCCGTGGCCTTTGTCGCTCAGCGACGTTTCAGCAAACGCCACGCAGCCCCTCACAAGCGAGCAGAGGTTTCAGTATGCGAAGCCCATCATCGACGAGCTCTGTTCCCCCGAAGCCAATCGGCACCCCTACCTGGCGTGTGTGCGTAAGCAACATGCAAGCACAGTGCTGCTGGATTGGTCCCTCCGATGATGGGTATTTGTTCTGCAGGTAGGGTTCAGAGAGCGGACGCAGCGAATCCTCTGGTGACGGTTGAGGAGGAAGTGACGCCGCTCGAGCCATACGATGGCCGAGATGTCGCCAGATGGGGCCAGTTCGGCGCGGTCGTCTTTGCAAACATTCTCACACCGCGTAAGTCAGTTTGCACTCAAGGAACAACTTTCTCGGACTTTCTCCTACCATCCATCCATGCAGACTTCGTGTTGGATGCTGAGCTGTGGGTATGGGATTTTCGCCACTCGGCGTGGCGGGCGCTGAATTCAGCTGGTGGCCATCTGAATCACTCAGATTGACTGACCTGCCTAGGCCACCCTGATTTTATGTGTTTTATATGCCTAGATCGGATTGGCGCGGCCATCAAGGCTGACTTAAGAAGAGACATCGTCAAAGTGGCGGGATACGAGGAGGGATACCTTGCCGTCGAGAAGAGAAGTGAGTAGACAGGCGGGGATAGAGGCGCAAGATGGGCGAGGGCAACTCTGTCTGTGTGCGTGTGTCAGAGACTCGCCAGCTGTGGGAGCAGTGGGGCGATGTGATCCGTTCGGGCGACTTCCCCCAGATCCCCAACATGTATTTGGTGTTTGCCCTACCTGTCAGCCACACCGCTGACGACACTCTTTCTGACGCCCTGCAGAAAATGACGAAGATCACCTCTCCCCTGCTGCTGGGCAACAGCCCTGCGCCAACACGCGGCATTGAGCTCCTGGAAGGCAAGAAACGCGGGAAATACTTGAGTAGTGCTGATGCAGAGCATCTATGTCTGCTGTGGTTGTTTCAGATAAGTTATTGCTGCAGCGGATGATCCACGTGACAGGCTGGGAACTTCCCTATGAGAACCAAAAGTTCGTCACGCACGAGGTGGGCGAGACATGCCACCAATGTTGCTGTGAGTCTACCCTTTCTGCCATTGCTGCCTTTGCGCATTGCAGGAGATCCTGCCGCAAGGCTGGGTGTTTATCCGCACGATAGAACAGGTGCTCTATCGTATGAGACACCACGGCGTCCAGCACTGTGACCTCCACGGCAGCCAGATCTTCCTGCGGATGTACCCCTACCCTCCTAGCAAGGATCCGCGAGAGTACATCACCATTCGTGAGGCCACCAACAGACCGGACCAGAGATACCGGCACTCGGTGGGCAAGCTGCCATGTCTCGCTGTGTGTGAGGAGAGAGCGACTGTGGATGTGTGTGTTTTGGGTGCGGTTCAGTACATCGGTGTTCGCTTCCAGGACATCATCATTTTCGATTGGTCGTTTTCCCGCACCTGGGACGAGTATTGGCACATCAAGAACAAACTTCTCCCCACAGAGTGGAAGTACACACCTGGGCATGCCTACGTGCGCAACGCCCCCTGCTGGCCTCGCGTAGAGGACTCTCAGCTGCTCGGCATCGCGTGGCTCTTCGTGAGGGACTTCCTGCCCAAGCCAGGCGCCCAGAGGAAGACACACGTGGAGTCTGCCGCTGAGGCCATTTACCTGTCTCTGAAGAACACGTGTTTAGCCCAGCTTCGGGACCTTGACAAGACACCCCCGCTGGAGCCGTTCCATGTTCGGACGCTTCGCAATCCAGCGCCAGAGGACCCCAACAGGCCGAGCAAGAGCCAGCAGCCACGAGGGGCGTGCACGTGGGAGGCGCAGCTGCATCACGCAAAGCAGATGGCTGATATGGCACAGCAGATACTCGATTGGAATGATGAACGCAAGACTTCGGGCAGGAGGAGACGCAGGAGTATCAAAATGATTGGGCCTGCACAGCCGTCAGTGTGACGAAGTGGGATATGTGGGTGGCTATGTGGTGTCTTTCTTCGTGGAAGTGAGCTTAGCTTGGGTGGATGTCGGTTGGGTGTGGTGTGCGGGCGGATGGGTATGTGAGATTTCTCATACCGTAGGACGGGAGAGAGAGACAGGCTACTGCTAGCCTGTAGGATGATTGACTTGACGACATACATAAGCGGTTTCTGAAGTGTGTTTGCAAAAAGCGACACACAAGTCTCGCCTCGAGATGCACAAACGATCGCTTTGCAATTCCACTGTCCGTGTCTGCAATGTGGTGCTGCCGGTCCGAATGAGGGCATGGGTGTGGGCACGGGTGTGGGCAGGGGGAGAATCTTGTGGTGGGACGCAACACGAGGACACTCCCGCCGGGCAGGATGGGGCCGCCCTGAGTTTGTTTTACACAAAAAACCCACATGTGTGTGCGTGAGGAACGCCTTCATGGGTGGCCTACCACATCCATCATGGGTGGCCTACATGGGTGTGCTCGAGCTCTGCGGCCTGGTCAGCCGCTGCGAGAGGCTCGCCGTTCTCAGCAGGCTCGTCCGCTGCACGAGGAAGCGGGCAGGGACACACGGAGGAAGGACAGATCTCTCAGGCCCCACCATGCGTGCACGATGCAGGATCGGCTCACCAGTGGGCGACGCCGCTGAGAATCCCAACACACGAGCAGGCCCAACACACGCAGCGTCATCACTGTGCGTCATCGTCATCGGGAAAGCGGGACGGTGGCCAACGTCGAATCTGTCCACAATTTCCAGAAGCGAGCGCTAACGGCAACCGTTACGCCCGTACGTTGCATCTTGCTGCAATCCATCTGTGACTACGATGTCGCGCGCGCTGTCTCTCCTGCTGCTCATCGCTCTCGCTGGCGTCGCCAACTGCCAGCTCCGCCGACTGCAGGCGGAAGGTGACTGACTGAGCCACTCCACACTCGACACTGCACGAAATCTGACCTTCGTGCGTCCGTCTTGTCTGATACAGGTGACGGCATGAATTCCGACAGCCTCATACAGCCTGAGGCTAACTGCCCTGGTAAAGCGAGCGAGACGTGGAGAAGGGAGAGATGTCTGTGCCTTCCGTTTCTGTCTTGTGTGCAGAATTCTTCCGGAATGACACTGGGTTTCTCGAATATGCGTTCCTTGAAGACCTTGGCCCTTTTCAGATTCCTGCCGACACCACTCACAGCTGGCACCTCAAATCCCCGCAAGCAATGGGGTTCGACATTTGCGAAATCACCTCGTAAGCAGCGACACGAAACAATTCGCGCTACTTGGGCAGGCGTCTATGCTGGTCGGTCAATGCATGATATGCAATGGCAGGCAGGGCGTAAATTGCAAATCAATTAACAGTTTGCCCCACCCGCGGACCACTGGATTCTAGTGGCCAACTCTGGAGAAATGGCAGCTGAGTACGAAATTACGGTACGTCTCACGTCTGCTTGACAAGCCGAAGCAGCACATGCATCCAAGGCAGCATTATGATAGAAACCATTCTGTCCCTCTCGCGCGTGCCATATGTGCAGCTCTCTTGCGAAGGTGATGGATCACAGGATGGAGCAGATTGTTTCTACGTGAGCCAGTCTTGACACAGACACCGACACTATAAAGACAAAACAGCTGGACAGACGCACGGGCGCCAGAGAGGCATATATGCATTTTCATGTGTATCTCTTTCAGAGACTTATCGGCTTTAAGGGCGACAATTGTGGCGCTCCACCTAACCCCGTGACGTTGAACGTGCCACTCATTATGTGACTTCCTGATGGAAGTTCCTCATGAGATGGGAAATGGCGGCCATGCGTGGCACCTCGCTGTTTCCTTTGTATTTGTCTATGCGCTGTTGTGAATGCATGGGACGGGCGGGGCGGGACGGGATGTATGCGTGTTGCGTGGCTTAGTGTGTGCGTATCATGTGTGCGACAGATACATATGCTCTCTTTCTTGTTGCGCGAGGTGTCTCTGGCGTCTCGAATGTGACACGCGGTGCAAGAGAGTGTGTGTTGTGTGCACGCGGGCGGGCGGGCAGGGGCTTCCCGACACGTGGCGTCGGCGGCATGCATGAGCACAAATGTTGATTTTGTCGTGAGCCATAGCGGCAGAGTTGCTGGCGGTAGCTCATGCGCACGGCTGTTACTTTCGCTTACACTGCGGTAAGTTTGGCCAAATCGTTGAATGCATGTGCGTGTGATAAGTGTTTGTTGTACTGTGTCGTGTCGTGTCGTGTGGTGCTTATGCAGTGTATTTGGCTCCAAAACAGTGAGCCCTTGACAGGTCGGCAGGCGTACACCATACGTGCATCTGTGACGTGTGTGGAAGTGAGTGCATTGCATGGTGGTGGGCGGGACACACACGGACACACTGACACGGGGCTGAGAGCACTGAGTAATCATTGAACGCAACAATCAATCAATTGCACGATCCAGCTCAGCCGCGCACGCAAACCAGCATCTTGCGCATCCATCGACGAGGCCACATGAAAGAGGCCCAAAGAAGGAGGCACACCGAGCGAGAAGCACTCACAGCTTGTCGTCTCAATCGGCTGCTGCAGCGTCGATCGAATCGTTGGTTGATTTGTCTGAAGCGTTCCTTGTCTGTGCAGTTTGTTGGTGTTCGTGCAAGCATATTGCATTCATTTCCTCTTCTGTCAATGTGTGTGTCACTCGTCTCTGGTCTGCTCTCTCTTTTGCGGAGCAAACCCACCTGACAAGACGCACACGACTTTCCCTCCTTTGTCCCCGCCCCCATGTACACATACAGACAGGCTCAATATCATATCGCCGACATCGCATGACAGCGCGCACACAGCACACGCACTCGTTGTACAGGTACGCGTTCTCGCCATTCGTCAGCCCACAAATACACATCACGCCATCACCGGCAAGCGGCAAAAAGTGACGGACAAATATGTGGTGTAATGGACGTACAGAGACTCAGTGATGCGACGCTTGCGGCCATACATGGACAAGAAGACAACAAAGAACACAAGGAGAACTCACCACACACACACACATCCATCGAGTGCATGCCGTCCCTAGCGTCCGGTGCCGTCCCTAGCGTCCGGTGCAATCTCCGGTGACGTCACAGCAGCTGTTGTCCCAGTGGTTCTTATGCATAGGGCATGGGCGTGTAAAGCCACAACGGCAGTCGGGCTGCTGACTCCTCTCAGCCAGGCACATAGCGCCGCAGCTCCCAGGTGGCGCCTGGCGCTCTACGGGAAGACAGATAATAGGGCACTCCCCATAATCGCTGTAACTGTCACAGACCAGACGCCACCGGATCTTGTAACCGCATCCCTGCTCCGCCGAGGCGTCCCGATTGTCAGTGATACACTCTGAAGATGAGAAAGCCAATGGATGAGAAAGCCAATGGATGCCTGGCCGCCGAAGCGGCCAAGCATAAGGAAACAAAGAGAGGAGACAGGAGACCATGAGCCAACGTTCATGATTCTCTTTTTTCTCCCTTACTTACGTACCTGTGGGGCCGTCGGGAATATTAGAATGCGATCCATGCACAGCAGCAGGACGACGAGAGCTTCACCGATATACCTGCACCAAGTGGCAGCATAGAGAGACATGAGCATAGAGAGTTTCGCTGCTATCATGCTCGAAAAATTGGTCGCCGATATGCCGTGTGTGGCGACAGCCACAGGTATCTTCAGTCAGCAGCTGATGGTGGTGAATGGATGGATGCCGTGATGCCGTCTCCCTCCCTCCTCCTTGTCCGCTTCTTGATCATCATCAGTGCCGCTCGCTTCTTGGTCGCCGATATGCCGTGTGTGGCGACAGCCACAGGTATCTTCAGTCAGCAGCAGCTGATGGATGAATGGATGATGCCGTCCGTGATGTGCAGATGCCGTCTCCAAGCTCCCTCGTTGTCCATCTCGAATAGCTGACATAGCCATCGGCACGAGGAGGATCTTCAGCAGCAGCTGATGGATGAATGGATGATGCCGTCCGTGATGTGATGCCGTCTCCGTCCCTCAGCAGCAGCTGATGGATGAATGGATGATGCCGTCCGTGATGTGATGCCGTCTCCGTCCCTCGTTGTCCATCTCGAATAGCTGACATAGCCATCGGCACGAGGAGGATCTTCAGTCAGCAGCTGATGGATGAATGGATGATGCCGTCCGTGATGTGATGCCGTCTATATAATGTGGGCAGCCGTGAGGCGACGACGCCTCGCCCCTCTCCGAGAATGCCGCCAATCTGACGCAGACACACTCGAGACAGACACAAGCAAATACAGGCAACATCAATGAAAGGCAACACGCATTCGCAGAGTGATGTCTGTTGTCTCGTCCTCTCACCGCATTGGTGGAACGCCTTGTCACATGACGAGCTGTCGTTGTGGCTGCATGGCACCGGAATGCCTACATTCATACGGATGGACACACAGACACATGAAAGGAGCCAGATCGCGCATGTGACGTGGATTTATCAGTCGCGTTCGTCGTTTCCTTGAGGGTGCCGCCGGGCCACCCACAGATGGCGCACTGTGGGATGAGGCGGGTGGTCTTCTCCGTCTCGCAGCGACGACGGCAGTGCCACTTCGGCTTGTTGTCCCGCCTGGCTGCCTCAGTGGCCTCCCCGTGGGTCTTTGCCGGGTGAGCTGGTAGATTGATGACACCACACAGATACACACACACACACACACAGAGAGAGAGAGAGAGGGAGAGGGAGAGACGGGCATGGTGACATTCATCCATTCCCCATGTCTGCCTGTCGGTGCCTTAGTTTCTACCTCCCATCCCTCCCGCCCTCACTCACCTGCTTCTTGTGAACAGCTACAGAACACCTCTGGCATTCCTTGATTTCGTTCAGGCTGTCCCCTCCAGGACCGAAGCAAACTCTGCACACCACACCTGGATGCACTCCCCCTTCAATCAACCCACACTCTCCCTCTCACCCACCTGCAGAATCGTTGCTCCTGCTCTTCCTTCTCCTTCTGAGCCTTGTTGACCTTCGTCTGGCCAGACCCACCGGCAGCAGGCTTGTCGTGCCCACAGGCACCCGCACCACCACCGGCGGCAGCTGCTGGGGCTGATGATGACGCCGCGGCCGCACCGTCATCATGGTCGCCATGTCCCTGTCTCGCCACACGTCAATGAACGAGTTCTTCTCTCACCCACACACGGCTTCTTCATTGCGTCAAGGTCCAGCTGCTTTTCCGTCTCCGCCACCGATTTCTGCGAACCTGGTGAAGACATTGATGACATTCATTTCTCATGTCTTTGTGTGTGCAGTGTCTTCTCACGTCCACAGCATTTCTTCTGGACCGGAAGAGTTTCGTTTGCCCTCGTTGAGCTCCAACAAATACACAACACGGACAGGAAGAAAGCAGAGAGATATGCCATCAGTTCTCTCATGTGTCTCTTATTCCCTTCCCTTAGCGTCAACGAATGTACGAGGTGTGCGCACTGGCAAAGGTCGGTCAAGTCTGATGTCAAGTCAAAGCAGCAATCCTTCCATCATGATCCTGTGTGCCCAGCACATGTACGTACCTGAGAGATGGTCCTGGTGGCGAGCAGCTCACTTGGCGCCATCATGATGCTGGTCCATACAAAGCGGCCTGCCCGCATCTGAAGGAGATTCACGAGCAGGCAGACAGACAGACAGACAGACAAGCAGAGACAGACACACAAAGAAAAGTGGAAGAGATATGAGGAGCAGAATTGAACATGTGTGTAATCCTTTCTCTTCTGTCTGTCTTTACGTTCGTACCTGCGCTGAAGGTAATAATCTTGTCACACAAATGCCACCGAACAAAGCCAGGAACAAAGCTTGTCTGTCTATACGGCCGCAACAAAGGACAAAGGCCCTACAAAGGAACAAGAGCTAGCTAGCTACACAAACACACACATACATACATACATACACAAGGCTGGCGGTCTCTAAATAGTATGTTCTCCGTTCATTTTGTATGCGTGTGTGTGTCTGCGGAGGAGCGGAGGACTTAACTGGATTGATGATTTTGATATATAATAAAGGGCGAATTAAGGAGGGGAGAAGGAGAACGCCGTCGGTGGGGGGGTTTGTTGCTGTATGTGTTGCCGTGGCGTCGATGCGCGTCCACAAGTCGGGGCCGGGTTTCGTTACCATTTCTTTGAAGCGTAGAAGGCCATGAGGCGGGCGATGAGGCGATGAGGCGATAAGGCGATGAGGGAGGCGATGGGCGTCGATCGAGAGACGAGAAGAAGGAGAAGGAGGAGAAGGCAAGCTTGGGCGCCTGCATCTACAAGCAGAGACAGAGAGACAGACAGACAGACACACAAAGAGTGGAAGACATATGAGATGTAACAAACCCCACCCTCTCTCTCCTGTCCCTCCTGTCTGTCTCTCTGTCTTTACGTGCGTACCTGTGTGTTGGATAAGCCATCCGCCATACCACGAACGAACGAACAAGGGAAGCCGCAAGCAACGAACGACAAACAAGACCCTCACGAACAGCAAACTAACAAGAGCTAGCTAGCCAGCCGGCTACACACAAACATACACATACACACATACACACAGACACAGACACATACACATACGTACGCGCATAGACACACATATGCTGTGGGTCTCTACTATACATTCTCCATTTATTTTGCATTTATGCGATGCGATGCGATGCGTTTGTCTGCCTGTGTGTGGAGGAGCGGGGGAATTAGCTGGATTGATGATTTTGATGTATCATAAAGGGCGAATTAAGGAGGGGAGAAGGAGAACGCCGTCGGTGGGGGGGGTTGTTGCTGTATGTGTTGCCGTGGCGCTACACACAGAATGTGCTCAACTTTCCTCGTTCGTTTCTTCCGCTCACCGGCTTTTTGTTTCTTCTCCTGTAGTCGAAAAGAGTTGTCTGTGCTGCAGCAAAGGCAAAAACAGAGTCAATACTGTTTCGTTAGCGTACACTGAACCCCTGATTCACTGAATACTTCACTCACCTTTGGAGGACTCCGCCGAGAAAAGGAGGCGGCAATCAGGAAGAACCCCAAAATTATTTCATCTGCACACAAACATACCGACAGGGCACATGAGACGACCACAGCAATGAAATGCAGTAATCCTCGACTATCATCCACACACCATGCCGACACCGCAGCCAACAAAAAAAAGAGATATGACACGTGGACTCACCTGAGAAGATGTTTGAGTTTGAAGAGAAAAAGCAGGCGTCCGCGCACTCAGCTGACGCCAGAAAGATGTCAGGCAGTCGCCACCCATTCAGCAGAAGAAAGGGCGCCACTGGCTGAGGCACTCGCGGCACGGCGGTAGAGGAATGAAGGGGCGGACGATACTCGGACAAGTCGGATGGGCGGACCACACAAGCCAACGACCACTCACCCAGGGAGAAAGGAGGCTCAGGCTGATGTCAGTGTCTGACGGGCGGGCGGGTCAGGGGCGGTCTGGCGGACTCGTCCTCTTCGCAAACGGCAAGCAGGGGGGGCTGCGTGGGCCTGGGGCGGGTGGCGCCCGAAATCTCCCGCCGAAAAATGAAAAGAAACGAAGGAGATGTGAAGCGAACAGTGGGAAATGAGGAGAGCCGGCTCGGAAACTGTTTAATATCCCTTTGTTCGATAAATGCTGTCTCGGAGACGGCTAGAATTCGAATTCTCGCCGTGAATCTCGCCGCAAGCTCGCATTCCATTTCTTCCGTGTGTGATGTCTTCCGCAGCTGAGCCAAGGATAGACTCTCTACTGCGTCATTGTCCTCAAGCTGTCGATTGTGAAGTCCGCCCACACACAGCTTGCATCTGATTTGAGTGGCGCATCTTCGTACCGCGTGATGCTGCACTGCAGGATGGCGCCAATGGCCGTTTTCCTCTCGGTATTCTTTGTCGCTGCTGTGGAGTGGTCGTCAGCCACCCGAATGGCGCCTCCCGCCTCCCCTGTGCTGCGCACATTGCCTTCTGGCGAAAACGACCCATTTGTGGACATGCTGCATATGCAGGAGGACGTCATTGGCGCGAATTTCTCTCGGGGCAGCCAAGACACGCTGGGCCAGGAATCCCCCGTCTCCGCCCCACTGTCTTATGGCCAGCTGGAGGAGACAGTTACTGCAGAGAGTGCATTTGACCGCTCGCGGAGAGTGTTGCAGTCGTCATCTGATGCATTCGCTCCTCGAGTGGATCTTGCCATGCTGCAAAAGCTGCAGAGTGGCACTCTAGGGAAGGGGGCACAGCGCATTGGTGAGAAGCTTCACAAAGATGAAATGACACGGACACAACACAAACCTCTCCGTTGGATCTGTCGAATCTGTAGGTGTCGGCCCAGATGCCAGCGACACTAAGGCATCAGAGGCGTGCGAACGCATGTATGCACAGGGCGTGACCCTCATCGGACTTCGCGAGTTCGTCCAGGTGGTCGACGCAACCAAGGACTTGAAGCGCTAGAAGGATGCCATCTCGCCCAAGACCCTTCCAGTGGCCTTCGCCCCGGACGGGGGCGACGCGCCACAACTGCTGGAAGGGTGAGTAGGGGAATCACCTGATCAACGACCCCATCTTTGTGCTTCTTACCTCTGCCCTTCGCTTTGCAGCTTCGGTGTTCGATTGTCTGGTGGTGATCGTGGCGTCGAGGGACCGCTGCTGCGGTCCAATGTGTCGTGTCTGTCCATAATGCCGCCCCCGGCCATGAACCCTATGGCTGCCTTAGCGCCCGGCTGGAGCTTCTTCATCTATGTCGACGTGGATGGCGAGACAACCACACGTCGCACAGTGCTCTTCGACAGCGGGACAGACAGCCGGTTCCAGATAGTGATCGAGCCCTGGCCGCTCAGGGCCATCGGCAAAATGAAGATTGGCGTGCAGGTGGAGGCCAATCCATTGCCACCCAGTGAGCCAGAGGCCCCTGAGACTCAGGCTCGAAGCGCTCTTTTGGAAGTTAACGAATTCCACACTAAGAAGGCGCAAGGCAGCCAGTGGTGTCAGCGACGGCCCTTCACGCGACACTGGTCGAGTGGTGCTGGTGCAGGAGGGCGAGAACAGGGAGCGGCGGTGGATGAGGCGGGGCAGCGGAGGGGCGACAGTCAAGATAGAGCGGCAGGAAGTCATGGTGAGTGCATGCTGGGGCCGCCCGCAGCTCTATACCTTTCAAATCATTCCAACACCGGAAGGCAACTACAATGTGAGGAGATCTATACACGCTGGGGAAGCGAATGCGATGATGATCTTGGTTCGATACATGTCTCTCAGGTCCACATATTCCGCGAGCTTCAGGAGTTGACACCGCAAGGAGGCCGTCTGTTGGTGCTCAAAGACACGACTGCGAGTCTCAATCAGACGGAGAAATTCACAATTGGATGCGACGCAGACGACTTCAACTGTTTGCATGGTCAGTGAGCAACACGCACAGAGGCACGCTTTCAAAGGTGTATTGCATTGTGTGTGCAGGCGACGTGCGGCTTGTGACTATCCGCTTTCGATCGTTTGATCCAAAGACGGAAGTGCCGTTGGCAGTCAACGATCTCAACTACATCCTGGGTGGGCATAGAATAGCTGTTGATGTTACATTGGACTGCCCTTCATGTCTTTATTCCCCCAACCACACAGGCCGCACCGCCATCTGCGGCAACGGGATAGTCGAGCCGGGCGAGGAGTGCGATGGGGTCGACAAGACCGAAGCCGAGACCAACTGCGCATGCAACTGCAGAAGTGAGACATGATATTCCTGCTCCTCTTCTCTGCCCCTTCTCACTTTTTTCCTCTATGCGCTGTCCAGAGTTGTGTCCGCCGTGGGGAGAGTACATGGAGAAGTATCAGTTCCACGACAAGCATGTCACTGCTGACTACGCGGCAGGCACAGAGGGGCGAACGGCGGGCGACTACCGCGTGTTGATGTGCATGCCGGGCTACTCATCGACGCGACGTTACCGCAAGAAGGAGATTGTCTACTGCGAGCCCGACGGGCAGTGGACGCCACCAGAGACCGTCTGCAAAAGTGAGACGGGGAAAATCACCAACGGACGAATGGATAGAGCATAAAGAGTTGGCTGTGACTCCTTCCTCTCTCTTCAGAGGACTGTGCTCGCCCTTATCGAGAGGAGGTGATTCGTCAGAATCTGTCCTACTGGGTCGGCGGTCCAGAGGTGAATGAGAAGACCCACGGCACGATCGTCAAGGTCCACTGCAAGGGCGGGGCTGAGGTCACAATCAGCATCCCGCGGGTGGAAAGGACTGTCAAGTGCATCGATGGCCAATACACAATCCCGGGGTTCCACTGCGAAGGTGCAGTAGCTTGCTACAGACACACACACGACCATACACAAAGATTTGCCTTGGTCTCTTCTCGTGTGTCAGCGTACTGCCAGGAGTATCCCGACCTGGGTCAGATGATGTATATGGTCAAGCTGCCGCCCGGCGTGTACCCCAACTCGCCCGAGTCCCTCCAGCACATGACCTACCGCAACATCACATGTGTGGAGCCACATGCACCGGCTGGAGGCGCGTCCTACTCCGTCGTGTACTGTCTGCACGGCCAGTGGACGCCACGGACGATCGTCTGCGAATGTGAGTGATAACGAGGCGCATGAAGGCAAGGCAAGGGACGTACGAGAAATGTGTCTCTTCTTAGATGGCTGCGCTGCAGCTCCGTGCAGCCAATACGACGCTCCCCCTCCCCCCTACCTGATTCTGCGGACGTCCCGCAACCCTCATGGCAGCGGCCGGCTGGCCGACCTCGTCAGCCAGAGAGACTGGCTGGAAGTGGGATGCAACCCTAAGGAGGCCGTGCCGGCGTGTCGCAAGGAGGGCGTGGACTGCCTCGCATCGACACAGCTCATATGGTGCCTCGCTGGACACTGGACGCCAGAGCTCCACCTCAAGTGCATTTGTGAGGAAAGAAGAGAGAAGAATGGCCGTCATATGACATTAGCTAGCTTTATGGATGGTTCTGTGTACTATAGATCACTGTCCTGGTTTCGATGAGTTCCCCTTGGCCAAGACCCTCGGATATAAGGTGACGTATACAGGCAACAAACACGGGGACAGCTCGACAGTCGAGTGCGACGAGACGCACAACTCAGTGACGCCTAATGTGACACGTGAGACAGTGAGATGCGAATATGGCCAGTACCAGACGCCCCGTCTCACGTGCAGATGTAAGCAAACACATCGCCGCACCTTGTCATTTGTGCAAAGCTGCCTCCTTTGTCTTTCGATGTGTCCATTCAGCCAAGTGTTTGGAGAGCCCCGCGCTGCCCCGCGAGGGCATGCATTTCGTGGGTGACACGGAGAACAACAACCATGGCGCCATCAGGAGCATTGCATGCGACACCGACAACGGCTTCCAGCCGATGACCGGCCAGGCCACAGAGGACCTCGTCTGCCTCGACGGACACTGGAGCCCACGCACACTCGAATGCAAACGTACACAGACAGCACACAGAATGCAGAGACATACATGTGGGAACCAAGCGGCATTGGATGCTGTGTGGCTGGTGGGTGGATTTGCAGGCGGGTGTGGCCGTGACTATCTGGTGTCTCTCCGGAAGGCCAACTACACCCTTCGGTCGCCAACTCTGCTAAAGCCCGATCAGCCCGGCACCTACCCTATGAGCTTCAAACCCATGACCGTCGTGTCCGTCGGGTACGATAGCAGAGAAGCTGGCCACCACATCTGCACTTTGCGTGGTATGCTTTTGTCCTTTCAGCTGTGACACCGGTCGTGGCTACCGCAGCTCACGTCTTGACGTAATCAACCCCCTGGCAGTCGAACAAGAGAGGATCAACATCACCTGCCTGGGCGAGAGCTCCTTCGACCCCAATATACAGTGGGATATGGTCACACTGGAGTGTGCGGCATCCTGCCCGACTGATGCCCTTCAAAAGGTCGGCCGCGATCCCCGCTACAGCGAAGAGTGGACATACGCCTCAAACATCGGGCACACAAGCATCACGCCCACGCCGCAGGAGCTCCGCAATCCGCCACCTTTGCCCGACGCCAAGGGGCCGAATCCTGCAGCCAAATGGCGAGGTGTGCCTGACTTTGTCTACCACAACTCACAGGTGAGGATCCAGTGTGCTGAGGGCAGCACCCCTCGAGCCATCAATGCGAGCAGCATCGGACCGCTCGCATCGGAGGAGATCCTCAAGTGCCAGTTTGGGTTTTGCACACCGCACCTTGGACTGTGCGGCCAGCTGTCCGCCATTCCCTTCCCTCTCCTCTTTGTACATAGTGCGCTCGTATCCCACCGAGGGCAGCCGAGAGCACGGGTCGTCAAGAGAGATATCATGTGACCCCCTGGTGTCGTCACCCAAAGGCGAGGAGAACCACGAGGAGATTGTCTGCCTGGATGGCTTGTGGGGAGGGAGGACGCTCGAGTTCTCAAGTGAGACAAGCAACAGACAGGCATGGAAGAACACTGCCTTCGTGTCTCCATCTACATCTTTGCTATCTGGTGTGTAGAGCACTGCGATCCCTTCCCCATGCTGTCCATTGAGAGGTACAAAGCGGAGATGGTCAAGGGAGGCACCGGCGGCCAGGCCTTCCGCGATCGGTCGTTTGGTGCCGAGTATGAGGTGACCTGCCAGAAGGGCTTCTTTCCATCCTAGGGGTCAAGCCCCGACCGCGTCAAGTGCGAGCACGGCGAATGGACAGCTCTCATGCTCATCTGCATGAGTACGCAACTCATGCGAGAGAGAGACACGACGCATACGACATCCGTACACATGGAGCTCTGTGTCGGCCGCCAGGGAACTGTGCTGGTCCGCCGCACTTCAGTCCCGATTACACGGTCAGCTTTCCCCATCTGCCGAGCGGCGGGGAGGTGCCCTGGCATCACGGGGCTGAGGTCAATGTCACGTGCTCCCCGGGCCGCACGCCTGACTTCCATTCCACTGTCGACTGGGAGATCGTCCGATGCCTCGACGGATTCTACACCGAGCAAACAGTCCGCTGCAAACGTACATACGTACTTGCGAGAAGGAAGGGCATCGCATCTATTGCCTTCGTATCATCGCTTCCTTGTGTAATGACAGGCCCGTGCCCCGCCGAGTATCGGAGCAAGCCGGGTTATGTGGTGTCTGCGACCCATCCCTACCCGCCATTCCCCTTGCCAACCACCGCGGGGCTCATCAAGTCAGGGGTAGTCCGCGACGTGCGGTGTGCCAGCCACCAGGGGTTCTACCCGGTGGTCGGCCAGGCAAACACAACCGTGTCGTGTGAGGAGGGAGCATGGTCCTTCCTCGCACTCGTCTGCAGACGTAAGCACCACACATTGAGAGGAACAAACGGAAAGTGTGTGAGGTCTCCATGCCAGCTCCCTCTCTTATCGGTCTGCAGGTGCCTGTCCCCTGCTTTACTTCCTGCCGAAGCCTGACGGCACCCCTCCCTCGAAGAGCAAGGCCATGATGTGTCCCATCGCCTACCAATACGAGCCGGCCGACCCCGAGACAGCATCGCAGTACATCACAAACGGCACATCGGACTATCTGCTGGAGGGTGGCTTCGTTGACTGGAATGCCTATCCCCGGCACAAGACGGAGGTGAAGCTCAAGTGTCGGTCGTCTGATGTGGCGGGCGAGTCGTGGCACCCCGCAACGGGCCTGGAGACAGACTTCACCACCATCAAATGCATCAATGGGTCTTGGTCCAAAATCTGGCTACGATGCGCAAGTCAGTGACACAGAGACGATACTGACGATATTTTCTCGCCTTGCTGTTGGTCCATCGGCACAAGTGTATGGCTCTCTTTTGCTGCAGAGGAGTGCACAAAGGAGTCCCTCCTTCAGAAGCTGCCTCCAAATGTGTGGGCCCAGAAGCTCCTCGACGCCTCATCTGCTGAGAACCCCGAGGACGTCATCCCTCCTGCGCTGCACGAGGGCGTCGGCTTCCCCTCATCATGGCAGAAGCAACTCAGCCCCACCTTCCCACACGGCACTGAGCTTATGGCGCTGTGCACCAGCGACGCAGCCATCCGCCACATGTGTGCCCTCGACCTGGTGGAAAACGAGGAGCAGGCCAGAAGGTTGAAGCTGCTGCAGGCCCAGCTGCCCGAAGAGCTCAGGCAGGGGAGACAGAGGATCCTGTGCATCAACAGCACATTCACGGACGTCACTCTCGGCTGTGAGAAGACGTGTGATGTTAACCAGCTCAAAGACTGGGTGGCATCAACCGGCGGCTACTACGTCATTGCCAAGTCGGACCCCCTGACCTCTGTGACACAGTTCCCGTCCGGTGGCTGCACGTCCGTCATGTGCGGCGTGGCCAACAAGGCCCCGCCGGGAGTTGATGGCCCGGGACTGCCCACACACCCCACACTTGGTACCAGCTCGCCTGCAACCATCTACTGCGAACAGGGCAACTTCACTGCCGTCAACCTCTCCTGTCGACGTACGTCTGGCAGCAACGGAGACATGTGGATGTCCATGTGGTGTCTCTGTCTATGGGTGTGTGTGTGTGTGCAGGGGAGTGCGGTGCTGTGCCGCTGGACCCGTTGCGGTATGTATTCCTTCTCAAAAGCGGCTTCCCCCCCGGGGCGTCCAACCCTCCCGACACATTGGTCTACGTTGCCTGCAAAGAGGGCTACACGAGTGCATCAGGCCCCAAACACGGCAAGGATGTCATCAAATGGAACGATGGTATCTGGACACAAACTGTCCTCGATTGCAAAGGTATCAATCAAGACAAGCACTGTGAAAACACTACAACCAAGACAAGAATATTAGCTAGTGCGTTATTCGTGTGCAGCTGATTGCGGCGAGTTCCCTCTTCCCCAGCCAGTCGTGGCGTATAACATCAGTGGGGAGGGCCAGAACCACGGCGACAAGAGGGAACTGACATGTGCCGAGGGGTACAGCCCTGGGCTGGGCGTGCAGATACACAAGACGACACTGTACTGCGAGAACGGCCAGTGGCAGGCGCTCGACCTCGCCTGCTATCGTAAGCGAGCATTGCAAGGGAGATACTCGCCTGCCTGGAGACACTGACTTCATTCCGATTGCGTGTTGTGTGTCTCTACCAGAGAATTGTCCGCGTGCCGACACGGCGATTCCCATGGACTTTGAGCGGTATCTATGGTTTGACAAACAAGGTGACCACCGACTGACTGACACCTCATGCACGCATGAGTCCTGCCTGTATATGTGTGTTGGGTAGACATCGAGCCTCCCCTGCCCACTCCCCCGCCTTTGGAGCGCGAGGCAGAGGAGGGCCCTGCGGCGGGACCGGGCATCATCGGAGAGGGGGCTAAGGCATACAAGGCAGGAGAAGAAACCAAGGAGAAAGAGAAAGGTGAGCGACCACAAACAACAACACCGACGTCGTAGTTATCTGATCTGTGTGAGCCCGCCCCTGCAGAAGGCGAGGGCGTCCTGTCCAAAGCTGATCGTGAGTCGATCCTCTTCAATAGCACCGAGAAGTCACTGTTTTGGCGCAACGCCACTGTCCGCCCATCGTGCCAGCGAGACGTGGAGAGCCGTACTGAAGTCTGCAATTTTACCGACAGCGACCACAATGTCAGCTGCACATTCGACCTGATGGAGGAGCTGCCTGAAGTTAACGAGACAGCCGCTGCGAACGCCACCAACGCGACGGACAATGCTACAGCGCTGCTGCAAGAAAGGTCCGCTGAGGCACAGCCCACTCTGCCCACTCTGCCTCCGTCGAATCTGCCCTCTCCTTCCACCGCCACCACCACGGCTGCTCCAAACGCGACGACGCATGCCAATGAGACGTCGACTACGGCACCCACACCATCATCGGCGCCCACATCTGCTTCATCGGTGCCCTTGAAAGCCATCTGGAACACCACCAAGTGCACCTCTACAATCATAGACCGGGACAGCACGACGCCGAAAGCACGTTGTGCCCCTCAACGTGTGGTTGAGGGTAACAAGACTATGGCTAACGCTACGGGTACGGTGGAGAGCGACGAGGAGAAAGCAGAGACGGGCCCTGAGGTGGAGGACCTCCTGTGCAGCTGGAACTACCCCGACCACAAGGTGGACTGCCGGACGCCGATCAGCAAGAAGGACGAGGGAAAGTTCACAAAAGAGGGATTCGCAATGAGGTACCTGACCAACGACAACCACACTCACTGCACGGCATCCTCACCTGGACAGCCGTACAAACCAACACGTAGGAGAAGACAATAACGGGAGGGCGTTCCCATATCATGTCTCTCTCTCCTACAGCTGTGCACGAGTTGAAGATCCACAAGTGGGAGGTGCCAGCGATCCACAATGCGCGTGTGGAGATCCAGTGAAGCACCGACCGCATGTACTTCCACGACGGCAACCCCTCGGCATACATGACCTTCACCTGCTACGACGGCAACTGGACCATCCCATCCATCGCAAAGACCAACCTCATGCCACTCAACTGCAAACGTCATAATTGAGGCTGCACACAGACAAACCAGACGTTCAGAGGCACAACCGTCGATTTCGTGTGTCTGTCTCACCACCAGGGGTGTGCAGTGCCGACGCGCGTGTGGCACTCAACATGACGGAGGATCGGGGGTACGAGCTGCTGGACAAGGAGACGTACAGCCCCGACGAGACCGTCTACCACGCCAGCCAACGGAGGATCAAATGCATGAAGACACACTCCGCGGTATGTCAAGCAGACTCACTCACGCACGGCCTGCGCACATGCGCATCACTCCCTTCGTGCTGTGGGTGTCTTTGTATGCAGGACCTTCAGCGCATGTCGGGTGACGCAGAGGAGTACACTCGGCCGTGGATCGGCGAGGAGGTAGACAACTTAGAGCTCAACTGGAACAAGATCGACCCTGTCGACATCGTTGCGTGTGACGATGGACACTGGACTGGAAGGCAGCTGAGATGTTTCCGTAATATATGCAGAGAAACCCACACACGACACGCCAAGCAAACCACCTTCAGGATCGGCCGTCTGTCTTTTTGTCTGGCAGGTCGGTGCGCTGAATTCCCGATGGCTGCAGCTCGGGGCTACGTGCTTCGGCCCCACATTCCCCAACATGTGGGGGTCGCAGCAGGACTCCTAGAGCCCACACTTCCGCATGGCATCACCAGAAGGGTCTCATGCGATCCCGAAAGGTGGGTGAGTGACATAGATGCGCAGGAGGAAAGTTGTTGACGCTAGCTAGCTTTGCCTCGTTCGTTTGTCGGTACAGGCCTCGTGGGGGTAAGATGAAAGGCCATCGAATGGGTTACTGGGCTGTGGAGAACGACGGGGTGGAGCTGGATAAGCTGACCCAGGAGAAATTCAGCATCGTCACCTGCAGGGATGGCACATGGACAACCGCAACCATCACATGCCAGAGTAAACGAGCGAGCACTCATGCATCTATCTCATATTGTCATCCACATGTATGTTTCGCCTTTTTCCTCTCCCTTCCAGAGGTGTGCCCTCCCATCACTGAGGCCCTTCGAGATCTGTGCATCGCCTATCGACACAATCTGGGTGCGCTCAACAAGCAGGACATCTGCTACCCATACACGGAGTTCAGCGCCGTGAGAAGCGCCAGGGAGAACAAGACCGCCTCCAAGTTCACCGAGCCTCCGGAAGCCTTCAAGGCAAAATCCCCCGATGTCAGGAAAGAGGCTAACGAGACGGTCAGGAAGGAGGTGGACGCCAAGAGCAAAGAGGGCAAGCAGCTCGAAGCTATGGTCAATGAAGAGCTGGAGAATGAGAAGAAAGGGCTGACATTGCTGCAGATGGACATGGAGGAGAGCGCGCTTTTTGGCCCGCGGCCTGATCTTGACAAGTGTGCCAAGGCGACGTGTGAAGATATGTTTGGTGCTCTGTCGCCTTACCAGGTGATCCAGTCGATATTCCAGGAGGACATCGCCACCACCAATGTGTTGAGAATGAAGGCCATGGCGATGCCCGAGAAAGACAAACACCTAATGGCTAGAAAGGTGAGTTGCGCTAAGAGTGTGTGGTTGTTGCATGTTCTTGTCTCTTCTGTGAGTTTGTGTTAGCCTGGTGACGTGCATCTTGTGGTGTGCGACTGGGCGTCGAGGCTCGCCCCCATGCTGGACGAAAGCTTCAACTTCCTATTCTACGACACTCTGCACCAGTCACTGGTCGGCCAGATGCACTGCAGAGATGGAAGGTGGACCGAGCTGCCTATCAGATGCAGCAGTGAGCAGTCAGACACAAAGACAGACACAGAGACACAAGATCCACACAGACTTGGATGCTCTCTGTCTGTGGGTGCCTTGCCTTGCAGTGGGATGCAGGGCTTCCTTTGACATGTATGCGTCAGCCATGCTGCGGCGCACGCTCTTCGGCCCGCAGCCGCGCTCAGCCAAGTGCGACTCCCGGGGCCTTTTCACCGCCACGGGATCCAGCAGCTCATTCATCCAAGAAGATGAAGAAATCGCCGCGGTGACGGAAATCGACTTCCCAGACACGAACGTCTGCGCCAACCCAGCTCAGGAGTTCAATCGACTGGGCAACCCCAATTGTCTTCATCACTTCAATCCGAGCGTGGCGGCTCATGCTTTCGTCCAGAGGGAGAGCGACGCTGTACTCACCGACGAGAGCTACGAGGATGGCTTGAGACGGCTGGTCGGCATTCACCCAATCATCGTGTGGCCGAGCTTTATTGACGCTGAAGGACGGCAGGTGGCTCTGGCCCGTCAAGTGGACCAAGAGGTTGCGTTGTGGCATTCATCTGTCAAAAGCCACAGGCACAAGCACACGTCGGGTCTCGACGCCGATGCGAGGCTAGAGCATGACCCTTCAGCGGATGCCGGCGGGCCTTCATCCCCCACCCCTTTGCCGCCTCTCCTGTCGGCCCTTGCGCTCCTGTCACAAAGCGTCTTTCCGCTTCACGCCAGCGACGAGACCGACGAGACGGCAACAACCTCTCTTTCACGGCTCTTCGACAACGGCACAGACCGACCTCTGGGGGTCGTGTTTGTGGCGGAGACAGTCGGCAGGGACGGGAAAGAGACACTTGAGCTGATGGATTACCCGCAGCAAGAGACAAACCGGACGGAGGCCGTGCGGCCAGTTCGCATTGGTTCGGAGAGACAATGACAGCTCGGCACCGGAGCTCTTGCCGATGGCACAGCCTTCCCCTGAGCCACACGAGCGCAGCGTCAAAGTGTGGGTGTGTCAAAGTGGCAGAGGAAGCCAACTGGACATCCATGAGACGTATAGAAGTGAGCAAGAGACGCCCCTTGCCTCCCTTCTGGGTCTGCAGCACCTGAGAAGCTTCTTCTCGTCTTCTTCATCCCGCAGCAACGACTCGTCGACGAGTCGTTTGTGGTCCAGCCACTGCTCTGTGGAAGTGCGGCCTCTCGCTGCCATGACCGAGTCACATGACACATCCAACAGCTCATCGTCTGTACTATTGGGTCTGGGTGGCTTTGGGCTTCAAGACGCCCATCAACTGACTGCTGAAGGCGCCGCAGCAGTGAGTTGGGAGGAGAACATGCTGACTGAACTTGAGGGCCTTCGATCCCGCTTCACACGGATGCAGCAGATGCAGCCGTCTGTCCCAGGAAGGCCACGCGCGACAGGCGACCCATCACTCTCGGTGCATGGAGTCCTCTGGAGGCCGGAGGAAGCGTCGACGGCGACACTTCCTCCCACAGCTGTTTTTGTCCCCTCCCGACCAGTCCACGTACCACCAGTGTTGCGCTTATCGGCTGCCATGCTGAAGGAGAAGAAGACACGAAAAGAAGGGGAAGTGTCTCCATATCAGGACTTCAACGAGAATGCATACGGCGCGGATGTGACCGTCCCACCACCCGAAAGCTCACTTGCACATGCTGGCTTGAACGGAGAAGCCGTGGGGCATGAATCTCGCTCAGAGATCAGAAAGTATGGTGCCATCGACAGAGAGACGGACAGCGGGACAAGGCTGACAAGCGGAAGGAGAACGCGGCAAGTGTCACCGCACTCGGAAGGCCTGGACAACGAGGCGCAGAGGAGAAGAGACGGCGATTATCCGCCCGTCCTCAGCTTAGATCGCCGGACGCCCCTCTCTTTTTTTATGGAGCAGCTACGGTGGCTGGATGTCAGTAGAGGCTCACCGGCATACGTCCTTCAATACCCCTACGAGACGCAATCCTCTTCTGCTGATGGAAAGGGGGCCTCTTCATCCCTAGAGCTCTCTAGTGCGGTGTCTCTTGCACCTGGCATGCCGACCGATTCAGCCTTCATCACACTGGGAGGCTCCTCACGGCAACCGGTGGGCGGTCTTGTTGGGTTCGTCCCCACGAAGCAGGAGGTTGGCCACGGCAAGGGAGGCCCGATCATGAGCTCACCCATGCTGGCCTACTTTCGAGCTCATCCCGAGGCCACCATCGCCGGCCTGCCTTTTGGAGCCTCGTGTGATATATTTAAGAAGAGAGTGCGCAAGTCGCTTCCACGTGCCAACCGATACGCAGTGTGGGGTCCTGGGCGCTGCGATCCAGCCAACTGCTGGAAAGGCCAAAATCCCCCTCAGATCCTCGAGTCGACCGGCCATAGGGGAGGGAAGAAGTTCTGCCAAACCGTTTATACGGTGAGGGGACGTGGGTGGCCATTGAGGCGGGCCGGATAACGTGGAGTTCTGTGAGCAATGGGAAGCCGACGAGTGCTGATAAGGGTGACAAGGGCGATGTGGCGTATGTCATGTGCTCGGCGGGTCGGTGGCGTGTGCCAGTGATACCGGATGTAAATCAAATCGATCTGGCCTTTGCATAGGGCGCTTGATCTGTCTGATTGATTTTGTGCCATTATTATTGTGACATTCATTGTAAGAGGAATGCAGTGAGTGCGCTAGGCGGTAAGTAGGTCGTCCGATGTCGATAGTCGTGTAGCATTTGTGTGTGTACTATTTGTTCTGTGTCTCAGTAGACTTAACGACATCTATCGTGGTGCGTGTCTCGTTGCATTTCATCCATTCATCTGAATAAATAACTCTTTCATGTTCAAAATCCATTGAGTGCACTCATTATATTCCACATACACCATCACAATTCCGTCCTAGCACCAATCTGCACAAATTTCTGCTGACTCGGCCTATTCTCGACAGCAATCCTTTCGCTCTCTCCCCCGCCCGTCTCTCTCTGACCAAACAGCGCCGACCGCACCGTCCTTTCCATCGGCCGACAATCGATGTCGCACGGCTGGTCGCACTTGGAGCACACAGAGGCCCGAAGGTTGGACCGCGATGGTTCGTCATATAGCATGGTGGCAAAGTAGTCGACGAAAAACTTGTCGGGGTCCTCGTTGATCTTCGCCACCTGCTGTCTGCCCGACTCGCTGAGCACAGCCACAGCCGGGTCTAGGGTGGCCTTGGGCGCCTTCTCATTGGTGCGCAGATACGTCAGGTACAGCTGCTCATACTGCTCACGACTCAAGGGGAACCTGCACACACACAAGACTAGTCTGTAAGTCTGCCAGGTGCTCTGAGGCCCTTCTCTCTTGCCGGCGCTACCCTGTGCAGTGGAGGATGGCGTGAAGTCCTTTAAGTCTCGTGGGGCGGTCGCGAAACAGACGCATTATCTGGTCGGAGCGATAAACGACTGGCAGGTTCAAGGCGTCGACGAGGTTATGCCACACCTTTCTGAACGGACAGAGAGAGACATGATGGTGTGTGTGTGTTCGCCTGCCCATCCCTGCATTCGTTTGTGTGGATGCGGCCTGACTGACTCAAGCTTCCGCTCCTCGGCGGGCGGGAAGAGGGGCGCCTTGAGCTCACCCAAAGCCGTCTTGACGTCGATGGGCTGTGACTCCGGACACATGTGGTTTGCCATCAGGTTGGGCTCGATCGTGTCAGACTCCCCACTCTTGGCAGCGATGCGCCAGTGGTACTGAAGGCGCGGCAGCTTCAGAACGTCTGAGCGAAGCGAGGACCGAAAGGCACACATCGCGACGCCAATCGATCGCCGGCTGATGCGAGAGACCTAACGTACCGAGCTACCTGGCTCAGGCTCCTCTGTCTTGCACTCCAGATTGTCGAATAAGGTCAGTGTGGTGCCTGGCGGACCCTGGAGGCGCAGTGAAGAAGGAGACGAGCCGCGGAAGCTCGGCACCACACAGCAGCGCCTGCAGTCACTCACACATACGAAGAGACACAGAGACACATAAGTATGTGATCCCAGAGCTCCGCAATGCCTTCCCTCACTCTTGGCCTACTGACTGTGTGCATTTGTTTGGGTTGAGTGCTTTGAATTCGCCGCTCGAGCCATCGGCCCCCCGCAGCGAAAAGACGAAGGCACACACCGCACCCTTCGCATCACAATCGGGATCCATCCCTGACAAACAAAGCCAACGGCTGCTTGCGGTGTTCATTCACGTGTGTGTGGGACACACGGCACACACCTCTGATGTTTCTGTATATCTCTGAGAATCTGGTGAGAGCTGCGTTGGCGAGAAGGTACTTCCCGTATGTGTTGAGGGACTCCTCCACGGCCGACTCAATCGCACCCAGCCCGCCACTCTGCAGCAGCAGAAACATGCAACAACAATGACATGCGAAGAATGCGATGGGCCCGGTCAGGGCTGGGCCCTTGAACGCTCCTACGGCATGCTCCAGCTTGGGTCAATGAGGTCCTTCCCCGTCAGCCAGTAGTTGGCATTCACCGCCGTCTCATTCCCCATTCCAGTCACATTTGTATCCTGGGCCAAACAGCCGAAGCGCCAGCCCTGCAGACGGGCAGCACATGACAGAACTATCATTGATATGCAATCCACGTGGGAGAGACCGAGAGAACCTATAGTACCAGCAAGAAGAGCTGTGCGAGTGGAAGCCCGACAGACAACCGCCGTTTCATTGCAAAGCGGGCTGAGTAGCCTGCAGAACCCTAGTGCAGGCAGAGTGGAGCGGAGCTCCCGGTCTGCGAATTGAGCTCCCAGTTTAAATTTGAGCTCGCATCACGGCGAAGAAGGTCATCATCACATTCTCTGTTACTCGCAGTTCTTCAAGCAGCCCCACACAACACAAGTTGCCGTCAACCAGCCGGCCACTATGAGCACTCTTTTTTCTATCTTCTTGATCTTCATCTTCGCAGCTATCGCATGGTATGTCGTTGGGGGTGGACACACACAACAGTAAGGTTACTTTCCTCTCTATTCCCCTCGTGTGTTGCGTTGCTCATTGATCAGGTACTTCCCCACCATGGAAGCGAACTGCGGGAGCGCCGCCCGCCAGTGTATGCTGGGTATCTAGACCACATGACGTCCAAAGAGGAGGTTCTGCTTACTATGGGGGGACCTCGCGTCAAATTTAAGGTGGAGCGAGTGGGGGACATTCCCGGAGCGGTGAAGGCAAACCCTTCCTTCATCGGACTGGCAGGGGAGCTCGCCGACGCCCTCGTTGAGCTGGAGAGAGCGGGTTGCATGCCCATTCTGCCCGATGGGCTCGTGGGGGGCAACGCGGCATTCATCGTCACTCACGAGCACCTCACCGACACTCCGCTGGAGGGGTATGGGACCGTTCTGGTCGTGACCAAGTCGGGCAAGCCCGCACATCATCGGCCGAGCATCGACCAGGGGGATTTTGTGATCGTCGTGGGATTCGATCGCCAGGAGTGGCGAGTGCACTACCTGTCCATGACGCCTGCCGAGAAGCCCACGAGCGACACACCGCTGCTCTACGCGGCACTGATGAACAACGGGACGGGCGAGGGAGAGGGGAAGGAGGCCGTCGGCCACAAGGACCACATCATGCCTCGTGTGGCTATCCACGGGCACATGTTCAGCAGCGAGGCGGACGCACTCCTCAACGGGCTGCCCATCAGCAAACACGAGACCCTCTTCTCAACGCCGGAAGATCTAACCGCACTCGAGGAGCTGACGGAGGCATACCCATACCCGGAGTACCGCGTGTATATTCGGAAGGGTCATGGGTTCTTCTCGGTTGGCATGACGGTGGAGGAGGCCATGGACAACGTGCGCCGACTGAAGCGCGCCGACAAAGGGGAAACGGGATAGATAGCCATATGGGGTGGTGGGTGGGGGAGGTGGAGAGGGAGCCGGGGAATAGAGTCAATTGTGCTCATGCAGCCGTGAAGGGTTTTGCTGCATTTCCTTGATGCATCCTCCGTGATGTCATGCTGTGGCCGATTTGTCCGTGTGTGTGGTGTGAGTGTATCCCTCCCTCCCTTTGCTGCCTCTTTTTCCGTCTGACTGCGGGCGGGGCTGAGCCTTTGCGTGTCCGGGCTGGGCTAAGAAGGTCCGGACCGATTGACTTCCTTGCTGAGCTGCCCGCTGCATTTGGTTGTGAGATAGGGCGGTTTGTGGGTCGAACTTTTTGAGCCTTGCCTTATCTCTTCTGCGTGTGAGCCAATCTGATGGGTGGGTGGAATGTGTTCGGACCGAAAATGCCATTCCCATTCGCACGAGCGCATGAACGCCTATGTGTCATCCGTCCGTTCCTCAGTCCAGCCAGGTCGATAAACGTTAGTCTGCCCACGCCAATAAACCACAGCACTGCAGCACACGCAGTCTCCATCAGGTGTGTGTGGATGGGTGGAAGGGCAGAGAAAGCAAAACTCTGTGTGTGTGTGTGTGTGTCCGCCATACATCATGATCATGCACCAACACACACGCACTGCCTTGCCTTGCACTCGTTATGCATACCCACACTCACTCACAGCTCACAACACACCCACCCGTCATGGCAAATCAGACGACAGAGAATGGACCGTTGAGATTGTTGCCCCGCCCTCCCTCCCTCCCTCCCTCCCTCCCTCCCCTCCGACCTTATCTACCTTAGTCAGAGACATCCGAACACGGCAGAGGCTACCTACCTGCATGCAATGCACCACTCGCTCTCCAAGAAGGATCGATCCTTACACACACATTCATGTGCTGCTTGGGGTGTGGTGTGGTGTTTGGGGTGTCATTATGCCCCCCTGCCCGTTAGTTATACGCGGTTGTGTACGCCGTAGCGCTTTATGCCGCCCCCACCCCTGCCGCCCCTGGCCCCACAGCGCCAGTCGTCCCCCGTGTGTGTGCCGTGCTCCTGCCAGACCTTGACGAGCTCGTCGGCCAGGTCGTGTCTGCAGTTGCGCTGGCATGAGGCGATGATGTTGTTGATGACCTCGGGCTGCAGGGGCAGCCAGGGGATCACCGGCTTGTGGGGGGGCGGGATGAGACGCAGAGGGGGGAGGTCGTACCCGGCAGACTGGAGCTCCACGTGGGAACGGAGACCGTACGCCCTGACATACATACATACGCATGAGAAAGAAAGGAGATGAATGGATGGGTGTGTGTGTAAGGGAGGGAGGGGGGGATTTGTGCACATTTGAACGATTTGAGTAGCGACTTCGAGACGGCCGGCATGGACGCACCCCAGCAACAAAGCACCCAACCTGACACACACAAGAGACGGACCTCTGGTGTATGCCTGCGAGTTGAGACACGCGCGTGTGTGTGTGTGTGTGTGGCTTACGTGACTGCATCAGGTTCGACGCCGGTCATCTGCATCTCCTGGAAGACCTCGAAGGCCCGCTTGAAGTGTGTGGATCTGACGCATGCCTGGATGAGGGTCGTGTACACGAACACACCAGGCTGCAGCTGATACACCTCCCTCATCTGATGGATGGGCACTCAATGGTCATACACACCAGACGAGATGAGATGAGATTGGCCACGGAGAGAGGCTGTGGGGTGGGCGTGTTGTGTGCCACTCTTGCGTACCCACCTCCTGGACGGTCTGGAAGGCCTCCTCGACGAGACGCAGGCGGCCATACATCTTCACCTGCACACACACATATCACAAATCACACAACCCTTTTTGTGTGTCTCGCCTGCCCTGCCCTGCCCGCCCCACACAGCACAGAGTCCGCACGCACCAGTATTGAGAATGTGACGTTAGAGGGTCTGATTTCGTCTCTGGCGAGGTCCTCGAGCAGCTTCTCGGCGAGCGCCACGTCTCCCGCGTGTGAGCAGCCCTTGAGCAGCGAGTTGTACACAATCTCGTCGGGCACGAAGCCCTTGGCCTTCATACTGTAAAGCAACTCAACCGCACTGTGGACCCGATTGATGGCATGGCATCACACACAGACACACACACAGGGAGAGACGTAAGGGCGAGCGGGAACACGTGTGTGTGTGTGTGTTGTGTTGTGTTAGGTACCGGTCGAGCTTTCCGTTTTCGCAGTTGCCTTTGATTAGGATGGAGTAGGTGATCAGGTCGGGCTCGATCTTACAAGCCACCATGTCCTGTGGAGCAACAAGGAGAGAGACACACCATGGTCCTCAGCATCGATGGATGGATGGAGGGAGGGATAGGTGTCCAGCTACCTGCAGGACGTCATTCAGCCGGCCGTCGTTAGTCCTGCAGCCAGCCACACAGAAAGGCCAAAGGACCAGACAGACACCAGCAGCCGTGGATGGATGGATGTCAGCCATGGTATGCGGATGTGATGTGTGTGGCCCTCCCCTGTGTACCTACCGAGCGCATGCGTCGAGGAGTGAGTTGAACGTCACCGAGTTGCGCGGCACCCCCTCCCTCTTCATCGACTCATACACCTCCATCGCACGGTCAGTCTAAATGGATGGATGGCATACACAGACACATACAGACAGAGGTCACGACACAAGACGTGACACACGCATAGATGAGCTCTCTTTCTCGAAGTGTGTGTGTGTGGACCTGTCTGCTTTTGGCGAATCCCTTGATGAGTGTGGTGTAGAGCATGGTGTTGCCCTGCCGCCCGCACTCCTGCTCACCACCACTCGCCGTCTGCTGCTGCTGCTGCTGCTGCTGGTGCTGGTGCAGGGGTGGCGGGTGCTGCTGGATCTCCTGGAAGAGGCGGTGTGCCGTGTGCAGGTCGTTCTGGTTGATGCAGGCGTCGATGAGGCACCCGTAGGTCACCGAGGTCGGCTGGAGGCCGTCGCGCTGCATCTCATCCCACAACTCGAAACACGCCGGCAACTGACCGCACTGATACACACACACGCACACACACAGAGAGAGAGAGGCGACGTGTGTGTGGGTAGGGGGCGGCAGGGTTGTGTTTACCTGTCCGAAGGCATTGATGAGTGTGCCGTATGTGACGGCAGAGGGCGTCACGCCATTCGCCTTCATCAACTTGAACGTCTGCAGAACAACACAGATACAATGTACCTTGCCCGTCTCCTCCCCCACCCCTGTTGGTCTGTTGGCTACCCGCTGCAGTGTGTCCAGGTCCCGCATGGCCACACACGCGTCTAACATACTGTCAAACACCGCCTAGAGACGGACGACAACCACACAAACACGAGGCAGACGCATGATGCCCGCGCCCAAATCGGCACCCCCACAATGGAGTGGATTCTCCCTCACCTCCCGGAACTTGCCCGCCGTGCGTTTGCCGTCCGCCACGAACGACACAGGCGGCTCGCGAGCCGACAGCTTGGCCAGCAGCAGCAACACGCGGTCGATGTGCCTCTGCCGGTGCAGCAGCGCGGCCTCTGTGTCGGGGTGCTGTCTCATGGATCCCTGGAAGCCGAATGGCGCGTGGGCGGATGGGAGGGGGACGGGAGGGAGGTTGACGATGCCCTTGATGAGGGTGGAGACGGTGCAGAAGTCGGGCTGCACGCCCGCGGCCTCCATCATCGAGAGCAACTCCCACGCACTGTCCTGTCGCTGCGGGAAAGGCAGGAGAGGGAACTGTGGTATCTCGGTGGTTTGTGTGCTGGCGCATTCTCTCTCTGTGTGTGTGAGTGGTTGCCTGTGTGCGAATGGCCGCGTCGATCAGTGTGTTGAAGCTTATGTCGTTGGGGGCCAGCTGCAACTCGCCGCCCAGCAAACACTGCACAGGCACAGCACGAAAGGGGCAAGGGGTCGCGTCTGTCCGCACATCCATCGGGGCCCCACCCTCATACGTACGTTGAACGCTTCCATGGCCTTATCAAACAGGTTTGCGTGCGTGTAGCCCTTGAGCAACGTGTTCACCGACACAATGTCCAGCAACTCGCCTGCACACACACACACAGGCGCGGACGGCCAGCCACATCTCATCGCGTCTCTGTCTGTGCGGTCTCCCTCCCTCCCTCCCTCCCTGTCTGTCTGGCGTACGTCGTGAGTGTATGAGAGTGCCTTGGATGATGTCTTCTGCGATATCGACTCGCCCGCCGTTGACACAGCCCAGCAACACCTGGTTGATGAGCAGCGTGTCGGGCTCCACGCCAGATGCTACCATCGCCTGTACGTGTGTGTGGGGTGGATGAGGGGAGGGGAGGGGGGCAGTTTGCAAAGCAGCACACGACGCATGGCAGACGTCCAAGTATGGCGACATGTGTGTGTGTCTGTGTGTGTGGTACGTTGAGGGTATCCATGGCTGCCTGGTAGTCGCCTATGCGGCCGTAGATGCGGACCAACGTCATGTACGCCCTGCACACCACACACACACCACACGAAAGATTAGGAGGCAGGGAGACACATTCAGGTGCCATTTACTTGACGGATGGCGTCCCGATTTCCTTTAGTCGTTCGAAGAAGAAGATGGCCTTCTCGTTCCAACTCAAATCGGCTGCACACACACACACACACACACACGTGTAATATGGCAAGGAGGGTGGGATGTGTGGGTAAGAAGATGTGTGGATGTGTGTAGGTGAGCATGTCTGTCTGTGTACCAGCGAGGTTGATTAGGCACGACAACATGACGGTGTCGGGCTGCAGCCCATCCGCCAACACAAACTCATACAAACCGACAGCCTGACAACCCACACATACACACACACACACAGAAGAAATCCCCCCCCACACACGTCTCTGCACCTCTCCCCCTCCCCCACTTGTCATGTCACCTGTTCATATCTCTGTTTGGCCGCATATGCGTTCATGATGGACGCGTAGAAGTGCAGCGTGGGACGCAGCGACGGGTCAGCCCGGAACCGCTCCAGCACCCCAGCCGCCTTGGCGAACTGGCTGGTGTGGATGCACAGCTGCACGATGCTTGTGAACACCTCCTCCCAGCCCCACCCCTCGCAGTTCTTGGCCGTGTTGGGCGGGTGGGGCTGGGGCTGGGGCTGAGGGGTGACGGCCGTCACGTCGGTGCTCTCGCTGGTGCTGCTGCTGAGGGTGGGAGTTGGGGTGGCTGAGGGTGTGGTTGAGGGCATGACGAAGGGATAGCCCACACGTACCAGCTCATCGTAGATATCGAGGGCCAGCAGGTGACGCTCGGCACACAAACCTGACGACGCACAAACCAGACAGCACAACGGGGTGGGTGCATGCAGATGCGACCGACGAGGGAGGCGGCTGGCCGTTTTCTGCTTACGGAGCAGCACGAGTGCGAGTCGCCGGGGCTGATCGAGCAGGTCAGCCAGCCGGTGTTGTGAGTTGATCTCAATGTCCGCCACCTCGCCGTACACCGAACGACTCGGCGTGGACGGCTGGCGCGTCGACAAAGACGGCGGATCACGAGGAATGGTCTGCAACCACACAAACCACACAAACCATCGGAACCATCCACACCACACAGAGGGTGCCCCTCCCCCTTTTGACTTACGTTATCTCGGGGCGTGCTCGACTGTGGACTCCCGGCGTTCCGTGGGGGGCTGAGGGAACTGGTGGGGGTGGTCTCGGCAGACTTCACAGTGTCCTTTGCACTACCCCTGGCCATCCGGCGGCGCCGTTGGGTCCGCACATAGATCACGAACGCAGCCATTGTGGCCAAGACGGCCAGCTCGGAGCGGATGCGCCAGAGGAGCAACAGCAGCAGCAGGAGGGCGTTCATGGCAGGTAGGCTGCAGAGAGCGGCTGAGCCTTTAGAGCGGAGAGCGGGGGATGGGGTGGCCCAGCGGCGAGATGGCGGGCACGAGAGGGCAGGGGATGGCGGAGGATGGCGTCACGGCTCCATGGAGCATTAGGCATCCATCAATAGGGGCAGCGGATAGACAGGGGGCGAAACTATGGCCGTGGCGGCCGCTATCAATGCCGCGTTGCTGTGTTGTCCGATGTTGCGATCTCGACGCAGATCTCGATTTTTCGCGCCCGCTGGTTACAACCATGATGGAGTGGCCTGTAGTGGCCTATTGGGAGGACCAGAATAAGCTGAGCAGATCTCATCAACGCAACAGCGCCATAATGGGCCAAATGGCGCGCGAGGATGACGGAAATGATCTGAAAAACGCCATTGAAAGAAATGCCCTCGGTTATGGATGATCTCAAGGAGGCCGTCAGCTTCAGGGACGCTCAGGGCTCTTCGTTGCAGCTTCGATCGTGCCACCTGCTGGCCCTTTTGCTGTTTTGTTTCCTTGCTGGGTCTGTTGTCGGCGGTGCAGTGGTGGCCTTCGAGGTACCAAGGACATCAGTGTGTATATATGTGGCTGGCTGGGCCACCATGTTTGAGTAGTGTACTCGCCTGTCTGTTCTGCATCTGCAGAAGGCTGAGAACCTTGTCGAGGAGCTGGTGAGCTCTCGTCTCGCCAGGGACACTCTGTACCATCGGTGAGCAGAATGACTGCACAGTGGCCGTCGTCTGTATTCATCCATGTGTTGATGTATGTCAGGTATGGCGTGCCTCAGGCTGTGTCGATGACCCTGAGCACGACAATAGGAGGCCTTATTGTAGGCGTCCTCATTCATCGGTGGTTCCCGGAGTGTCTGGGAAGCGGCCTTATTCCAACCAAGCTCCACACCACGCTCAACAAGCCAGTGCCGCTTCGAGTGGCCCCTCTGAGGATGGTTTTCGGCGCCATCTACCTGGGTTTCGGTGAGAAAGCCGCTCAATCACTCAATCAGTCAAGCTCTGTGCACATCTATGTTTTCACCCTTGTCTTGTGCTGCAGGCAATCCGCTGGGAATCGAGGGGCCAACAGTGCACATGGCTGCTTCGATTGTCACCTCCATCTACAGCATTTGCACCAAGAGGTGCCCGCTTCCGTGCTCCTATCTACCGAGCCTCGTCACTGTTGGTGCTGGAGCTGGTATCTCTGCAGCCTTCAACGCCCCTATTGCCGGCATTACTTTCGTCCTCGAAGAGCTCGTCGAGTCCCTCTCCAGAGTGGGGGTGGCTACCATCCTCGTGGCCTCCGTTGCGAGCACTTTCACCAGCCGCATGCTCTTGGAAGACCATGCTTTCTTCAAGTCTGACATAACAAGGCGGTCTGCAACTCTCCATCCTTGGATGCTCATCTCCTTGCCCCTGGGGCTGCTGACCGCCATATTTGCAGAGGTCTTTTGCCGCGTCCTGCTGCTCGTCAGGGGACATCTGGCTGATCGAGGTCATTTTGTCCGAATGCTGCCCTACCCCCCTCCGTGGTGCCACATGGCATTGGGCGGCTTCGTTGTCGGCCTTATCGGTGCCATCGTGAAACATGCTACCGGGCTGGACGGCATATGGGGGATCGGCACTGGGTCTTTGCGGAAATCGCTGCAGAATTCCTGCATCCTGCCATGGCACCAGTATGCCATATTCTTTCTGGGCAAGATTGTCGCATGTGCCATTGCGGGTGGCGTAGGCGGCCCTGGGGGGCTGTTCTCGCCAGCCTTGATTTCGGGAGGAATGTTTGGAGGACTGGTTGGGCATGCACTCTACTTTTGGAGTGGGGATGGAGAGTGGCTGAAGGCGTGCATGATCCTGGGGATGGCTGGGCTCTTCTCTGGCTTGATGAGGGCCCCATTGACCACGACGATCATCGTGTACGAGATGACCAGGTGAGAGGGGCGAAAAGTGAGACATGGGGGCGGTAGATGTGTGTGGTTTATTGCAGCGTGTATTCATTGCTACTGCCGGTCATCTGCACCTCATTTGTGTCGTATTGTGTCGTCAACTGGCTCGAGGGTGAGGACCTTCTGCATCGCATGATGGCACAAGTGAGGCAATGGCTCAGCCTGAAGACTGACTGATTACCTTCACAGCTTCCATGTCTCCCTTCCATGTGCTTCCATGTGGTTACCAAGGACGGCCTTCATCCCGACAAGCTGGCCAAGGTACTGGAGGAGACGGCTGCCACAATCCCGGCAGGGTCTTCCAGCGCCTGCACCGTTGACAAAAGCGAGTTGCCATCCATTGTAGAAGAGGGCTCGGTCATTGGCAGGTCCGCATTCACTCTGGTTGGTACACACATTACATACACGAAAATCACATTTCTGCGCTGTCTTATTCAGGCGCCGCAGCGTCTTCTCCGATTCAAGTAGCCGCAAGTCGTCGATGAGCTCAGAAGGGAAGAGCAGACGGTCCTCGATCGTCTCTGCCATTGACCTGCCAGGGTGAGCTCGAGACGCCCTCACGTGTCCGTCGATCCATCCCCGGTCTGTGTCTCAATCGGTCCTCATTTGTCTGTCTGCAGCCAGCCAAGCAACGCGCAAAGAAGGAGCTCTTCGATCAGCTCTAACAACGAGACACTCCAAGCCCTCAATGCCTTCATCAACAACGCAAACAACAGAGACAGAGATCCGAGACGCCGCTCTGTCGACAGCTCCGCGTCAGGGAGGCGCCGCTCGGTGGCCCTTTCATCCGTCGGCGGCCGGCAAAAGAATCGGCGAAGGAGATTGTCGATGCCTGGGCCTCACCACCATGCTGTGCCCCTCAAATCTATCTTGAGACGGCCATCCTGTCCATCTCTTCACGACGGGGAGCCAAGTCCTCGTCAACAGCCTGGCCCGTCTTCTTCTTCTGACGGTGAACCGGTGCTCCTTGCTCCTGTGGAAGGGGGCAGGGCGGCGGGGGGGCTGTTGACGGTGCCCGAGAGCCATCAGTGGGAGGAAGGGAGTGTGCTCAGTCAACTTGTCTCAGATCCAGGGCCTCCAACCGAGACAGGACCCAGCGCAAGCATTGAATTTGCCAGGTGAGCAAGGCCCAGAACAGAGGGAACCTCGTCAAGTCATTATGCATGTGGCGCAGGATTGCCGCCCGTCAGCGGAGTCGGTCCGTGAATTTTGTCGAGATACCTCAGGAAATCCGTATCATGGTTGCCCCTGCCTCCAGGCAGCGGCAGAGGGCCGCGTGGAAGTCGCGTCGGTCCTCTTCAGTGTCGGCAATGGCAGGCACGAGAAGCCCCAGGAGAAACAGCATAATTGCATCCATCGTGGTCGGCATCCTTCATCCTTGCATGTCTCACTGAATTGTTGTCTGCTCATGTCTCCTGGTGTGTCCATCCATCATCCATGTCTGCAGCGTCGCACGAACCGCCGGTCTTCAACCGAGGCCCCCACGACGATGGCCAACACAGACTTCATGGCGTCCGTGAGAGCCGAAGTGGAGAGGATCAAGAGGGAAAAGGCCGCATCATTGGGCAGAAAGATTGCAGGGCGGGCGGCCACCTCTTCACCGAAATCGTCCAGGTCATCCAAGAGCAGCCAGGAGGAAAGAGACAACAAGAGCGGCAGCGAAGGGTCGGAGGGGCAAGCAGGGAAGGGACGGCCGCAGCCCAGTGCATTGGGGGCGGCAAGTGGCATTGCATGACATCATGATGACGTTTTGGATTGCACGGTCAGTCTAGCGCTGATGTCATGTACATGGATGACGCCACGTGCCTTCCTTACTGCGTGGAGGGAGGGAAAGTGTCATGCATGCGTATGTATGTGCTCTCCGTGATGACCCAAATGGACTTATCCAGATACGTGTTTGGCATTTCGTATAAAGCTTATGCAAAACATTTCTCAGCTCACGCGCTCAGAAGCCCATCGCTTGAGCCCCATCTTATGTGTAGTCCCTCACCCGCAAATCCGACACAAGGCCGAGGCCGAGACCGAAACACCAGCGTGGCACAATCTTTGAAAAAAAGCCCGCATGCACAACACGCAGCGCTGAGGGCACGACAGCAGCTTCGAACCCCATTGTTCGAAAAAGAGCACATATGCACCTGTCCCATGCGTCACAAAAAGCGACAGACGGGCAGCACACCCACGACAGGCAGCGCCAATTCCTCACTTGCGCAGCCTTCCTATGGCCCTGGCGGCCAGCCATCCGACAGCCACCGTCCCTCCCACCGCACACAGGACAGCCCCCCACCCAACGATCAACAGCTTCCCGAAGATCCTGGCCTGCCGCTCGCGCATCACCTGACGGTCATTCAGTCGAGGGAAGTCGATGGGCGGCACGGGGACATCCAGGAATCGGCACAGAGGCTCCCAACCATCCGATACCTGCGGGCAACAGAAAGGGTCACGGTTCTGCCCGTCAATCCAGCCTCTAAAGGCGGTCCATGCCTACCTGAAAGACGAGGAGTCTGTCCGTCGGCACGGTGGCTTTGACCTGGTCGATTCATTCGTTGAAAACCTTGACAGCGGCCTCCTCGCTCAGCCTGTGCATGTTCCACCTGGCTACCACGCTGTAGTTGACGACAAGTTTCATCAGGTGATGCATGTTGAGCAGCCAGCCCGCGATGTTGAACGGAAAGGCCGTCAGCGTTTCTCGATGGCGGACGACGGTTTCTTTGGCGCTCGTATACCACTTATGCGGGTCTCGAACCGTCAAGATCACCTGATGACACGTCAGAGAAGCAGAACAGAGGCAGGAATGGCATTCATTCTCACACTCATCACGTGCCTCCCTCCTCGGCACTGACCTTCGCGTCCGGGAACGCCTCCATGAGTTCCTTGTAGTACAGGTTCGTGGGAAAATCACAGGCGGACACGTAGCCGTCATAGATCTCGTGCTGCAGACAGGACAGAACAAGGGGCAGCAGAAGATGAGATGGCACTCGTGTCTGTGAGCGTCTTTGCGCCTGTCGTCTTACCCAGTTGTCGATGCCCTTGCCGTTGGCTTCGCAGACCTTCAGCCACTGCTTGGCGCGTCGGGGCACCTGAGGGTCCATAGCAACTTCTGAGCATTCCAACCGCAGCACGTACAACACACCGCGGTGATGAGCAGCAGAGATCATGAAGAGTCAGCCCTGTAAGGTCATCGGCACCCACCAGAGAAGTGGTAACAAGGGCCGTATCCAATCGCTTCGAGAGCCGCCTTGAGGGACATCGTCCTGCAAGCAACGGGAGAGAGGCATCCACAGTGTGCGTGCCACGACTTGTGTGAAAAGCTCACCCCGTTCGGCCGTGTCCTGCCCCTATCACTCGGAGACCGCCTGCATCTCTTGCTGCATCTGCATCACCCACGCTCGCTGCAGATGTCGATGAAGAACGAGCCATTCCGTCGAGAAGCTCTTTGCTGCCTCTTCGTGAGCTGCAGTCTGGAATCAGGGAATCCAAACGAGACGCTGGAGGGGGGAGGGATGCGAGCTAGGAAATGGGCCCCAATGCAAAATTGTGATTTGCGTGCTGGTCGCCCATGCTTCCGTGTAAGTCAATTCGCATCAAATTGTGATTTCTTCGAAGGAAAACCATTGCAGCGCTGAGAGAGCGTTGATACGAGCCAACTGCAGTCGGATCTTTCCGGCATGGCGCTTGCACAGCGGCTTCGTGGCACACTGCAGCCCTCCGACCCGCCCTCCTCTCAACAGACAGCACAGTCGTCGCGCACGCCTTCGAGCGTGCCGGCGTCGCCACTGCCTGCGACCTCTCCCATCCCCTCCAAGAGCCCTCGGCCGCCCAGTTCGGGAGGCGGCGGGAGCCCCGTCTCCGAAGAGGTGCCTGAAGAGGAGAGGACAGTCATATTGGAGGAGGCCGAGGCTCTCCAGCTCATCGCTGCGGCCAACCAGCTGACGCCTGATGTGCTTGCTGAGAGGCCGGAGCAGGTGGAAAGGCTGGAGCTGGTGCTTGACAGCAGGGTGCGGCCTGAACTGCTCTCGCGGTTTCGGGGACTGAAGGAGCTCACGCTGATTCAGCAGGGTTTGGTGTCCTTGGAGGGGCTGGAGGAATGCACACAGCTGGAAAAGCTGTGGCTGTGCGAGAACGAGATTCGGTCGCTCGAGGGTCTGCAGGTGAGTGACTGACCGATTGCTTTCTCCGGTGTTCATAGGTTTGCTTCATTGTTGCTTGTGTTTGCTTGTCGGTTGTGAGTGCAGCGGGTCCCCAATCTGGTCCTGCTGAACATCTCCTTCAACCGCCTCTCGTCCCTTTTCTTCGGGGGCTCCTCGCAACCTGCCCTCCCCTATCTCGAGGAGATATGGATATCGGGCAATCGGCTCACAACCCTCGACTCCCTGACTTTCGCTCCCAATCTCGTGTATCTCAATGCGGCCAACATGCGGCTGACCAGCCTGACGCCCCCCACCCCGTCCGCTGGTCAGCCGCCGGTGGCGCAAGGTACCCATTGGCTCAGTTGTGTCAAGCTGCAGCACCTCAACTTGAGCGCCAATCGGCTGTCGAGCTTCAGGGACATCCGGGCACTTACCCGGCTGCCGGCACTGAGTGCACTCCATGTCTCGGACCCTGACTGGGGCGACAACCCGCTGTGCTATCTGTGCAACTATCAGACCTACACGCTCTTCCATCTCCCGAGCCTGCAGGTATGCAAAGTCAATACGTGGCCTTCTCTGCGAGAGAAACGGCCCATCTGTGACGATTTGTAGATCCTCGATCGTGTGCGTCTTGGTCCCGATGCCCTCAAGTCAGCGGAAACCACCTACTTGAAGAAGCGGCTCTACTACAACATGAAGATAAAAACCATCAAGAGACAGGTGGGTGGGTCGATCTGCACGCCTTTCGTGTCCCATCCATCGTACATTTTCCTGCTGTCCATCCATCAGGCCACAGATGGTCGCCGCTTTGGTCGGTGGTGGCTGGATGAGGTGCGCAGGGGTGTCCGTGAGGAGTACGAGGAGGTGCTCAAGTCACGACTGGCACTGGACTTCGCCCTCGACCTGCCCAAGCCCTCGCTCGACACCTTTGGCAATGCCGCCGCCTCGCTGTCGGCCTGGCGGAAGGAGGTCGAGGAAAGACGCGACATGCTCGAGGGACTCCTCAATGACCTTGGCACTGTGAGTAAGACGTGAAATGTTCAAAGCATAGGTAATGGAGACATGGTGTTGTGGATTTGCATGTCCAGCTTTGGTCGAGCTATGAGGAAGAGCTCCGTAGAATCCAGTCAGCGTCGATCCACCAGCTGCTCGTTGAGCTGCAGACGGGAGGGAATGTGAGGTTCGAGCCTGGCACGACCGATGAGGCGTGGTGAGCATTCGTGTGTGCCGCGTTGTGTCGCAGCTGCAGGTGTGTACTTTGTTTGTCACATTTCAGGTATCAGTGGATTGTACAGATGGTCGAGTCAAGGTTCGTATCCAGGGACTTCACGCTATTCGCTGTCAATAAGATCAAGTCAGCAAGGAAATGCCATTACACTGTCTCATCGTAAGACACGCTGTATACGAATTGTGACCAATGGACAGGGTCACGGGTGTTACGAGGGTCCACAACCGATTCTTGAGATTAAAGTTTGACGAAATCTGGTAAGAGAAACAAATTGTTGGCGCATTGATGGTGAGTGTCTGTTTGCCTGTGTGCCTGTGCTGTCCGACAGGGAGTACTGTTCGAATCTGACCAACAACGGCTGCCCGCCACTCCGGCCGCCCGACGCAACAAGCTGCAGCGGTCCGCAAGACCCTTATCTCTTCTATCTCAAGCAAACCGACAACCCAAAGGAGGTCTACAGGATACTTGAGGAGGGATTCGGGGCCCCACCAGACGGCTCGGACAAGACGGAGGGAGCTGATGAGGACCCAGCTGTGTCTCCCTCAGTCTCAGTGCCCTTCGTTCCGCTGACCAACTCTGTCGCCTCTTCGGAGATTCCCTCACTCAGATCTTACCTGGCGTCGTCTGTAGGCGCTGCATCTCTACGAGTGGCACAGCGGTGTGTACACAAATGCATAGTCGGTGAGGGCAATATCGGACTTGTACTGATGCTTTTGCAGGGCTGCGGACCGTCGTACATACCAGACGAATCCCTCGGCCACAGCCACGAGCAGAGACACGGTATCCGTGTCAAATCGCATCGTGCCGTCGGAGTTGCGAGATGTGTACTGCCCGCCTGGAGGGATGCTTCTCGTCTGTGCGACATGCATGCCGTCACAGGTAAGCAGAGAGAGAGAGAGAGAGAATACATCCATCCCTGATCGAGAACATGTATGTCAGAAAGCCGATACAGTCAAGTACTATGAAGACGACTCTCCGTCCTCTCTGTGGAAGCGAGGCCCGTCGGACGCCGCCCCCCACCCCGGCCCACCCAGCTCGGCATCCGACGACTCAGATGACGACGCATCCTCTCCCTCATCACATGATGACGCCCTCTCATTTCTCACTGGTGCTCCATCAGCGTCGAGCACTCCGCCAACTGTTTCCAAGCGGGCCAAGACGCCTGAAAGAGTCGCCAGAGAAAAGGGGGCGCCCATGGCCGTCTTTCGAGTCAAGAAGGACGATCCCCAGCAGAAGCTCTGGTAAGAGGGATTCGCCTTTACGACTGATGCGTGCGAAAAAAGGCTTTGTCGTGCAGGTGGGTGTTGAACCCGGCTTTCGTTTTGCCTGAGTTCTTGGTGTACTTCGAGTACGAGGCGCCTCCAAGACAGGCAGACCCCTCCCCCTCTCCCCCTTCCTCCCCCCAGCATGGCAGCGGCATCAAGTCAGCCTCGCCTGCACCATCCACCTCCCAGAGAGCAGCCGAGAGCACCACCGCCACCGACGGACAGGAGAGCGAGATGGCCAGCACCGTGTCGGTGTCAGACTACTCGCCGAAACGCGAGAGACATGACGATGACACGGCGGACAGCGATCCCATCAGGCTTGAGCTGACATCAGCTGTCGAGTCGCTGCCACTGCCGGGGAGCGATTCGTCTGGAGCCGAGGCCGGGAAAGACGGCAATGTGGTTGCTGTGGGCGTTTGGAGGGCTCAGCCCGAACCCAACATATCGGACGACGCCGTGGGACTGTTTGGGAGCTGCATAAGGTAAGTAAGCCGAGGAGGAATGAAGAGGGTGCGAAGATGTCTATCACGTGATCATGTCTCCAGGCATTTTCGTGAGTGCTGTAATATGGCATTGCCGTACCCGCCACCGCGGTCTAAGAAGGACGCGGCAAAGAAGAATGCGCTCGCGAGAGCACCCCCTCCCCCTCCTCTCTTCTCCGCCGACCTGCAGACTTTCCTTAGAGACTTGGAGCCCTCCCCCCTGGAGCGCATGTCTCTACTTGCTGCTGCGAACACGGTGCCATCTGTGTTCGACCCCATCAAGCCCCGCAAGTTCACATCCATGTCTGCGTCGACCTCGCAAGTATCCTCAAGACTCCAGCAGTGCGACTCGCTGGTGCTCTTCGGCCGCCGCATACGGAGAATCGACGCCGTGTTGCTGCCGTTGCTGACCCGTCTGAAGGTGCTCAATCTGAGCTTCAATTGTTTGGAGTCCGTGAGTGTGTTCCTGCCGCAGAAGGGAGGCGAAGCCGGGGACAGTGTGGTTCTGCCGCAGCTGACGACGCTGGACTTGTCGTTCAATTCGCTGCAGTCCATCAGGGCGCTGAGGGGGCTGCCTGTGCTTCGCTACTTGAATGTTGCGTACAATGACTTGCGCTTTATCGAGGAGTTTGCTGAGCTTGGTGAGGGAGAGAGATTACGACACTGCCTGTCGACATTCCCCTTGCCCTGCTTCCTGCACTGCCTGCAGGTGTGAGTCTTCCCTCTGTAGAGGAAGCTACGTGTTTGGGTAACCCCATTTGCTACTGGAAGGAGACATACAGGTGAAGACATCCCAGGCAAGAGGAGAACATGACATGGTGGACATTGCCAATTTGCCGTTTAGGAAGAGCATCGTCGGTGCTCTCCCGTCGCTCAAGAGGCTCGACGAAGAGGACGTCAGCCTCACAGAGCGACAAACATCCCAGAGTTACCTCTCTCGCACATCCCCGGACGACGCCGAGCTGCAGCGCCGCAGCTACATCCCCCTTCCCCTTGTAAGAGCCATCCCTGCATCCGCTCCCTCAGACTCGCCCGACAGCCCCCACCCAGAGTCATCCCGCTCCTCACGAGAAGGCGAGTCGCCTCTCGCCGCGTCTCACCGGGGCTTTGGGCCGGGTGTGCGAGCTCGCCACATATCGCCGGCAGGAGGGCTGTGCTGGGAGGTGGAGGGGTGCGTGACTGCACGAGTGGTGCTGGGGTGGAAGGAGGAAGGGAGACGGGATGGTGCGGGGGAGGAGGGGGTCAAGGCTGAGTTTGTGGAGGGGGTGCAGCAGCTGGCAAGGGAGGTGACCCCTTCCAGATGGACGCTCTTTGTCGAGTCGATGGACTTGGCGGGCGCTGAGATCACGGAGCTGCCTGACTTGTCACGGTTTCGTCGGCTGAGAAGGCTCAACCTCAACGGAAACCGTCTCACGTCAGTCAAGGTGAGTGAGGACCATTAGTGCAGCCGATTCTGCGTCTCCTGGATGACCATGTCTCACCGCTCACACGCCCTTTGGCTTTGCAGGGCATTGAGTCTTGCTCGTCGATCGAGGAGCTGCTTGTGGAGCAGAATCGGCTGGAGGATCTCGAGCCCATCACCAGCTTGGCGTGCCTCAGGCGCCTCGATGCTGGATCCAACAGACTCACAGACCCGCCCATCGCGCTGGGAAACCTGACCAAACTCAACCAGCTCAGGTAGCTAGCTACATACGGGAAAATGGTACAGCTCCATGCATTCGATCCTTCGCGTGGATGCAGCCTGGAGGACAATCTGATAGACTCCCTAGACGGCTTCACAGCCATCGAGAGCGTCATCGAGCTGTACCTGTCCAATAACCTTGTCGAGGACCTGCGGTCGCTGAGCGTCATCAAGAACCTTTCCAAGCTCATCATCTTGGACCTGGCGGGTAATCCGGTGGTGTCCGTGGAGGACTACCGCCTCTACACCATCTTCTACTTTAAAAAACTCAAGGTCCTCGATGGTGCAGCCGTCACCACAAACGAACAGGTACCGAGCCTCAAAGGCAGGAAGACAATGAAAAGTGCACAAGGCACGTGGTACATGCGCAGAACGATGCTCGAGAGCGGTTCGCCGGCAAGCTGTCGATGGAGATGCTTGAGGAGAAGCTGGGGACCTGCCCGTGCTACAACTTCAGGGTGCTGGACTTGTCGGGCTGTCGGCTGCGTGAGATCCCCGCCAACGTCATCACTGACGAGGTCTTTCCCTCACTCCGGGAGCTCACATTCGACAACAACCAGCTCACGTCCGTCGCCACCCTGGGGCCGCTGTCCAAGCTTGTGGTAAGGAGAGACAGATGTCCATATGGTGGCCATTCCTTCATTGATGTATGGGCGCGGTTTTGCTGTCAGGTGTTGCGTCTGAACAACAATCGCATGGACCTTGAGACAGGGCTTCTGGGAGCTGAGGAGCACCAGGGTCTGCAGGGGCTGCCGTCACTGCAGATCCTGGAAATGGCCTCCAACGCCATCACTGACCTCCGCCCACTCGACAAGCTGCCACTCAAGTCACTCAGGAACCTCAACCTCAAAGCTAACGAAATCACCAAGTATGGTCGTCACGCCTCTCGTGCTGCTCAGGAAGCAGGTTGCCGTCTGTCTCAATCTCAATGATGGCTGCGTGCAGGATTGAGGGCTTGAGTCGCCTCCAGTACCTGCGGGAGCTCTACCTCGATCAGAACAAGATCAGACAAGTGGAGGCGGGAGCATTCCAGGTGGGTAGCTACATTAATGGATGGCTTCTGGCCGGTAACATATCCTTTCATGTGTCCCGTACAGCCGCTGAGGAATCTACGGGAACTGCACATCGAGGACAATGGACTCAAGTGAGCATGTCTCCCCGCGAAGCGAGCAATTAACGCTTTGCTCCGTGTGCAGATCGCTGTCCAATTTCGGTCCGTTGCCCCGGCTGCGTGCGCTCTTCTGCTCTCTCAATCGCATATCGGATCTGCAGGAGGTTGAGAAAATCGCCGACCTCAAGGGCCTTGTGCAGATCTCGTGAGCAGAACAGGAAAGCACCCAAGAAGCCTCCCAAGCTTCATGCTCGTCCACATGCGCTCCACGCAGGCTCGCGCAGACCCCAGTCTCCCGCAAGCCCCTCTATCGGCCGGGTTTGGTGCGGCTGTTGCCGAGCCTTCGTCTAATCGACGGCAAGGAGGTCACAGACGAGGAGCGTGAGAAGGCCGAGATGATGACACTCGCGGGGCCAGTGGGGCCAGGTGGTTCGGAGTACCTCAAGGGCCAGCAGCCCTTCTATGTGTTTGCCGAGCACGGTGCGGCCCCCATGCAGTGCCAGGCGGTCACGATCGGCGGCATGCAGGTGGGGGCCCCGCTGCCCTTGCAAGCACAGGTAGGCGCATCCGTCCACAAGACCCTCGACTGACTGACGGCAGGTGGATGTTGCTGGTGTCATGTTTGCAGGCGTTTGGCAGGAACAACAATGCGCTGGATGTCTTGACCGGTGTGACTGGAGGGGCTGCTGGTGCGGGCGGCCTGAAGGTGCCCGTCAAAGTCACTTCCCTGTCGTTCGACCCCATGTCGGGCGCCAACGTCTTGGGCACCGCTGCAGGCAGCGCCATAGGACCCCCTTCCACCAAACAACTCCTAGGTGAGCGGAGAAGGACTGCCAAGAATCCATTTGAATGGATGAGTGGTCTCAGGTGCGAGTCCGCGGATCGATGCCTCCTTTTTCCTCCCCTCGAGTGCATCGAACGCCAACCCCACCTTCACCAGTACTGATGTCCGCCGCAGCGGCAACAACCAACACCCCGCCAGCCTCCCCCCCACCTTGAGGCGCAACATGCCGTCCCAGCCAAACACCACCGGCGCCCCCTCGATGGTCTTCCGCATGCAGGCACCGACCGAGAAGCCGCCACGGCAGGAGAGACACGAGCGAGAGAGGGGAGGCGCATCGTCCAATGGCGAGGCAAGGTCACAGTATATATCAAGTGGTCACGATCGCGGCAGCCCGATCATATCTCGGCTCGCGTTCGGGACGCCCCCTGGTAGCAAGGGAGGGGGTGGGACAGGGCAGCAGTCGGCTGGTGGAGCGGCTGGTGTCTCCTCCATCCGCAGCGGGGGCGCAGGGGGCGTGTCTGTGTACTCGCCGAGAGTGAGAAGGGGTAGATAGACAGATGAAGTGAGCAGCTGAGGGGCCTTTCCACCTCCGGTCGGAAAATGTGCCGACATGTTCAGAGTGTCTGTGGAGGTGCGACTCGATGCAAATACAGAGCGACCCTCATCTCATCTGGATGCATGAGTGTCTTTTCTTGTTCGTTTCTTTGTGAGTGACTTTGCTGTGGTGATGTTGTGTCTTGTGGACTTGTGCAGATGCGTGCAAGTGCATGCGTTTATTCACACACACACACATACATACATACATAATTCTTACTAGTTCTTCTTCTTGCCATTCGCTTTGGTGCCTCTAGTCAGCCACTGTTTCACTTTCGACGTCCCATCGGGGTCTGTCTCCTTTCTGTTCCGGCGCCACTCGGTCATACACGAAGGCACCCGTCCAAAAACAAATCATGAATGTTGCGCAGGCACGGTCACTGTACATGGAAACGAAAAGGAAAGCACCGGCCGGACAGGGGAGATACGCATCCTGGCACGTACACAGTGGCAGGCAGGCGCGCAGGCAGGCAGCCAGACGATGTCTGTGTCGTGTGAATGCCGACCGCACGACCCCCACCCAGCTGACAGACAGACAGGCAGACAGACAGGCAGACAGACAGGCGGACGGACGAATGGACGGATGTCGGCCTGCGACTCGGGTGGTCGGTTCAGTTAGAGATGCCGAGGGTCTGCAAACACCCAAACGGCATGCGCGACACACACAGGTGTGTACATGCCGAGTCTGCCTGCATGACATCGAATCTCACTTATGTAGTCGACAGCTCCAGGAAATGACCAGCGGACGATCTGTTTCCATCCAGGCTTAGGGTAATTCTCGATGAGGCGCTCCACGCGGTTGATGGAGACCCCGCCCATGGGGACCGCGTTGGGAGGCGAGGACTGCAGCTCGACGGTCTAAATGAACAGCACGGCACACAAGCCCTACTGAGATAAATGTCTCCTGATGTCTCTACGACCAGCTGACCGTGGCTGGCGCCATGCAGAACAGCCCTCCTGTCACACCGTATGCCGGAGTGCAGCACACCTCGGCTCTCTGCGCAAGACTGAGCCCCGCCGCCCTGAGTTCGCCCGACAGGCACGATCCTCTCTCGGAGGTACGAAGGGTGTGGTACAAGCGGTCGGATGGCGGTGTGCACTGTCCGTATCCCGAGCCAGCGTTGTCTGCCAGGGGGTCCACCCGCAGGGCTGTCACCACACAGACGTCAATGCTCGAGCGCCCGCAGCCGGACGCGCCTGTCCCGTAGTAAAAGTAATCGTCGTTAGCGATCTTTCTGAAGCTGGTTTGGCCGCTTTGGCGATGGGCAAGTCGAAAATCACTGTGCACGGACCGCCTGCAGCTGAGGAAAAGGTGGAAGGGAGGGACAAAGACATGCTCAGTGAACAGAGAGTGGCACCCCTTACTATTTGCTTTGGCACCAGCTGAGTGGTTCGCCCCGACACCTGCGAATGAATGACCCACGTGGAACGGCGTGTGTGTGGGATCACGACATGCCTGCAGTGATGTGTTCGACGGCAGAGCTGTGCTCCCTCCCAGCCAGCTCCAAGAACGCAGCTGCAAACAAGCCCACAGTGCACCGAGTCGGACGGATGCAAGCTTAAGTAGAGACATTATGATAGCCTAGGGGCATGATCCCCAGGAGGCTGCCTTCACCTGTCGTTGCAAGCGCCTCCTGGAGACGGTGCTGAGAGGCGTTGAGGGCCCTCGTGGCCGCGAGAAGCGATGTCACGGCGCCATCGACGGGCTGACCGTCGTTTGATTGCAATTTGATGTCGTAGCCATTGCAGAGAGCGACGAGGGCTGACAGCAGAGCCGCACGAAGCAACGGCTGCATGATGTGCCACCTAAGGGGCTGGCGAGTCACGCGAGACGGAAAGGACTGGCCCCCCGTCTCGCGCGATCGGCGCGCTTCCAGATCTGGCGGTGACTTTATGCTTCGACCATCACTCATTCATTCATTCCACCAAGAGGGTTTCGACAAATCACACGTGCAGTCAGTCAGTCAGTCAGTCCACACAGGTCCACCCTGATGCATGTGTCCCTCCCTCCCTTCCTCCCTCCCTCCCGCAGTCGCTACCGCCGCCACTCCCTCCTCTCCCCTTCCCCATCACCGCCCTCACCACCACCACTGTCCCGCCTCACATCCGCATCCGAATGCGGCCGCCGACCGTCAGTCTGCACCTGGCCTGCCTTCACATCGTCGGCACTCGACCGCCGCACCTCTGTCTCCTCGTGCTCAGCCTGGGGCTGACAGCAGCCCAGCCTGGGGCTGACAGCAGAGCCGCACGAAGCAACGGCTGCATGATGTGCCACCTAAGGGGCTGGCGAGTCACGCGAGACGGAAAGGACTGGCCCGCCGTCTCGCGCGATCGGCGCGCTTCCAGATCTGGCGGTGACTTTATGCTTCGACCATCACTCATTCATTCATTCCACCAAGAGGGTTTCGACAAATCACACGTGCAGTCAGTCAGTCAGTCAGTCAGTCCACACAGGTCCACCCTGATGCATGTGTCCCTCCCTCCCTTCCTCCCTCCCTCCCGCAGTCGCTACCGCCGCCACTCCCTCCTCTCCCCTTCCCCATCACCGCCCTCACCACCACCACTGTCCCGCCTCACATCCGCATCCGAATGCGGCCGCCGACCGTCAGTCTGCACCTGGCCTGCCTTCACATCGTCGGCACTCGACCGCCGCACCTCTGTCTCCTCGTGCTCAGCCTGGGCAGCAGATTGCGTTGTGTGGCCACCACCAGAGCGCTTGGATGGGCGTGTGTCGGCGGTCTGGATGGGGTGTGTTGGGGCCGCAGGGGGAGGGCCTAGCTGGCCCATGTGGAAGCAGAGCAGCTGGTGCAGCCGGGTGCGTGTGTCGGGGTCCAGGTGATAGGCACGCGAGAAGTTGCGGGCCTGATGCAATGCAATCAACATCGGAGCGAACCGTGCTTCATTTCATGTCGGTGGATGGCTGGCTTACGAGTGTCTTGGGGTCGTCTCCCTCGTGTATGCCGATGCGTCCCTGCTTGCCGTGCCCGAGCTGCACATCCACATGCAGCAGCAGCCGACGCTTCTGACGGTAGTTGCGGGCAGTGCCGTCATCGAATGAAAAGGGCGCGAACCCTGACGCACGCAGGCGCTCGTAGTTCTCACCACGGGGCACCCTGATGGCACACACGGACAACTGAATGAGGGCCCGTCATTTGCACACCCGGCTCTGCCCTGACCTGATGAGGCTGAGGCGTTCGTTTTCCCTCAGCTGGTTGGCCTCTCGCATGCGCTGGATGGTCTCAGAGAATGAACGGGGAGTCGACTTGGGACGCATCACCCTGCACACCACACAAGTTTACCAACGACCACCCGCTCCCATCCAGCACATTCATAGATGCGTGCAGCCCACAGGCATCCATACTTGTTCCTCATGGCGATGGCGTGTGAGGTGGCGTTGACCCTGGGCGCGAAGGTGCACTGTCTAACTTCCCTCTCCTCCCGCATCGCCACGGCTTCCCTATGCACCCTCTCCACCTCCTGCTGAGCCAACAAACCCTCGTAATACAAACGGTCGTGACGAGCCATCTTGTCACGGCTCTCATAGTTGCGCAGCAGCTCCTCTCGGTGCGTCCGCCCACCCCCCATCGCCCCACTGCCTCCCGTGTAACCGCCCCTAAAGTCGGCAGTGACGACCTGCGGCCGTGTGGGTGCGGCAGGGGACATGGGGCGGGTGGTGGGTTTGCCACGCACACGCGACTTGGCCCTCTTCTCTCCTGGTCTGTCCTCGCGTGGCTTGGGCTGCTGCTGCTGCTTTGGGTTTGGGGGGGCGGTGGCCGAGTGTGGCCGCGTGGCTGTGGGTGTGGTCGACCGTGGACGCGTGACGAGAGATGGGCGGAAGGTGCACTCCTGAGATAAAAGGGAGAGAAGCGTCCTTGTTGGTTGCTGGACAGGTCATATGGCGTTCGTTGGTCTGACCTTGAGTTCCTCCTCTGCGCGTCGGCGTCTGAGCTCCTCCTGCCGTGCATTCACCAACTGAGCTGAAAGACATACGACATCACACATAATAACGTTTTGCGTATCTTTGGCACTCCGATGGGCTGACCTCTTGCGAGCAGTACATCGGCTGACGACCGCAGTGGGATGGCATCGTCACCCTGGTCGATTGAGAACGGGGAGGAAGAACACGTGGGGAAGGAAAACGATACGAATGCTGTCTGCTCGCTCTACCTGCTGCACGCGCCGCTCTTCCAGAAAACGGTTCCTCGCCTGCTCAGACAGTACCTGCACACACAAACACACACACACACAGACATATGACGGCTGTCGGGCCTGCCCATCTCTCCCTGCCATGGAGCTGGCGTTGAGCCTGGGCGTGAAAGGCCTCGAATCGCCTCCCCCTGCCGCCCTGCCCACTCCTTCCGCCGGTGACTGCCCATACGCCAGTCTGTTGGGGTACATCTTGGCAAACGCACGAGCGATCCGCAGCAGGGAGTTGGTTCGCGTTTCGGGGTCCTCGGGCGACGACTGGTCGTCGGGGTGGGCGGGGGAGGCGGATGGCTCCTCGGGGGGATTCATGAGGGCGTGGGCGAGGGCGAACGCAGAGGAATCCTCGCGCATGAGGACGAGAGTGATCAGCTCGAGGAAACGCAACAGCTGCAATGCAAGCATAGAGATGGACGGATGGATGGATGGATAAGTTGAGAACGGTAGGCATTGTGGACCCCCCCGTTTCCCTCTTTTCCTCCCTCTCTCTTTGCTAACCTGGTTGAAGTGAAGGGATCCACGAGCAGGTCCGTCCAAGAGGGCCACGGTCTCCTGAGCGATGGCCTGAAAGACACAACAAGGAGAAAGCCCAACCAGTGCGTGTGGGTGTCTGTCTGTCAGGTGTTTTGTGCATGATCTCCTTCTCACCTGTTCCATCTTGGTGCGGGCCAGCCGCAGCACCTGCAGAGGAAACCGTATGTACACGACTGACTGACACGGTGCATCCAAGCTGCATGTGTGTGTGTGTGTGTGTACCTCGCGTTGCTGCCGCTCCTCTGGAGGCACATTGCGGTGCTGCATCTGCAACAGCAAACCAACAAGAGTTCCAGATGGTCTGGCGTCTGCACTGACTGACATACATCTCTCGCAGCGATAGCCCTCGGGCCAAGGAAGAAACCCAGCCGCTGCACAGAGGGGGCAAGAGGGAGCATCGCATCATTGGACGCGTGTGTCCGTGTGCATCTGTTCCTTTGGTCACCTGGAAGCACTCCTGAAAGCATTCGTTGGGCAGGTCCTCTGCATGTGGACTCGATGGCAGACACTCAGCAAGCGCACGCCTGTGGCGTGGGACAGCACATGAGGTCAGATCCGGTGCGTCGACCTTCCTTGTCTGACTGTCTGTGTGTGACCTGAGGTCCTGCATCATTTTGCCTTTGAGTAGGGCCCGTGACTGGGGCGTCACCTTGGACACCTCACGGGTATTTCGCAGCACCTCCACCTCCTGCAGTAAGGACACACACACACCCCTCCACACAGACACGAAGGATGCATCTTGCCCGTGCATACCTACCTGCCGCATGCGCTCATCCTGCTTCTGCCGCCGCTCCTCGGCCTCCCTGGAACGACACAGCAAGGAAGGCCGTTGTGGGTCGGACTGCATCGTGCCGGTGTGGATGGATAGATGGTACGCACCTGTGCAGCAGCTCCCCAACAGAGATGGCCCTAGATGACGATGGCCTCAGGCCACTTGGCAACTCCACAGACGCACTGACAGCCGCCCACTCACCTGCAGAGAGGGGGGAGGAGAGCGCCCACCACGTGCGCGCTGTTGGCTATGCGAGTGTTTGGCTCTTCCTCACTTGGCTTATCCTTCTTCAGAGCCTCTGCGAACAGCCTTTCGTGGACCGAACGAGATCCATCGGCTACAGAGTGCCGCGCCTCAGCCATCAACCTGCACGCCATATCGTCAAACGCATGACGATTACATTCCATGCTGCATTCATTCATAAATCCATCATCCCCTCACCTGGATGTATCAGAAATGTGCGGTCTGAAGGTCTCCGCCGCCCTGATATCGTCAATCGTCTGCCTTCTTCTCTCCCGGCTCCGGTCCCGTGCCGGTAGCGCATCGGTTGCGAAGATGGGAAGGCCCGTATGCGCCCTGGCGGTGTGAGGGCGGCTTCTATCATGGGCATGCGGTGATGAGGGACGGTCGGCTTCCATCAAAACCTGATGGCATCAAACTCCTGAGAGTGTGTTTACATATTCGTGAGGCGCGCTCGCTTAAGCCGAGACACACAGACAGCCAGACGCTTGTGTCTTGTTTGCCGAGTTGTTTGCAGCTCGCTTCACCAAAGAACCGCCACTCCCCACCCTCGGACACGCCATGTCACCGACATGAAAAGGAGAACAACAGTGCAACGACAGTGCTCGCGCAATCAGGTGGACCGACACGACCCCCACGAGCGACACAGGACACCCGCCCGTCCTCTCCTCTCCCCCGTGTGGCCCATCCCATGCAGTCAGTCAGTCCATCTAGCTATCCGGCCTGTTCGGGTATCTCCCGCTCCGGCACCTCACTCGACGCCACCGACACCTCCCCAAAGGGAGGCCGCATGGGCGAGGGCGTCGGCGGACGATCGACTGTCAGGCGGGCATCGTCCAGCGTCATGGGAATGGCCTCCTGGTCCACATCCGACAAGCCCTCCTGCTCGGCGAGTGGCCGGGGGCTCTGACCGCCGAACAGGGGGGTGGTGTTGTCTCGAAGAGATGTGAATCGGGCGGGAGGTGTGGGGGGGCCGTAGGGGTACGCCACACCTCCCGCCCACGTGTATGGGTTCGCCTCCACCGTCCGCCGATGCGGATAGGTCGGCTGAAACAAAGAAAGAAAGAAAGGGAGACAGACAGACAGACAAAGGAGATATGCTGTTGGCGCTCGTGCTGTCTGCATCTATCGTGTGTGTACAGGTGTGTCGCGCGCATGGCCGTCTGCGATATCTGTGTCTTCCCGCAGCCCAGGGGGGCGGCGCAGATCGCAACGGCAGAGCGGACACCTGCATACCGGCAACCAAAAGGAAAGACAGGGTACGAGTAGGGATTTTTCTTTCTTTTGTGTGCCATTTTACGTGTGGTGCTCTTCGAGCCACTGGTCGATACAGTCAACTGAGGAGGCAGAAAATCGCTCCAGGGAGGAGGTGTGCACCAAGACATCCTCATGTGTGTGTGTTCGCCTACCGTGAAATGCATGCCCGCAGATATTCAGGCGGCGGATAATGGAGTGCTTCTCATACTCACACCAGCATATAGCACAGCCCTGACACACATGCCCCACCCCACACACATACATGCCACACCAGAACAACACATCCGATTCGCTGCGCGCTGATCCCTGTCTCTCTCTGACCTCGTCATCTTTGGGCTTGGAACTCTTGAAAAAGTCCTCCTCAGCGATAGCCACAGCAGCCCGCCACCCGCCAGGCTTCTCGGCCTTCTTGCCCTCATCCCCCGTGCCCTCCGCCCCTCCCTTGGCCTCATCCATCGTGGCAGAGGTGGACAGAGACATGCCCTTCTGCAAAGGCCGCGTCTCGTCCTCACCCTGCTTGCGCTTCCCCTTGCGGCCCAGTCGGGTGAAGCCGCCCAGCGGCAGGCAGCACCCCTTCACCGCAACACCGTCCGTGTCATCGGCGAAGTGTGGCTTGGTCGACGGCTCTGGCGTCATCTCCTTGGATGGCGATGGGGGCGAGAGGTAGGGCACGTGGAACGCTGAGAGAAGTGTCTCCTCTCGGGCACGCGGCAGCTTGAAGCGGCGGGATGACGTGAAGCTCTCAATCGTCGTGTTCAAACGCAACTCTCTGGTAAATTGAGAGGGGACACAGACAGATTAAAACATTGAAAGAGAAAGAGGAAGAGGTGATGATATGGGGAAGACTCTCGTGTGTTACTTGACGGTGAGGCCCCCGCTGAGGCGCAAATAGGCAGGTGCGGGATAGTACTCGCCATCTATGATCTCCCCCATCGTCTCAGTCTCACGCAGCCGCTCGTCGCGCTCCAGGAAGGCCTGAAGGTACTCACGAAACGGCATCGCCCGATCCCCCCTATCCCCACCATCATTCCCCCCTCCCCCTCCCCCAAGCCCCCGGCCCCCCACACGCTGCCCCGAGCCGATGTGGAGGCTGCGACGGCTGCGACGCCCTTGCCACGCTATGTGCCCGCTGGCCGTGGTAGCGGGCGACGGATACAAGGTCAGCGTGTCACGTGAGAAGCGGACCGGCACCCATTGCCCCCGAAGGTGATCAGCGAACTGGTAGGGGTAGTACGGGCTGGCGGGGTACAGGGGAGGCGGCAGACCATCGTTGGCGAGCGGCATCGGTGTGGGCGGGTGAGGGGGCGGCGCCAGACCGGGCGGCGGGCCGGCGTAGTAGGTGGGCGGAATCCAATCACCCCAGGGCCCGGGGCCAGGCGGAGCCGCAGCAGCACTGAATGAACACAAAGAGACAGAAAGAGAGAGAGACCCTCTCAGCTCCTCACACACCCATCCTTGGCTCACCCCTGATTCTGTGTGGCATTGTTTCCTCGGTTGGAGCCCCCACCGAAGAGCCAGCTGAATGCGCCACTTGGGGCGTTGACCACCGGATTGATTTGGGCGCCATGAGGGTAGGGGATGTCGGGGACGCTGGGCGGAACAGGCTGTGGGAGCTGCTGCTGGTTTCTCAGGGGCACAGAGAACCGTGGAGCCGGCTGCGAGGGCTCATCCTGGGGCATGCTCGTGGACCTCGGGGCCTCTATCGACAAGGGTGAAGATGCGGATGACGACATGAGGGCTGATGGGTCAACAGACACAACGGGGAATGGGATGATGAACGCAAATGGACAAAATGGAATGGGGCAGGCAAAACGGGAGGGGAGGCTGTGGACGTAGCCTCCGTGGGATCTCCTCTCACAGCAGCTAACAACACTGTCAGACAAAACGAGTCTCGCCCCCACTGGCAGTTTCCGTTTGGTCCCATTCGTCAGCTCGCATTGGCGTCTTCTCCTTTTTCCTCGATGGCAAGTCCCAAGGTTTCCATCGCCGGCCTGCGCTCACGGAAGGGGCCGACTGTCTTTCCCCGCCTCTCAGCAATCAGGCTGCAAGACCTTCTCCCCGAAGAGCATCTCGCCGCCTTCTTTTCTGCGAGGGCGAGGGTCACGATTTACCGTTTTCGCTTGCTCGGGCTGCTGCTTGCCTTTCTTTTCCTCGGGGCGGCCGCCCTGTTGTACTTCTCGGAAGGCGCAGAAGACCCCGTGTCAGCAACGTGCAGTGCGACGCCGACGACTGACCTCGATGCAGGCGAGCCCTCGACACAGACGGCAGTGAAAGCATGCTCATCCTCAGCTGAAGGGCAGACTATGAATGGCTTTGTCTCGCCCTTTCTCATTCTTGGTGGCATTTTGTGTCTCATGGGGTCTGCTGCTCTCGCCACTGGTCGGCTGGGGCTCGGTTCACGGCAGATCACGGTGGTAACGTGCTTCAGCTTGCAGCTGGTCATCATGGCTGCTCTGACGCTTCAAGCGAGCAAGCCCTTCCCATCACTCGACACGTGGATGGTGCCCTTCTTTGGAGAGCTTCTCATGTCGCTTCTCGCCCCTGGACCGGCCCTCATGCTGCCATTTGCCACTGCAAATAGCCTTCTTTTGAGAGTCTGGCCATCGGCGGAGCGGGATCTGACTGGAGACGTGCTGGTCATTGTTGGAGGCCTCATCGCCGTCTACAACGCATACGTACAAGATTACACAGCTCGACAGACCTTCAGCTACCTCCCCATCGAAGGCACGGCTTCCCTCGAGTTTCTGGACAATCCGACAGACCGGTCGCCCACCACTGTGATGCGGACTGCCCTGGAAATGCTACTCGAGAAGCTTTCCGTGCTGGAGAGGCGGTACGAGCGAAATAGCGAAGTGCTATCAGTGGTCAAATATGCACGGACGGCGGTAGACAAGGGCGCCAAGACCCTCTTCCAGCTTGACCTTTCCTCCATGTGTTTCTCCGACTCGTCATCAAACGAAGGGCAGGGCAAGAGCGATGTGCGGCGCTATGTCGAGGACCTTACATCTGGCCAGAAGCCCGCTGCGAGAGTGGTGCATAGTCCTGGGTGGGGTGACTGAGACACGACAGGGGAAGTGGGGCATGGTTCATTTGAAGGCTGTGTTTGTTCAATCAATGCAGGCTAATGGACCGCACCCTGCTGGGTGTTGGCCTGCAGACGGGCATTGAAATTCAGAAGCTCATGGCGTCGGAGAACGTCATTGGTGTGTGGGCACTTGACGTGTTCGATCTCGACGTGGCGTCGAGACACCATCCGCTATCGACCATCGTCATGGGCATCAACCAACGGTATGCATTCATTCGGGTGTGTTGTATCATCATCGCATCGGCGAGACAGGCCTCATTTCAAATTTCAATCTGTGGTGGGTGTGGCGCGTGCCTGGGTCTGGTCTCGTGTGTGTGCAGGTATGACATGATCACACACTTGGGTCTGGATCGAAGAAAATTCACCCGATTGGTGTCCAAGATCGAGTCCCTCTACGTGCCCTCCAATGCGTATCACAACGCCCTGCACGCCGCTGACGTCACCAACTCGGCCTTCTATTTTGCTCTCGCCGCAAGTGGGTGGGAGAGATCAGACTTCATTCCCTCCCGTGGCATGCCGTAAACATTGTCATGGATGTATCTGCCAGATTGGTTGGAGTTGATTCAGCCGCTCGAGATGGTCGCATTCGTGCTCGCCTGCGCGTGTCATGACGTGGGACACCCAGGGAAGAATAACGCATATATGGTGCGTGCGGTCAGAAGACCAAAGAGGGAGAGAGCGACAGTGGGACGGATTGATCCACCACACCCGGGTGTGTGCGCAGGTGAGTAGTCAGCAGGCCCTGGCTGTGCGCTACAACGACAAATCCGTCCTGGAAAACTATCACGCTGGTCGGTTTGTGTCTGAGACGGAAGAGGGGAGTCACTCACGTGCTTCACGTTTCTCGAATGTCCTCATATATATCCCCTGTTTCCTCCAGCGACCACGTTTGAGGTGATGAAAGAGGCCGACTGCAACGCCCTCGACCGGCTGCAGAAGGACGAGTACAGAACAGCAAGGTGAGCTGAGCCCGAGCGTTGGACGATTTCCACCTTCTCACGTCTTTGCTCCACACAGGTTGATCGTGGTAGAGATGATCCTGGAGACGGACATGAAGCGCCATTTTGAGTTCGTCGCCACCTTCAGGGCACACTTTGCCAAGTTCCTCTCATCGAGATCCTCCACCTTACTCGCGGATGACTCCCCTTGTCGGCAAGGCGGAAGAGGCCCCAACGATTCTGGCGCCAGGGCGGAGCTGCTGCGGAATTGGGAGGACCGATTTCAGCTGTACAAGATGATGCTCAAGTGTGCCGACCTGGGCCATGCCGGCAAGCCAAGGGAACTTCACGAGAAGTGGAGTCGGGCTATTATCGAGGAGTTCTTCAAACAGGTGGGTGCATCTGCAGAGAGGCGATGCTGGCTGAGACACGGGGGAGCTGGCTTGTGCGTGTGTGTGTGGATGTGCGTATGTCTGTCAGGGTGACTGTGAGAAGGCAGAGGGTCTGCCGGTGAGCCCTCTCTGTGACCGCGACACATTGGTGTTCGAGAAGTCTCAAGTGGACTTCATCAACTGCATCTGCATACCGATGTAAGCAAGAGACATAGAGACACATACGTAACCCAAGATGCTTATTTGCATGGGTCCCCTCTCCTTGATGCACTCCTTCACCTGCAGGTACACGGCATTCGCCGACGTTCTCGAGTACGCCCTACACTGCAAGCACTTCACAGACGCCAGCCGGGGCACACACGCATCTCTCCCTTCTCTGTTCGCAACACATGCAGCTGTCCGCGGATCGACCAGGATGTCCTCAGACAGGCCCGCCAGAACGAGTCGTACTGGCAGTGGTCGAGCCTATGTCAGGAGAGCAAGAAGTTCCGTGTCGTGTCCCCCAAGCTCGAGACCCGCACCCCCCGCAGCCAGCAGTCGCCGTCGAGCAGCAACCCCTCTAGCGCCACAAATACCCCCGGCACCTCCAGACGGACACCTGCCCACGGGCTGGAATCCCAGCTCAAGATGAGCAAGAAGGAGCAGGACGACCAGCACAACTCCATCCTCGAAAGCATCAGGAAGAAAGCAGAGAGCCACCACAAAGCACAGCACGGTGCTGGTGGGGGAGGGGGCGGGGGCTCGCTCGGGCTGCAGTCGCCGAATCGGTCCTTGAGAACGTCAGGACGAAAGTCTCTTCCCACCTTGCCTGAGGACAGCGAGGAGGCCATGTCTCAGAAGAGCGGGGCCAGTGGGGACAAGGAGCATGGGGGAAAGGACCATGATGACACTCCAGCAACCAGGGAGAGAGTCGCTGGGCTGCAGAGATTCTTTGCTAAATAGTTGTGTGTGTGGGGGTTTCGGTCGTCGCCTCACGACGCGGATATGTGTCGTCCCTACTTGACTGTGATATATCTGCTGCTGAGTGGGGTCATGCGGGCACGCTAGTGGTGACTGACTGCTATCGGTTTTTAGCAGAGGCGCAGAGTTTGTTGGGCTGGGTCATCTTTTGCAACGTACGCACGTGAGTTGGTTGGTTTGCCAAATGTACTCAGTGGCTGTCGAGCAAACAGACGGCACCTCGTGTGACTGACGGCGCACGGAGTGGTAGGGGAGGGACACTATGACTGACTAACGGAGTGCTTCCATGTTCCAAGGCCATCATCCCGCTCAGACTCGCATTCAAATGCTGTAGTCGCATCAATCAAGTCCCAATCCTAGAAGGAAGATTGAATGCAGCTGTACTTTGTGCCTGCCACACACGCTCATCCACCCGTCCGTCCCCTCTCCCCGCCTCTCTCTCTGGCTATGTCGCCTCTTGTTCCTGAGTTGATCGAAAGATGCGGCCCCACATCGACTGAGACTCCTTGTTCCTCCGCTTGGGACACGTCACCTGACACAGATTAGCAGACGCACAGGAACGCCAAATGTGCATGATGTTATACCACCGGCAGCGTAGCCTCTTCTTTTGACGGATGTGTTTTCCTTTGTCTTGTTTCTTACGTGGAGCATCTGCCTCTGCGACCTGTCGTCGGTGTCGATGGTCCAGTAGGTTTCGTCAGACATTATCCGGCCCTCAAGCTACACACACACGCACCGGACACAGACAGATATGGGCGGACTGTACAGTGATCCATCCATCCATCCGTCCAGATGCTGACCTCTCCGTCGAGGACGGTGGCGACGTGTGTGTCGGCAGGTGACCTAAACCCAATGCTGATCGACGATGGCGTGGAGCCGAAGACCACGCCCCTCTTGCCCAGCCCATCTGGCGTCGGCACCCAGACCTCCAGCTCCTCTGGCGTCTCACGCCATGAATACCTGCATGGGCCACACAACACAGATCAAAGGCACGTCATGGGTGGAAAGCGTATGGATGCCATCGGTGTGGCAGCGCTTACACGTCAGTGGATCCATCTGGGAGGGTGAAGGGCTCCTCGTGCACATCACCGGCCTTCAGATTCATGTCCTGACACACACACACACACACACACACGCATGCCTTCCTCGGTGCCCTGTCGGTCACCTCTCCTTTCTCTCCCTGATCAGGTCACCTCATAGAGCTTCTGCAGGAACTTTTTGGCCCTCCTGCGCTCAGTCTCCCGCACACGGTCCTTCCTCTCGAGCCTCTCCTCAGGCGTCGCATTCTCGCCGTCACCCTCGCCCTCGCCCTCGTCCTCGCCGTCGTCAAAATCGATGGGGTCCACATCTGCCAGGTCGGCCAGGTAGTTGGGGTCCAGCGCTGCTGCCTTGGCCACATCCAGCCCCCTCTGTCGCATCAGCCGCTCGTCCGACTCCTGCCGCGCGTGAGCCTGCTCCTGCTCTTGCTGGAGGAGTGCGTCCAGGCGTTTCTGTATCTCTTCGGGGGTCTCTGTGTCGGGGGCAGGGCCTTCTGGCTCGAGAGCCTTCCACTCCTCAGAGCCCTACAGACGCACAGGAGAGATGCTGGGCTGGTGGCTGTGTGTGCGGCGGTGGTGGTGGCCACTCACGCTGAGTTTGTCCATCTCCTCTTTAAGCCCTGGAATGGCGCCAAAGTGACCATTCTCGATCAGCCGCATCAACTCCTGAACACGCACACACACTCACGTGTCATCACATGGATTCTTGCTGTCTGACCTGCCTGCCAATGTGCGCACACCTCCCTCACCTCGTCGCTGAGGGCTTCGATGGCTTGGTCATATTCAGAGGGATCCACATACTCGCGGCCGACACTCTCAACCAGATTCGTTGAGTCCCTCACCGCCGCAAGCGCCGTCAACCCATACCCACACCCATCCCGCCCACCCCTCCCCCCCAACTCGTTCTGACGCCACTCGTCCATGCCCCAAGCCAGCCGCCTCAACGAGAACCGGCCGTCCCTCTCCCTTTCCCTATGCCATGCAGACGGCCGAGAGAACGAGGCTGCTTCCATTGCGGAGGCAGATAGTAGCTGTGGCGGGCCGTTGCTGTTGGTTGCACCCGATTGTGCCTCGAGCCTGCTGATGGTGGCTGCGAGTTGCCTCTCGGTGTCGTCGGGGAGGGGAAAGGGCTCGGTGGGGATGGGCGGCGAGGGGGGCTGGTCAGAGGCAGTCACTGGCGTGAGCTGGTACTCAAACTGGACCTCGTAGCTGGTCGCGAAGCAGGCTGGTAGCTGCAGAGGGGGAAGTGACGCAATCGATCGACATTGCCAGTCGTCATGGCAAATGCGTCCTGTCATGAATCAGTCTGTTTACTTCGGGCATGTATCTCTGTGCGTCGAACAGGATCAGACGGCCCCCGAGCGGCGTTGCCTCCAGCACTGGCACAGGGGACGGCGAGGACTCCGACGGCGCCGACAGACGAAGGCCCCCGCCAACTGAGCAGGACAGAAAGCACCTCATGAACGAGCAGTTCGCATCGCCTCCAATGGTAGCTTGTGTGCTCACCGCTGGGGCTCCAGTCTGTGTTGACGAACAGCGCCGCATAGAACCTCTTGGCGCCCTCCTGCAGGGCAGATGGTGGGTCACGTTGTGACGGCTCGCTCAGTGCTGACGCTCCATCCTGGTCGCGGCAGAAAAGGACCGCGTCGCCGATCCTGCACATACAGACAGACACACATTCATGGAGGAGCTGAGCTGTGGGTGTCAGAGCAACAGTGCCCGGTGCAATGTGCGGCCTTGCCTTCTCATTTGTGAAGGGTTTGCAGCCACCGCCGAGAGGTGGGGCGCCACGGCCCTCATCAATCCGTCCACCTGGTCCACCACACCTGCTCACAGCAAGAAGGACACACACCCGCAGACAGAAAGTCAGAAGATTCCTCGGCTAACTAGTTAGTTGGCGCACTTACCGGACGTCGTGCCCAGCGCCCGGCTGAGTCCATCGACGGTTTGGGAATTGTACTCCTCAAAAGTCACGTTCTTCTCAAGCAAAGGCACCTTGACGCCGTCCCTCCTCAGCTCCTTGCCCAGCCCGGTGTCTTCCCTCACCAGCCCTTCGACCTCCTTCAGCACCGACTCGCACTGGAAGGCCTCCAGGAACCGCTCCACCACGACAAACCCATCCTTCTCCAGCTGCTTGGCCGCCGTCTTTGCCACCTCTTGGTCGATCCACCAGTCGCCCTTCCTGGTCGCCCGCCTCCTCGCGACCTCTATTTGGACGGCCGAGTCGAGAAGCCTCTGCTGCGGGCCGGTGCGGCTGCTGATGGCGCTACGCAGATAGTTGTACTCAAACAGCAGGGTCTGGGGGTCGTTCTGGACGTCCTGCAGAAGGCGGCCGTCGGGCAGAATGGCATGCACGCGACACCTGCAGTTGCCGATGGTCAGCTGGTTGAAGCCGCGGTTTACCAGCTCGCTCTCCAGCCGCCTTGACTCCTCTTGTGTCAGCGAAGAGATGTCCACGAGCTTCAAGGCTGACACGCCATAGTCCCGCGCCCACAGCAGTGATAGATACTGCTGACACATGAAGTTGGAGCCGTCGAAGAGCAGCGTGATGGAAGCCCTGTAAGGCGGCACGTCCGATGCCTGATCGGTGTCAGCAGCACCACTCCCACGATCATCAGTCGCAGAAAGGCCCATGGGTGAGGAGCGGGAGAAAGGACAATGCTGCTGTGGTCGTGGTAACCGAATCCCCGGCCTCTCCGGCAACTTGCTGCCCAGATCTTTCACAGACAACAGTTGCTGCCTCGCCGGCAGCATGAGAAAGGCATCGACAGTGGAAGAAAGCATGCTGACGAGCAAGGACGACAGCGCGAGGGTCATGGCGGTCCTCCACATTGGCCGAGTGATGGATGGCCATCGTTGCGAGGGCCGGCTGCTGCGTTCGGACTGAAGTGGGTCACTTCGGCGCGTCGTGCTGCAAGCCCCTCTACGTGGACGCCTCTGCGGATGTGATGCCATGTCGAAATTCTCCATCTTCCACAACCTGCGAGCTTGGTTGCAGATCTGGCCAAGCTCGCATTTTTCTTACGGATCCTCTTCGATGTTGGATGCACGTCATGGTGTCACGCTAACGGCCGCAGCCCTCGGATTCATCTCTGCGCTGTGGTGGCTGGGGAGATCTGACACAGCCGTGAGCCGATTTCAGCAGAGGAACGCCATGTTCAACTCATCGCACAGCCCCTCGCTCGACTCCGTGGTGGCCAAGGTGGTCAAGGGGAGCCAGGGATGGTACGGTCTGGACGACTTTATTCCAGCGGGGCTGGAGGCCGCTGGCCAGCCTTCCCTACTGGCCGCACATATGCAGTCGCTGTGGGAGAGAATGAAAGCACTGCAAAGGTGAGCACTGCGCAGCCAGGAGGCAATATGACGGTCGCGTGTCTGTCCCTTCCCACCCTTCAGGTTTCACTCATCAAACGCTGACAACTCCAGCAGCGAAGGCTTGATTCCGAGCACGGCCAAGAAGGACTGCTCGCGGCTGCAAGAGCTGGCGACGCTATGGATGCAAGGGGAAAAGACAACATGACTTGAGCCTGCCTCATCTGTCTGTGGAACCTGCTGTCAGGTTCAATTTCCACCCTTCTTGGACCTGCTCGTGAGTAGACAGACTGATTACAATCGATATGCCGACACGTCGATTTCACCCCTGGCGATGTCAGATTCATCGAGAGTATGGGTGACAATGGGGATGGCGGCAAATGGGTAAGACAAAGCCACCAGACATCCTTGACTCGTTGCCCCATAGCCTGCCTTTCTTGCGGCTGTCAGGTGTGTGATCCGGACAAGATACCTCGGAGAAATGCGGCGAAGGGCCAGCGGTCGCCTCCATGCCTTGTCTACTCAGTCGGAGGCAAGAATGAGGTGAGAAACCGTTCAGAGTAGAACGCAGTAGGATCAGGCACTCTTTCTGTGGTACAGTGGGGCTTTGAGGCGGCAATAGTGGAAAGGCTCGGCTGCGAGGTGCACACATTTGATTATTCGTTGGCGGAACTCAGAGTGAGGGGCGAGGGGGGGCCAAAGGGGTGTATGGCTGCGTGGCGTCGATGCGCTGTGTCTGATATGTCAGAACAAGCCCGATGGCGTCGAGTTTCATCCGTGGAAGTTGAGTGCGCCCGGCGATGACTACCAGGTCGTATCGCTCTGTTTTGTCTGTCCACACCTCCCTCTTTCTCTTGCAGGTCAATGTTGGGGAAGGGCAGGCATACAGCGTCAAGGGACTGCCCGAAATCATCAAGTGACGACCAGCAGAAGCCAGCAGAGAGAAGGTCTTGACCCGCTTCTCCCATTCAGGACACTGGGGCACAGGAAAAGACAGATCGATATTCTGAAGGTTGACGTGGAAGGCGACGAGTTCAGGGCCCTTTTGCCGCTGCTAGAACGTCGCAGTCTTCCGCCGATCACGCAGGTGGGCATGTTTTGATATCGTGCTTCCTCCTCCTCATTTTTTGCCTGCACATTTTGGCCTTCATGCACAGCTCTTGATCGAGGTACTAAGGTTGCACACGTATCGGAGGGGAGAGGGCTGCCGACTGAGTCCACGTCTCTCCTTTGTTGTTTTTTGTGCAATAGGTCCACACACCGAAAAAGGGTCGAGTACACGTCAAGCCTGGACCTGTAAGGCAACTCATGCGGGCACTTGCCGACAATGGGTAGGCGGCTGTGCAGCCAGGCAGTGCCATGCGCGATTGTCCTCATCGACCTTGTTGCTCCTGCAGGTTCGTCATCTATCATCGCGAGCCGGTGAGCTGATGTGAGCGTCGATGATGCTTGTCGGTCTATTGCTCGTGAGTCGTGCCTTCAGAATTTGTTCGACCCCCGAAACATGGAGTTTGCCCTGTTGAGACTCAGCCTGCCCAGAGACGGATAGCATCGCTCTGTGTGCGTGTCCATGAATACGACGAATCGGATGCGATAGACGCTGTCTGGGGGAAGTCAGCGCATTTACAGATTTACAGTCCCGGTACACAAACCTTTTGCACCGAGTCAAGCTGACGCAAGCGATATGTACAAGAACGTCATGACAAGCGCCATCCTGGTGGCTACCATCCTCCTTCTAGCGCCCCTCTGCGCCGCCGCGCCGTCGAGTGGCTCATCGAAGGCAGAGAGCCGAGACAGCGACGTCGACGCCATCATTAAGCAATTGGAGGAGTTCCTCGCAACAATTGGCAAGACATCAGAGGAACATGGTAGGTCCTGTAGCGAGGGCGGGAAGGAAGGAGGAGGGGCCGACGTCACTTGCTGTGAGGGCCGACGTTACTTGCTGTGACCTTTGTTGCGTGTGTGTGTGTGTGTGTGTCGGGGACAGCTGCAGAGAAGTCCGATGACCACCCTCGTGGCAGCAGCATTGTGGATGAGGTCAGGGCGACCCTGAAGCGAGTTGACGAGCTCAAGGCCAAAGTGGCGGCAGCCACCCCAGACGAGCCTCGCAAGCCCCGGGGATCTGACGAGGATGAGATCGCCGGTCATCTGGCTGCCACTGAAGATCTCGTCAAGAAATTGCTTGACGTCGTCAACACATACCTGGACGACATTGTGAAGCGGATAGGCAGCCAAAGCGACTACTTCCTAGATCAACTGCTGGTCTTCCTGACGGCTCTGGTCAACGAGCTTCTTCGATTTGGCTTTTGACCAGAGCCGATAGGTGCATGCAGCGCGTATGGCTGGCTGCTGAGGGAATGAGTGAGTTGTGGAGAGGTGTGTGTATGGATGGAGCGACGCTCAAAGGAGGTGTCGCGATGTGTCCATACCATACATGTGTGCAGCGGCCGTCTGCCTCTCTGCCTGTCTGCTTGTCAGTCTGTCGGGTTCTCAGTTTGTGAGTCGTTGGCCAGTTGACAGCGTGGGATGGCTGGAAGTGATAGCCAGACCAGGCAGACACCAGGAGGGGAGGTGCAGGCAGATAGATGAGCGGGGAGGCGGACATGTGGGCGTTGACAGACAGATGCGTTGGAGGTAACATGATACCATTTGTGTCAGTTTTGTGTCTCTTCTGAAGCGTACGTCATTGCATCATGTGAAATCTTCACCCCTAAGCTTACAGCACACTGAAGACAAGCACATCACAGAGATGTGCGCCCCTTCAAAACAGTGAAACGAGCCAGCTGGTACCAGCGAAGACCACTCGCCACTCAAATATAAAGTGTGGGCAGCCATGAGAGGCTGAAAAGAGACAACGTGTCGGGAAGCGACGAAGAGACGAAGCATTCATTCATCAATGGACCCGTCCACAGCACCCACCGGTAGTAGAGCACATCGATACATGTAACTAACGAGTCCGGACGCAGCCAGTGTAGGTAGGTTGCAATGCTGCCCACCCACCTTTATGTGTTACTTACTGCATGCGCAGGCTGCTGGCTTGCCACCGCAGTCCCGAAGTGCGGGAGGGACAGCATAGATATCTGGCTGTCATGAAGTGAATGAAGGTGTGAGTTTGTATGTGTGGGAGTGTGAGGGGCCGGGTGTATGGTCAAAACCGGTGGCTTACGTGTTCGAACACTACTCTATGCCTTTCCGCTCAACGGTCACACGCGCACGAAGGTCATATTGACATGGTAAGTCGGTCAAGTCACACGACAAACGACACAAAAACGAAGGCCAGCTGAATCGTCACAACACCCAGCGTCGATCGCCAGACCCACCCATCCCCCTATCTATGCATCATCATGCCTCGTCCAGTCAGTCCATCACCCACACACGTCAGCCACCTCCCCCCTCTCATATTCATCCCAGACCCCCCCGACCCTCCTCCCCCTATCAATGCCACCCTCCCCCCTCACCTCGCTCCCTCTCAACTCGTCTGACCCGTCGCAGCAGTCGCTCACCCCATCATGCACACGAGACAACGGCACGAACCGCACCTCAGCCGGGCACCAATGCTTCATTTGGTGCTGTGAAGACAGCGGAGGGGCCGGAGGCTGTCGGTAGTGACTGCGCGGCGGTGTGTGGGCGTCAGGGGTGGGTGGCCTCTGTCCAGCACATGCAGACGAGAAGGGCTCGTCCAGTGCGGTGTCGGGGCAGTCGCAGTGGTCGTCATCGATCTCCTCGAGAGATATCCACGTGTGAGGGAGGGCGGCAGGCACATCCACAGAGGCCGGGAGGAACAAGGGGTGGGTCGAGCGCCATCCCCATGATAAAGCGCCGCAGTTCCACTCCCATGACGACTCATCAGGCCCTCGCCGGCTGCTGCTCTTCATCCTCCTGGAGATCTTGCCTTTTCTCTTGCCCTTCAGATGGTCCTCAGGATGGCCATTGGTGTCCGCCTTGACCGCAACTTTCCTCCGCCACCTGTCCGGCCGGCAGTAGACAGCAGCGGCCAGCAGCAGTGGCAGCCGCGACAGAGCCATCCGACAGACCTTCCAGGGCTCCCTTCCCCTCCCTGTTAGCCGCTCCTCCTCGGTGTATGTGCGCGTGAAGTGCAGCCACCTCCTCTCTGTCATGTCCCTGAGCGGCCTCTGGTGCGCGAGCGACTTGGCCAACGGGGCGAGTCGATGAAAGGGCGAGTGATGCAGAAGACGGAAGTACTCATGTGTGGCGACGGTAAGCAGCTGCAGGGGATGGCCTTTGGCGGTCCATGACCGCAGAGAGGAGAGGGGCGCACCCTGACAGACACACACAGGTAATCGAACAACAGCAACAGGCAGTTGAGTGAGAGCTGGCCAATCAGGGGGTGGCTCGCTGGGCTTGCCTTTCTGCGGAGGCCTCCACTTGGGTCAGACAGGAAAATTGAGCCACCTTCCAGCCGTTGCGGATAGCCTGAATGAATGAATGGGTCAGAGAGAGGGGGACAATCCAAGAATGGTCACCTGTCTGTCTGCCGTTCCGAGTTGATACAGTGCCTTACCAGCTTTGATGTGCTCCAGTGCCTCAGTGGTTCGTCCCGCCACGCGCTCCACCTCCTCCATCCCCCACCGCAGGCCAGCCAGGTGGGCAAACACCTATGCACACACACACACGCGTGCGCGCGCAAATGACTGTCCCTCCTTCCCAGGTCTTGTTCGCTTGAACATGCCCTCACCTGTTCCCATGGCGTCACTCGTGGGTGCCTCTTCTTGTCTGCGGATGCCCTGCTGCCCACAAAGTGGACCCACCCTGCCGCCGACTCAGCCTCCTTCATCTGTGCCTCCACACGGTGTGCCACATCCCGCAGCAGCTCCTCATGGACAGGCGGCAGCCAGTACAGCACCAGAAAGGTGTCCAGCACGGCAGAAGGGCTGTGGTGATGGTGGTCATGCTCACGCTCCCGCTCCTCGCCAGAGAGGTCCTTGCTCGGCATGAAGAGGCTGGTGGTGTTGTCGTACAGAGCGGTGAGGAGGGTGCGGACGAGGCGGCGGGAGAGGGGTCGCAGCTCGTCCTTCACCGGGGTGTCGACTCGCAGCAGGTGGTCCGACATGTGCAGCGCGTGCGCATACACCGCCTGCAGCACGCTGCCGGCACCAAGATGATGATGCGCCTGCATGTGGTCTGGTGGTGTGCCGTCTTCCTCAATGACGTCCGTAATCTTGGGCAGCACATAGAGTTGCCCCTCCTCTCGCTCAGACAGATGCTCCTTCATGCCCCTAACGGCGTTTGTCGCCCCGCGTGCCGTCCAGTTGCGAAATGCGTCCACAGCCAAGCCACGCGGCTCCAGCACATCCAGATAGACGGCATACTCGCCCAACAGGGACAGATACAGAGCCGAAGACCAGGCAGATCCACACCCCCTCTCCTTGTCGCTGTCGAGCAGCGGCGGCCAGCCTTCCCAGTAGGACACGCATCGCCGCAGCAGAGGCACCAGAGCCTCCACATCACCCATCATCAGAGCTGACAGCATTGCATCCCGCATGCTCAAGTGGCCGTCTGGCGCATGCTCATGATAGAGGACGTCACTGTCATTCTCGCCGATATGTTGGGCTTGCAGGTGGGTGAGCGCCTTGCTGGCCGCCATAGGCCGCGAGAGCTGCCGCTTCAGCCGGTGGGTGTGCTGCCACTGGTGGAAGGCCTCCTGGACGGCATGCAGGTCGAATGTGGGCAGATAGGCCGAGAGGAATATGAGCGATACGGCGCAGAAGGACAGCGGTATGAGGAAGAGCTGCGTGAGGGTCAGGTTTAAGAAGGCCCGCTTCCGTAGCGGACGTGGGTGTGGGTGCTTCGGCATCACTTAAATGTTGGGACTTCGCTGCGCTCACTGATCTGTAGAGTTTTGATCTGTGTGAGCCTCTCTGTTCCGTGGCAGTTCTAAGCTCGCAGGGTTTGGAACCCTGCAGGCGGCCGCTGGGCCTTTTTTTCCCATTGTTAGTGCCCATGCATGAAGGCTGCTGCCGTGCTCATCTGAGGCCGAGTGAGGCGGAGGCTTTGCGAAATGGGTGAATGCAGGTGTGCAGCAGTGGGCGGCAGACGCACTGACCCAGATATTCACACAGACGGAATTCGATGAGCGCTTGACGCCTGGGGCTGGGAGGCCGGGGAATGACTGCTGGTGTGATGGGCTGTGTGTGTGGTTAGTTTGAGCGGATGGCCTTGCGTGTGTGAGAAGCGGGTATGCGGCACAGAGGGCATCGTGGGGTCAGTGGGCGTTCAGTGCAAATGCATGTTCAGTCTGCCATCTGTCTGTCCACGAATGCATGTTGACTTGTCCACTCCATCAAACGGTCAGCCGCATCGCATCTACACCCACCTCCCGATCACTGTCTGTTTGATGGCCAGCGGACAGACGCATATCACCGCCTCGCTCTCACAATTAACTCGCCATCATTGCGCGCACACGTCACTCGCACCCAGCCACTTTCAGACAGACAGACAGACAGACAGCACGCACATATCACAGCAGACGCACCAGACTACATACACCGATCTGTCTGTCTGTCTAAGTAGCGTGGTTTGGTGGCTGCTTGGCACGCCACCCATACCGACACACAGACAGTACACAGATGAGAACATTTGTGTACCGGGGAGAGAGAGGGGGCTGAGCTCAGCTTGGCTTGGCTGACTGGCTGTCTATCAGAGGGGCTTGGCTATGTGTGGGCGTGGGGGGCGAGGTGAGGGCAAGACAGACACACACACAGACAGACACACACACAGACAGACACACACACAGACAGACAGACAGACAGACACACAGACAGACAGACCACCAGACAGACAGACACTGACTGAATGGTCGATAGACTGACTGACTGCCACAGGAGGCGATGGAAGGCATGATGGCACTTCACACACATTCCGCAAAAAGAAGACGAGTCATCCGTGAAGTCCCCCCAGCCCACACAGTCGACAAAATGGCAAAAGACAAACCGGCACATCGAGTACTTCCCCTGACTGACAGCGCACCCGATGCGTGAAACAAAAGATGGAGAAACGGACCGATCGGCCGACGACGACAGAAAAGAACCCCACGACACCACCCACCCCCACGACACCACCCAACCCTCCCTCCATCCATCCGACCGATTGTATTTGTGTGCATCACTGCCCCTCTCCTCAGCTCTTCAAGGAAGCGGCCAGAGGAAGGCAAAAAGCAGTGATGGGCTGACTGACTGTAGTACGACGGGTGGGGGGAATCAACCCAAACACAACACGACACGCAATGCACTGAATTTGCATTGCCCCGGCGGCCCGGCCCGTCCACCGCTGCCCATCGATCCCCCGCTACTCCTGGAGACTGCGAGGTCAGAGCAGCAGTGGACTGACTGACTGACTGGCGAGGGAATGCGCTGCGGTGACAAAAAAGACCGACCGACAAATGACGACAGCCATCCATCCACCTCTGCCACACACATACATCTTCCAAAAGGATGACGGATGACAGCAAACCCCCCGACCATTCCGTGACTTCGCGCAAACGCCCATAAGCACAGTCGACCGACACACGGAGTGCCCCCGATGCCCAACACATGAAATGCCCAACACATGAAAAACAAAAGATGGAGAACCGACCGATCGACGACGACATTGTGAAAGCCACGACAGACCACACGCGGCACCCATCCGACCAACCAACCAGCCAAAGTCTTTGTCCGTCGGTCCGTCCGTCTGTCTGTCTGTTTGTCTGTCTGTTTGTCTGTTGCGGCATACAGCACCATGCGCACACCTACACCTGCCCCCCTGTGTGTTGTCCTGACGTGTGCGTGTGATACAGCCTAGCCAGCCCTCGTGTGTGTGTGTTGTCAGTAGAGAGAGGGATGAGGTGGTCGGTGGGCGGAAAGATGGACACTCCCGCATGTGTGTGTGTGTGTGTGTGTGTGTGTCTGGTTGTATTCGGAGCAGTAGAGGGGGAACGCAATGCTGAATGGCTCCGCCTAGTACAGGCATATATAGAGAGAGAGGGTGGGTGTGTGAACCAGAGTGTGTGGGTGGCTCACGGGGTCAAGTACACAGGTAAAATCTTCTCGACGGTATATTGGTCAGTAGTGTGTGCGCACCCAGCCCAGACTAGTCTTACTTTCTCTCTATCAGGTCTCTGTGGGCCTGCAGGTGGCTGTCAAGGGTCACCCTACAGTCAGAAAAGCCAAATTTGTGCCAGCGTCGGTGCTCTGTGTGTGGGGCTGCTGCTGACCTCTCCTCAGGCTCCTGTTTTGCCCATGAGCTGATGCACCTGACCCATGTGATGGATGGACCGGGCCGCACCCACAGAGCCAAACACGGGCCTGCAGGAGATGGACCAAAATGGGAGAAAGAGGGGGTCAGAGAGAAGTTCCGCTGTGCATCAGAGAGCACCGCAAAGCCTTCACCAACAGCAATCCTCCGACACCCTAATGAGCCTCGGGGTCTTGGCGCAACACGCCACCTCGACCTGCACACACAGACAGACACAAACAAAGGCGCATCAATCGCGGCAAAGATTTGAGCCAAGAGAGCTCTCCTGGCTGCGCGTGTAGCCTTCCTGTGAGCCTCTCTGCTGCTGATCTGTCCGTTTCGTGTGTCTGCGTCCTCCCTCTTTGCAGCAGCAGCAGCGGTTTCAGGAAGCACCCTAGCTGGCCTGACGGCCAAGTCCCCTGTCGGTCTGTCCAACATGAAACAGGCACCCTAACATGCAACCCGGACACGAAATATGCAGCACGCAGAGGGCTGATGCTCCCTCTTTGCACTCTAAGCTCGCATTTTGCCGATGCTGCGCAGGAGGCTTTCTCCCATTGCAGATGGGCGGGGGAAGCGCTAAAGTGCTCAGCTAGCCCCTAAGAGTGCCTGGGGTTTGTGAAATTTGCGAATGCGCGTGTGTGGTGTGGGTCTGTCTGTGTGTTGTGTGTGGACTGCCATATTGTAAGTATCCCGTTCACAGATGCATCCGTCTGTGTGTATCCGTCCTCAGTCCATGGATGCATCACGCCGAGCCATGTGTGTCACATCTACTCACCCACCCATCAAAACACCCGCCCACTGCGTCTCACCATGCATCATTGCAGACAGACAGCCAGACACCACGCCACACCGCCCCCTTAATTCTATCATCTCTCTGTGTTTGTGGTGTAGGTGGGTGCTTCGCATGCCACCCACACAAACACACATACACACAAGGGGCACCCTTACACCACACCGACACCCAGTCAGGCACACACAACACACGAGAGGAGAGGCAGGCAGAGAGACGGCTGAGCTGCCTGGTCGGTCGGTCGGTCGGTCGGCCAAAAGAAGAAAAGACGAACGAGACACACAGACACACACATACAAACACGCCGCAAAAGCAAGACGAAGAAAAGACCACACCCGGAGTCGACAGACAAAGTAAAAGAAGAGGGGTACACACGAGAGCCATCCATCCGTTCCGCACACTCACACATCCCACCCCACCCCATAGTTCTTCCAACACACACACGCCGAAAAACGAATCGATGGACGGACGACAAAACGCCAAACGAACCCTCAACCAGCAGGCGACCAACCAGACGAAAGCAAAGGAGAGGGACTGAGAGGTGTGAGGGCAGTGAGTGCAGCGGCCGGCAGGGCCAAGTGGTACTCACATGGGTAGAGAGGGTGAGTGAGAGATCGGGGGTTTTGTGTCACCTTGCTTCGCTTCCTTCCTCCATGCATTCTGCATCCATCCATCAGACCATCACGGACGTGCACGCCAATGTCTGTCTGCAGTATGCATCTCTCTCTCCCACCCCCTCACACCCAACGGGCATTCTGCTATGCCTGCCTACCTGCACGGTGGGACAGACGTCGACAGCAGTATGCCCGTTCGTTTCCTGCCTGTGCACACACACTCACGCCTCACTCCCCCGATCCCTCACAAAGAAACCGGCCAGGCACCACACGCACATGGGAAAGACGACCAACACTAGTGGCACACACAGGCACACACCGGAAGGAAAGAGGACGGGTCAAAAGAAACAGCGGCAAAGAAAACACCCCAACGATGACAAAAAAGTAAGACGTCCATCCGTGAGTCGACCGACAACTTAAGGCATGATGGCACTTCACACATTCCGCAAAAAGAAGACGAGTCAAGACTAAGAAGCCAATCAGCCGTCAAGTGCCCCCCACCCACACAGAGTCCACAAAATGGCAGAAGAAAAACCGGCACATCGAGTTCCCCTGACCCCCCAACCGATGGACGAAAAAGACTGAGAAAGGAAACGATCAATCGACGACGACAAAAAGACCCCCACGACACCATACGCGGCACCCCACCCATCCCTCCATCCGTCCCATCGACCAACCCCGTGTATTGGTCTCCATTACTGCCCCTGTCCTCAGCTCGCCATGGGCGCGGCCAGAGGAAGGAAAAAAGCAGCAATCGGCTGACTGACTCTAGTAAGGCGGTGTGGGGGTACATACCAACAAACGACAACGACACGTTTTGCATTGCCCCCGCCCGACCGGTCCACCGCTGCCCATCGATCCCCCGCTACTCCTGGAGACTGCGAGGTCAGAGCAGCAGTGGACTGACTGACTCGAGGGCATGCGCTGCGGTGACAAAAAAGACCGACCGACAAACGACGACAGCCATACACCCATCCACCTCTGCCACGCACATACATCTTCCAAAAGGATGACGGACGACAGCTCACACCCCGACCATTCCGTGACTTCGCGCAAACGCCCATAAGCACAGTCGACCGACACACGGAGTGCCCCCGATGCCCAACACATGAAATGCCCAACACATGACAAACAAAAGATGGAGAACCGACCGATCGACGACAACATTATGAAGCCCACGACAGACACCACACGCGGCACCCATCCGACCAACCAACCAGCCAAAGTTTTTGTCCGTCGGTCCGTCCGTCTGTCTGTCTGTCTGTTTGTCTGTTGCGGCATACAGCACCATGCGGACGCCTACACCTGCCCCCCTGTGTGTTGTCCTAACGTGTGTGTGTGTGTGTGTGATCCAGCCCAGCCAGCCCTCGTGTGTGCTGGGAGCAGAGGGTAGGGATGAGTGGTGGATGGGAGAAAAGATACCGTACAGTCAGTCACTCGGCACCCGGCCAGACGACAAGTGAGCGGAACCAGCCACACGACGCATTCACAAATTGGCGGGGCAGACAGACCAAGTAACAGACCCATTCACACTACACACATACACATATTACAATCAGCACACGCAGGGCAGCCAAACGACGACAAATCACAGACAAAGAGTGCAATAAATCGAGCCACAGCGAAAAAGAGGCACGCGCGTCAGTCTGGTGGTGGGGGTGGGGCTGACAGAGACATCACAGCGTAACGGTTCGCTGATGTTGGAAAAAAAACACCATTACACCATTGGCAGGCAGACCAAACACCCATAGCAGCCGTATCCCTCTGGTTCCCTCACGCCCAGCCTTACAGCCAGGCCGTCAGAGAGAATGCATCCCACCCCCCCTATCAGTCTGTCTGTCGGGTGTTTGCTATGTGTGAGTGTGTGTTGGTTTAGTTGTGTGTGTGGCCCTCCCGGCACCAGCCGCAGCACATGCCCTCCGGGAACAGGAACGACCACACCTGGCCCCAGAAACCCACCGTCGGCTCCTGGGTCCCTCCCTGCGTGCCGTCCTCGGTCGTCGGCTGGCTGCCCGTCTCGGTGGCCTCCTTCAACAGATGCTTGCTCTCGCCAAACGCCGACACACCCTCTGCACACACACAGACACACACACAGAAACACACACATGCCGCATGGTCTCACGCTCCTATCTCGTGCTGTGGGTGTCACAATATATTGGTGTCACAAGTCGACATAGGAGGCCACTCACCACTGGCAGCGGTGGGCAGGTTGTTGTCCGTCTCGGTGGCCTCCTTCGGCAGACGCTGGTCCTCGCCAAACACGAACAAACTCTCTGCACACACACATACACATGCCGCATCGTCCCGCACTTCCATCTCGTGTGTGTCGACATAGAAGGCCACACACCTTTCGAGACGGTGGGCAGGTTGTTGGGCGTCTTCTTGATGCTCGTGTAGTGCAGCGGGCGAGCCGACAGACGGCGGGAGGCCCGCTTGGTGCGTCCCTCGGTGGCGGTGACGGTGGCCGAGCCGACGGTGAAGACGCCCGCACCGTTGCGCGTCGCCGGGTTGTCCGATGGCTGGTCGTCGAAACTCACGGGTGGCAGCTCTGCACACACAAGAGAGAGAGGAGAGGGAACGGATCTGCAGAGTGAGAAGGTTTTTCTGTTGGCTAGTGTCACTGACCGATGGTGTGTTCTGTGCCTTTGGACGCCTTGGCGGGGCGGAAGGCATACCCCATCCCCAGGTCGATGAGGCTCTTATCTTGTTCCATTATCACCCAATCCTTCTCCTCAGACCCCTCCCCCTCCCTGTCGTTGGGACTCTCGTACAACGACATCTTCTCAAACATGCCACCATAGAGCTGTTGGAGCCAACACATACACAGACACATTCACACACATACACACACGACACACGCGTCACGTCCAGATCAGCGTCTGCTCACCTGGTGCTCCTTGGCCTTGTGCTGCTGGATGTGTTGGGCGAGGAGGGCCATCTCGTCATCGGCCTCCTTGCCGTAGTTCTCGTGTGACGCCTTCAGCTTGCGCAGGTCGGCCACGGCGCCATCGAAGTCGCCAGACAGCCGACGGGCGCAGGCGCGACGCAACAACGCCTGCAGACACATTCACACACACACAGATGAATGAATGCACGAGTTCATCTCTTTGTTGTGCTGCGGTCACCTTCGGGTGGGTATCATCGTGGGCCAGCAGCAGGTCGGCGTAGGTGAGGACCTCGTCCAGCAGGTCGGCCTTGAGGGCGGCCAGGGCCGAGTTGCTCCACACGCTCATGGTGAGCTGCTGCACCTCGTCGGTGTGGGCCATCCACGACCCCATGTCGACGGACTTGATCGCCTCGAGGGCCTCCATGGCCTTCTTGTACTCCGTCAGCGCCGCCTTGGGGGCCTTCTTGGCCATCAGGTTGTTGCCATCGGCCTTGTGGGCCCTGGCACTGAAGAACGAAAGGCACACAGACCGGTGGAATGGGATGGTGCAGTGCCTCATTCGTCGTCGTGGCATACTCTGACAGGTGGCTGCCGACCAGCTCTGCATCCGAACTCATCATACCACCACCTGATAACGCATACGCAAGCGCAAACGCATCCCATTGCAAACCGATGGACGAGCATCACGGACGTCCAGTGCAGTCATCCCCTCTCACCATGCCGAGTGGCCATCCCCGCGTCTATGGTGCCAGTGGCACCTCCCGCGTACTCGTCACGGTCCGCCATGGGCTCCCTCACTCGCTCGACGAAGGGACAAGGGATCGGCGCGGACGGCTGGGGCAAACTTCAACGAACGTTATCAAAAGCGATACACTCAGCAACTCCAACGGCCTCGAGAGAGCGTCAGCTGCCTTTTCTTGGAGTTCGACGCGAGCTTACAGATCGGTTTCATTCTTGCCCTGAAGAGGGAAGATAAGGAAGGAAGGAAGGAAGGAGGGGAAAGGAGGAATGGTAAGGAGTGTAAGGATGGGCAGTGAATGGGAAGGAGCTCACGCAAAGATCTTTTCATAAACCCGCCTGTTTGCGATGTCAGGTTGGAGTGCAGCAGAGCATCAACGCATCTATGCTTCTCGGTGAGTGACGGCGCATGCTCACGTTGCTGTTTACCCTCTCGTACCTCCTGTCCTCAGGTGAGTGCTGACGTTCGTGTGTGAAAGATCGTATCAGCTTCGCGTGTTTCTGTGTGTGTGCAGAGATTCATGCGAGCGCCTCCCTGCTTTTCGTTCCGCCTCCCCCTGCCATCAAACGGTACGTACACAGACACTGCAGCTCGATGCCACAGGCATCCTCTCCATCCCCATGCATGTGTTTGTTTCCACAGGTTCCAGAGAACGCTGAGAAGGAGAATGGCAGAGGGGGAATTGGACACTAGGTAGGTACGCAAGAGTGCGAGACTGCGACACGCACCAGCGACCACACCGTGTAAGTGCGGTGACGGTGGGTGCAATGCAGGCCGTTTGAGTACACAGTGCTCACGCCAGACACCGTCACACAGCAGCGGCTGCACGAACGGCCGCCTGACGGTACGTACCTCTGACGCGCGGCACATACAGATGTCAATCGGCACGGGGGCGTGTACATGGCTCTTCAGGTCGGGTGACGTATCTGATGCTGGTGGCTGGGGGGCTTGAGGACGTCGCCACCGGCTACATCAACGCCGAGATGGACAAATACAGGTAAGTTAACGAATGCCATCGTCATATATGTGGTCGATGGTGCAGTCAGTGTACTCTGTCTGTGTGTTGCCGCCAGGCCGTGTGTGGGCACCGTGCTACGCGAGAGGGAGAAGGGATATGCGGGCGGGCACGCAGGTCAGGTCAGGTGAGGTGCGGGGTGACTGACAGGACACAAGCACACGCACACGCACACGCACACGCACACAGGAAAGGACTCACTCCGTCGGGCTACATTCGTGTGTAGGTGTGGGTAAGGTCGTGGTGCAAGTTGATGACAGCCACGATGCGAGAGCGGCGCTGCATGACTGCCCGTGCATCATGGGCCTCTTCGCCTTCCTCGGTGAGGGAGGAATGGCTGTCGAGCTTGCACCTGTGCACACGTCTGCCCATATGGTAAGTGTACTGGGCGGGTGTGTGCAGGTGTGCAGGCGATCCCTGTTGCCTTGTCGGCCGTCGAGCAGCCTGACAAAGACGTACGTAGGTACCTACCGTACAGACGCGGCAGTCCAACCAACCGACCACACAGCGGCGGACAAGTGTAGGTGTTTATCCTGGTGTGCAGGCCATCAGCGGCCCCATCGAGTCATTTCTGCAGAAGACTGACTTGTGGTGCGCTGCGGACGAATGCATTCTATCCACCTATCCATGTGCGCGTGTGTGCATTCATCAGGGATCAGGCGCTGCATCTGTGGCGTCACCACATGAGGATCGAGCAGCAGAGATTCGTCGACGGAAGCATGTGGAACGGCGAGGCAACCAAGCACCAAACACACACATGATTTGATGCATGTCCCGTGTGTCTGTGTGTGTCTTTAGGTGATCAGCAAAGAGCAGATCAGTGCCAAAGACTGGACAGAAAAGGTGAGATGAGACTTTGACCCACCCTCTTGCACACGCGTGCCCACGCCACACGTGTTTGCCTTCAGCTGGGTGCTGTGCCATTCCGTGCGTCGTGTCTGCGTGATGGCCACCACGGGGATGTCAAGAGCCAAGACATCATGGTCGCGGTATGTATATATGTGTACATATCACACATCGATCTGTACATATACACATACACATGTACATGTGTAATGGATTCGTGCAGATGGGCGAGGGCGTGACAGGGCGGCACAGCGGATGGCGCGTCAAGCTGACCGGATATGACATGGAGGTGCGTATACACAGACAGACGCATGAATGCCCACTCACGCGAGCCTCCGCGTAAGTGCTGCTTGTGTCCTCGGTTGCTGCAGGTGATGGCGATTGTCTTTCACTCATCGCTTGCGTACGGCATCCACCTAAATGTGCGCAACAACAGGCGCACACAGGACGTCCCCAGCCAAGACAGACAACACCTGGTCAGTCAGGCACCCAACCACACACACACACGTGTCGTGTCCGCCACATGTCAGGCATCATGCCCCCATCTGTGTGTGAATGCCTGACCAGGTGTCAGGTCTGGACCGGCGCATTCGGCTGCGGCCGTCGACTGCCCACCTGATGCTCCGCATGGCTGACGTGCACAAGATGCCTGCAGGTATGTACCCACTCCACACATCCATCCATCCATCCATCCATTAGCTGCATTGATGGACGGTGAATGTGGTCGATCAGGGAGCGTTGTTCTCGACCCCATGGCTGGAATTGGGTGGGGATCCTCATCCACACACATGTGGATGTGTGTATGAGTGTGTGTGTGTCTTGCCAACCATCAGGACGATTCCCCTGGAGGCCGCCCGCCACTATCCCGTCCGCGGCATGGCCGTCGACACCGACGAGCCGGTCGTCGACAACGCGCAAGACAATGTGCGCCACGCAACCAGGAACAATCTCATGAAAGGTGAGGTATCGACACACAGGCAGGCACATGTGTAAGTGTGAGTGTTTATGCACATATCAGGCACGGTCGAGGCGCGCGTGGGTGACGCCGGGCAGCTGGATGGCATCCAGGACGAGAGCGTCGACGCGATTGTCACCGACATGGTGGGCTCATAAAGCCACGCCACCACATTCTTGAAGGAATGGACGGTCTGTGTGTATGGGGTTCCTTGCTCGCACAGCCGTTCAACAACGTGTGTCGGATGAACCTTTCTCTTCTGAGGCGGACCTTACAAGAGATAGCGCGACTGCTCAAAGACCATGTAAGTAAGGCACACAGACGGACAGACCACCGCAAAACGGCCGTCTGCCATGCCCTCATTCGCGTCTTCAGGCGCCTGCTGTCCTGCTCTCGCGTGCGGGAGATATCATCGTCGATAACGTCCAGCAAGACACTGGCGCCGTACGTACGCCGGCGCACCTCACCTTCTTACGCGCATGCACACACACCTATCTGTGCGGACGGGATGGTGTGTGTGATGCTGGATGCAGGGCGTGTGGCACATCTGTGGGCGGCATGCAGTCAACATTGGCGGCCTCGAAGCCACAGGTGACCCAATTACGAACTACGCACATTTCAACACAATTGACTGACCACAATGTGTTCTCTCGTCCGTGCAGTGGTGGTTTTGCGAAGGCAGCCGAGATGAGATTGGCCAACCCCAAGGACACACCAGAGGACACACCAAAGGACGACGGATGAAGTGTGCTGCGTGTGCTGTCCATCCATCCATTTTCGAATGCTGATGAGGCATTGGCCAGTGCTGATCGTGATTGAGTGAGGGGAGTGAGCGAATGAGTGGACAGACAGACAGACAGACAGACAGGGACGTCGCCTGACCAACAAGTCGGCAGCAAACAGTTCTGACTGACTTGGGGTGTGGATGGGATGGCTGGGAGTGATGGTGGCCCGGAAACATTCGCCAATGCGCCTCACCATGGTGGCACAGCATGATGTGAGAATGATGCTCACCACCACCACATTGACTCAGATAGCGCCATTCATTCATAAAAATCACCTCGCATGCAATGCACTCACATGAAAACGTCAGTCACCCCCAACGCCCGCACCACCTCATCCACCTTGCTCGATGACGACTCATTAACCGCACCACCGCCTCCTTCGTTCGGTAAGTCGTCTCCAACACAGCCCACACACCCTTCACACACACAAGAGCGACAGTCAACAAGTAAGTCACCATCAAGAGGCCCCTTCGAGCACTCGGTGGGCGCGCCAGTGGCCAGTCCAGCCCTTAAGGTATCTATCAACACGCACTCATAGCTATTCATCCAAACACCACCTGCAAGCTATACAAATCAGTCTAAGTACACCGACCGCATGGCCATGCATGCAAGGAAGGAACACGGCAAGGCAAGTCAGGCAGGCAGACACACTCGCACGCACGCAGCGGTCGATTGAGGTAGGTATGGTCCATGCGTGTGGTCTAGCAAGCCAGCCCACATGCCGATACGATACACCAGCTGTGGGCTTACTCCCAACACCTCACGCATCTCACACGCCTCAGTCAGTCAGACCTCTCAGATCGTAGATCGAGTGTGCAGAAGACCGACACACACGACCCTGCCTGCTCACAGGCCACATTTCCGTCTGCACTCTTCTCTCTGCAGCCCCAGGGCAGGGCCGGCCGGCAGCTCCTCGCGCAGCACCGCAACCTCATACTCGTCCACTCCCAGGGCAGTGGCCAGCACGTCGTCAGGGAGGCCAAAGAAGGCTTGTGCGATGGTCTGCACTCCGCCGTCATCGCTGTTGAGCGTGGCGATGAACTGGGCTGGTTCGCATGTGGGATTGAACTGCCAGTGGATAAGTGTGTGGGGGAAGAAGGCAGTGTCGCCCTCCTTGACGTCATTCGTGACGATGCGGCCGCCGTTCTCCTCGGCAAAGCCAACGCTCACCCTGACAGCACAGCATGCACACATGGTGACAGACAAAAAAGACAAGTACATGGTGGGTTCAGTTGGTCCTCTGTGCATGTTGCTTACCGTCCTTTGATGATGTAGATGATCTCTGTGGCTCGGGGGTGGACATGTGGCGTGTTGATGGAGCAGGGGGCGAGGTCAACCAGCGTGTGGCTGAGCCCATGACCGCTCAGGGCCGGCCATTGACTGACGCTGGCTGCACAAACAGACAAGACCAAGGGAAGCAGACAAGGCAGTGACAACATATATTGTCTTGTCAGCGAGATACATCCCTCGTGCAGTGCAGCCATCCGTCGCGTACGTACCTCCTGTCACAGCTCCGCCCTGTCCGTTTGTGTCGGCCTCAGCTCGCGCGGTGTTGAAGTCAAAGATGAAGTCACTCGACTCATCGAACTGATTTCGAAAGGCCCGACGGCTCAGCGGCACATCAGGCTCGCCATTCTCATCATCTTCCTTGACGTCATCTGTGTCCCCTGGCTGAGTGCTGGTGCCGGCAGGGCGGCCTGACACACAGACAGACACACAGACAGGCAAGCATTCAGAGATGGAGAAATGGCTCACACGAGCCGAGTCGCACATCCATGGTTCTTTCGTAGGCGACTTACATGTGCCGAATGTGGTGCCCTCTCGTCCGACGCACCGGTTGCTCTGGCAGTCGTTGTTGTAGCGGCACTCGCCACCGTCATCCTGATAGACGCCCTTCTCCCAGCAACGGCCCGCAACACAACTGCAGTGGACACCCACACACACAGGACAGTGCGAACAGTGCAGAGTGACACGTGAGTGGCTTGACGCGATTCACTCATTCTTACTTTCTCGAGCAGCAGACAGCGTTGTTCACGCAGATGCTGGATCGGGCCTGGCAGGTCCGGAATTGCTGCTGGAGGCCGCGATGAGCATCATTGTCAAAGGGCGCCTCAGATGAGCCCCGTGCACCAGCAACGGCGAAGCTTACTACCACAAACCAGATAAGGGACAGCAGCTGCTTCTGCATCATCATCACGGAGAACACTTGACGCGTATCTACCAATGAAGAAAATGCAGATCTGAGGTCGGGAAGGATCAGCGGGAAGGCAGCAAGCAATACGAAGGTCTCCATGAAGGAAATGGATGCAGAGCAAAGGATGTGACCTCTCCATCCTCTCTTCTCTGAGCTCGCAGCGAGAGAGATCAGCTCCTTTGCTCTACCCTTTCCCTTCCTTCGCGCAGGACCTGACTGCCACGTCCGCCACACATCTATCTGCATCTTTCATCGCAACAGATCTACACCGATCATCTACCTCAGCAGATCTTCCTCATCCCTTGCGCTTGAAGCAACAGCTCAGCCACCCTCTCGTCGGTTCGGTTCGCATCAAGCCCTTGGTCAGCTCCACTCATTCGCGGCTCTTCAATCAATCTAATCTGATGGCATCCCGGGTCCTTCTCGTCAGCCTTCTCGCCCTGTCGTCTGTGGGGCTCATCAGTGCCCAGGCCGTGACTGAGCTGGAACGCCGGGCGTCGTTGCCCAGCAAGGCATTCGCCTACCCGACACGAAAGGCCGAGCCCGTCGACGCGGTAAGCTCGACAGACAGACAAGTGGAGGCACAGACTACTTACTTCTGCCCCCCTGTGTTTGTCTTTCTCCCTCCCTCCCTGCCTGTCTGTCGTGATGCCTGCAGGGTGCGGGTGGCGATGTGCGTCCGGTGCGTGTGCAGGAGCTCCCGTCACTCAAGGGCGAGTCCATCTCACAGGTGCACTACGTGCTGGAGCCCTGCGGTCTGAACTCACCGCAGTTGCACCCACGGGCGGCCGAGATCGTCTACGTCATCAAGGGCGACGAGTTGGAGATGGGATTCGTGGAGGAGAACGGCCCCTCGCCGCGCGTCATCAACAACACCCTGAAGGCGGGCCAGTCCATGTTGGTCCCAGAAGGGCTCCTGCACTGGCAGTACAACAGGGGCTGCAAGCCGGTCGAGTTCATCTCGACCTTCAACAGTGAGGACCCTGGTGTGCTGACTGTCGCCTCCCGGCTGCTGTCCATTCCCACCAACGCCTTGGCAACCACACTGGGCGTCAGGCAGAGGGAGGCGGTGCGGCTCGATTCTGACCAGAAGCAGGTCGCTGCACCGGCGATCGGCGGATACGAGTGCCTCAAGAGATGCGGAATCGGTGGGCTAGGCTAGGCGGGCAGAAAGAGAGAGAAAGAGCGAGGCGATTCGGGGATGGTGTTGATCTGATCGGTGTGTGTGTTCTTATGCTGTGTGTGATCGATCAGATATTGGGGAGCAGTTGTGCAAGGGCTACTCATGCGGCGATGGCGGTGTGTGCATGGTGAAGTTCGACCGGCCCGAGTGTGTGTGCGCGCCCAACTATGTGCGCGACGCATCGACGGGCAAATGCGTCAAGAGAAGTAAGTGCGACGAGCGAGAAGACTACACACATCCATACGTATAGATGGACGCCACTCAACTCACTGACGGCTGCTCTGTCTTTGGTGCAGACTTTTCCTGAAATAAATAAGTGAATGTTGACATGACGCCGATAGCCAGCTCAGCCATAGTCATTGCCTTTCTCTCGGCCGTAGTCCGGGCGGTATTGGTCTGTGTTTGCGCACTGTGAGTGTGGGGTGTGCTCTTCATTCACGCACAGACATTGCGGTGGATAGGCCAGTCGTGTGACGCATGTGCCTTCCTTCGCCCTGTGGATGGGTCAGTCATGTGTTTGTTTGATACATACGTGTGAGTAGAGTGCGTGCATGGGTCTGTGACCTTGATGGAGAGGGCGAGGGTCCATGTGCACAGATCGAAGGGATTGCTTGTCTTGTTTGTTGAGTGGTGGACTGACTGTGAGTAGTGAAGACTTAAGTAAGTCTCTTCTTTGCCAGAAGGTTGTATGTGCAGCAGATGGAGGCGGGAGGCGCCACTGGGGTGGCTGACGACCACTCCACAGCAGCGATAAAGAATAACGAGAGGGGAACTGCCATTCGCGCCATCCTTGTCACTGCCGTACAGCTTGAGGACAACGACGCACTAGAGAGTCTGCTGTTAGCTCAGCTCATCAGAAGACACGTCACACGGAAGAAAAGTAACCGGAGCTTGCGGCGAGAATCGCGGCGAGAATTCAGAATCGCGCCGTCTCGAGACAGCATTTATCGAACAAAGGGATATCAAACAAGTTTCCGAGCCGGCTCTCCTCATTTCTCACTGTTCGCCTCACATCTCCTTCGTTTCCTTTCATTTTCCGGCGGGAGAGGTCGGCCGCCACCCGCCCGAGGCCCACGCAGCCCCCCCTGCTTGCCGTTTGCGAAGAGGACGAGTCCACCTGACCGCCCCTGACCCGCCCGCCCGTCAGACGATGACATCAGCCTGAGCCTCCCTCCTCCCTGGTGAGTGGTCGTTGGCTTGTGTGGTCCCCCCCACCCCCGCCCTCCGACTTGTCCGAAGTCGTCTGCCACTTCCTTCCTCTACCGCCGTGCCGCGAGTGCCTCAGCCGGTGACGCCCTTTCTTCTGCCGAATGGGTGGCGACCGCCTGACATCTCTCTGGCGTCAGCTGAGTGCACGGACGCCTTCTTCTGTCTTCAAACTTTAAACATCCTCTCAGGTGGGCACACTGGTCATATCTTTTTTTGTTGGTTGCGGTGTCGGTATGGTGTGTGAATGATATTCAAGGATTATCAGGTGGTCTGCTTCATTGCTGTGGTCATCTCATGTGCCCTGTTGGCATGTTTGTGCGCAGATGAAACAATTTGGGGTCTTTCCCGATGGCCGTCTCGTTTTCTCGACGGAGTCCTCGAAAGGTGGGTGAAGTATTCAGTGAATCAGGGGTTCAGTGTACGCTAACGAACCAGTATTCACGCTAGTTTTGCCTTTGGCTGCAGCACAGACGGACAACTCTTTTCGACTACAGGAGAAGAAACAGAAAGCCGGTGAGCGGAAGAAACAAACGAGAAAAAGTGAGCACAGTCTGTGTGTAGCGCCGAAGTCGACGACAAGGCGAGACCATCAAAGTCCCATCGTCTTTCTCTGTGCAAGAGGAAATGGGCGCCGACCTGGCAGTGCAGCAGATCAAGACGGGCCACAAGTCCAAGAAGGCTGCCACAAGTCCCCGGCTGCCTTATCAGAGGCAACCGGATGGAGTATTTCGACATCCTCACTCGGTCACGGAAGACAGAACCGCTCTGCGAGGAGGCGTCGAGCGGAGGGGGCGTCGAGCGAGGGAAGGGACCTGGTAGGTCTTCCGCAGCGACACAACGCAAAGGAGGGCAATCACACATTGTCTATGGATGTTGTTCCTGTCTGATTGCAGCCGTTGACGGAGGCTGAGCGGACCGCCATCCGCCAGTCGGCAGCCGGGGACCTGGAGGGTGGGATAAAGAAGCATCTGAAGGGCATGACCAAGCAGCGAAGGACGCGGCGGCCGCCAAGATCCTAGCGGGTGTCATTCTCTCATCCTAGGAGAGCACTGTTGGTGTACTTCAAGTGCTCCTTTAGCGAGTACGCGACAGACGTCAGTCAGTCAGTCTGTCAGTCATTGGATGTGTGCTGACGTTCTCTCTCTCGTCGGGAGCTGAAGCGGGGTACGGCATGGGCCGTCACGGCGAGGTTGCTGAAAGGCCAGCGAGGAATGTTGATTGTGTGTCTCTCGGTGTGCAGGTCGGTGATCGATCGCTGACTACATTTTATATCCCGGGATCTCTTGTTTCGATGCCCTGCTCGCTTCGGGCCTGCTGCCCCACCATCACCGCCTGCGGCCATCGGTAAGTAAAACAGAAAGAAGAGAGTGAGTTGGGTGATGGTACATGGATGGATGCTTTCGTGTCTGCCACTAGTGTCATTCCCTTGGTCCAGACCTGGAGGCCATGACGATGAAGGAACTGCAGAAGCTGATCAGCAACGACGCCCGCCTCAAGCATATCAGACGGGCCACGAATCCAAGGAGAAGGTGAGGGAGGAGATCAGAAAGGCCAGGGGGCGGGTGTAGTGGTTTGTGGGGGAGGGGGTGGAAAGGGGCCCTCTCTCTCTGTGTGTGTGTGTATGTGTGTGGCTTTTCAAGCAATCAACAATGGGGGAAGGTGTCGATTTTGCTTTGGGGGGTGAGATGACGGTGGCGAACGTCAAAGACATCATGAGGGAGCTGTTTCTGGCGCTCGACCACATGCACTCACATAAGGTATACAAGCACGCACGCACGCACAGGTGCGTCTATGTGTGTATGTGGATGGGCGGGTCTTGTGTGTCGCGTCGCATGTGTGCAGGTCATCCATCGCGACATCAAGCCGCTGAATGTAATCTACAACCTCACGGACGGCGTGCTGAAGCTCACCGATTTCGACTTGGCCCTGCTTGAGGATGTGAAGCACCCCTTGGAGCACATATTCGTTGGGACGCCCTCTTTCAACGTACTCACACGCACGGACACATTGGGGACACGTGGACATCCAACCTGTTTGTTGTGTTTGCTCATGCAGTCACCCGAGACCTTCCACCACCGCTACACCGTCCAGGCTTTCGTGTCTGATGAGGTAGGCAGGCACATGGGTCACAAACACCAAGCACGCGCACAGCACACCTATCTACGCGTTCTGTGTTGCTGGATGCATCCACACAGGTACTACCCCTTGTTCAAGAGGCTGCCGTTTGCCGATATGTGAGTGAGATCAAGACATACGCGCACACACGTGGTCATGTGGACAACAAGAGTGAAGAATCGATGTGTGTCTGCGTGTATGTGTGTGTGTGCGTGTGTGTGTGTGTGTGCAGCCCCCAGCGAGTGGACTGTGAGAACCACAGGCGGCTGGTACAGCACCTCGTCACTGTCCACAAGGCAAGCATACACAGACGCCGACGACATACGCACAGACAGGCCGGCTGTGTTGTCTCTGTCACACATTTCGTCGCGTGTGCAGGGCCCACATATTCCGAGAGAGGCGATGGATAGCGTGCGATCTACTTTGAAGCTTGCTGACACTGATGCATGCCTACAAGTGGTATGTCACACACACAGACAGATGGAAACACACGTACGTTCGTGCGTTGAGCCACAGGTCTTGATGACGACCTGCAGAAGCTCAAGAAAGGAGGGAGAGCAGGGAGTTCGTCAGGCAAAGAGAGGCGAGGGCTGGCAAGCTCAAGGAGACGACTGTCGGTAAGAAAACCTTTGGTAACATCATGTCTCACAGGCACACGCCCTCACTGTGTCTCTGTCTGCCAATGTGCAGGTCGTCAATCGCTGCCGACATTTTATATTGAGTGGCCTTTGACAACGACCACCGCCCCACGGAGACCAGCTGCAGCCGCCACCCGCCGGTGAGGGCGAGGAGGACGACAGCGACGAGGCCGCCAACGAGCAGCAGCCCCCGCCACTCCCACCGCCCCACGGAGAGGAGAGCGAGAGGGCTGGCGAGGAGGACGGCGAGGAGGCCGAAAAGGATGCCGACGGAGCCCCCACCATGGGCCTCGTTCTCGAACCCGACACATACGCTTTCAACATGTGTGCCGTCTGCCTCAAGGTCAGTCAGCCAGCAGGAGAGAGCAGGCCAGGCAGGCAATACACACAGACATACATAGAGGGTGGTTGTCATGTGTGTTGTGTGTGTTGTGTGGTCAGGATGGGACAGAGGAGCCGCTAATTGAGTGTGCCACCTGCCGTGTGCACGTCCATCCCCGCTGCTACGGCATCGACCACATAGTCGATGTCCAAGAGCTTGGCGTGAGGCCCGCAAAGGACTCTCGAGACGCTCTGCACGTGGTGGCAGGGCCGCTCGATGACAGGCAGGGCGAGGCGGTACATGTGTGCGATCCCGCGGTGCGGCGTGAAGGGGAGAACGGCTGGGATCTGCGTCGGCTGACAGCCTTGCTTGAGCGCGCCAGGGCGGATGGGCCGATAGGTCAAGATGAGCCGTTTGAGCTGCGGATGACACTTGGCAAGCGGGTACTCTGCCCAAAGGAGTCATCTGCCGGTATGCGGGGGGGAGAGAGGCAGAGAGGAAAACATGTCAATGGTCCGTTGCTGTTGTCTTCTCAGGTCCACTGTCGCCTCCGCCACCGCAACATCGACTGCCCACGACGCCAGACAAGAAGCGGCACCGGTGGCGGTGCGACGTCTGCCGCAGGAGAGAGGACCCTTGGGAGGTCAGTCTGCGAGAACCACACAACACCACGCACAACACAACACAGCGCATCAGACGACACGGTGCCATTCTTGCCTGCCTGTCGCTCGCTTTGTTTGTGCATCCATCAGGTGCCGTGTGAGTTGTGCCCGCGTCGCGGCGGCGCCCTCAAGGCCGTCACCATCAACACACAGCCACACCCACAGCAGCAGCCCGGCTTGCTGCCCATGCCACCCCTCTCTCGACGGCCGGCGGACTCGTTTCTCTCAGCCAAGCGTGAGCGTCGCAAGACGCTGCTGCCACCGGAGGCCCGGCAGCAGCAGCGCAAGATGCGGACGGACATGGATCGGCTCAGCCCGGTGCCCTCGCCATCGCCCCCCACAGTGCGGGTCGTGACGCTCAACACCCTGCTGCAGCCGCCGTGGGGCGCGCCTTGGGTCCAACGCGGATTCTTCACCAGACCACTCAAGGCGCCCAGCGTGCTCGCGCCCGAGGATGGAGAAGCAAAGGTACGCCACCTCGCACACACATATAGGGGAGGGAGAGGGGCGTGATAGTGCCTGTGTTCATGTGTGTGTGTGTGTGTGTGTGTGGGATTCGTCAGTCGTCTGTGCCCCCTGCGTATGATGAAGTGTTTGACGCCTCCTGGCGGCACGACGTCGGCGACCCGCCGCTGGGTGCGTTCGAGGCGCTGTTCTGTTCGCACCCTGAGCGGCTGGAGATCCAGCGCGAGTGCGGGACCTGGTGGATGGCGCCGCCCAGCCACTCATTTGAGGAGGAGAGCGAGTGGCGGGCGGCGCCCACACCCACACCCGCAGCAGCATCCCGACATGCTGCCCATGCCACCCCTCTCTCGACCGCGGGCGGACCGTTTCCTTCAGGAGGTCTCGGCCTCGATCTGGGTGGTGGCCTTGGTCTCAGCCCATCGCCTGCACCCGCCCCCCTGGCACCCCCACTCCTACCTCCACCTCTCGTACCACCCGCCGCCGCAGCAGCGGCAGCGGCAGCAGGAGGGTCGTCCGGTCGTGACGGTGGTGGTGGTGGTGTTGGAGAGAGGGAGAGGGATGGGGAGGGCTCCGCTCGCCCCCCACAGAGGCGTTGTTTTGTCCATGAGACATGGCGAAGGCCAAGGCCAGGGGAAGGGGAAGGCCAAGAGCAAGGCCAAGGCGAGGGCACGCGCTCCTCCCCGTGCCGCTCCTGCTGCTGCTGCTGCCGCCGCCGCCGCTGCCGCCCCGCCATCACCGCCTGCAGCCATCGGTAAGTAAAACAGAAAGAAGAGAGTGAGTTGGGTGATGGTAAATGGATGGATGCTTTTGTGTCGGCCACTGGTGTCATTCCCTTGGTCCAAACAAAGCAGATAATATGACAATGGAGCCGCCGCGGGCGTTGATCAAGAGCGACAAGACTGGCAGCCTCAAGGACTTCAAGACCGGCGGGGCGGGGAGGACCAAGGAGGAGGTGAGGAACGACATCATGAAGGCATGGGGGCGGGGGTAGTGGTCTGTGGGGGGAAGGGGGGGAGAGGAGAGCCGGTGTGCAGGTCGACAGATCGATCGCTGACTACATTTTATATCCCGGGATCTCTTGTTTCGATGCCATGCTCCCTTCGGGCCTGCTGCTGAGGGAGACGCAGACACCAACAAGTTAGTGCTCTTCTGTGTGTCGGCGTGTGGCAAGATCATGTCTGAGGGTAAGAAAACCTTTGGTAACATCATGTCTCACGGCCACACGCCCTCACTGTGTCTCTGTCTGCCAATGTGCAGGTCGTCAATCGCTGCCGACATTTTTGCGATCGGTGCGGCGTCACGGCGGTGGTCCAGCCACCGCCTGCCGTCATCGGTAAGTAAAACAGAAAGAAGGGAGTGAGTTTGATCATGGTAAATGGATGCGACAAATGGAAGCCTTCCAATCATATCTCCGTGGCGAGGACGATTGGCCCAGCTGCGTAGACAGACATGCGCATGCCGGCCGGCAACGATCGACTCAAGCCACATACACACATAGTGTGTGGGGGGTGTGTGGTGTGGGCGTGGGTGGAGGGGAGTGTGTGTGTGGGTGTCTTTGTGCCTGCGGGCGTGCCTGTGGTGTGATTATTGCCTTCATTCTATATTTCGCAGAGAAGTGTTTCCATGCCAAATGGAGACATACGTGGAGACATTCCATATTGTTGTATCTGAGGGCTATGGGGGTTACATGCAGACTCCATGCAAGCTTAATTTGCAAACGACAGAGCTTCATTCCTCTCTGTGAATGTCCCTCGCTTGGACACCGTCTGAAGAGCGTATTCCGTCCATCCAGTACCCATGGGGACCGCTGGCGCTGTGCTTTTCGTCGCCTCCTTCCTCCTGCCTGCTGCAGGTATGCCAGTCGTAGTTGCGTGTGCGTGAATCCTGTCGATCTGCATGTTACCTTGTCTGAGCGAACCACATTGCAGCTGGAACCTACAAGTTGAACAACAACGTGCTGCAGCCGCACCTGCCGCTGCAACACCAGCTCACGTCCGCCACAGAGAAAGTGCGGGAAAAGGACTGCAGAGTTATGTTCAAGGTGGGGACGTCGCGCAGGCGGAAGGTCAGAAGGGAAGGAACACCCGACGAATCAGCGGCTGCCGCGTTCGTGTCTGTTCAGGGGGAAACAGTCTGGGGGGAAACCGACTATTACATGGTCGGGTATCGATGGTCCCGGAAACCAGGATCGGCGTGCGGTCGCAAAGAGACCTGCGTTGTCACGGAAGTCAAACTCAAACATGCAAAGACGTACGGCCACTGGTTTGGTGAGGCCAAGAAGGAGGAAACAGGTCCCAAGGATGTGACAGGTATGAGACGTCTACACAGACAGAGCCAATCCAGCAGCCAATGCTTCGAGGCTTTATCTATCCAGGCATAGGCCTGTGCTACGGGGATACGGGGAAGTGCGCCAGCACAACAAAGACAACAGGAGAGTTTGGAGAGGGCAAGTACTGCATGGCAAATGACACGGTGAGGCCTTTGCAAATGACACGGGAAGGCCTGTGCAACAGCAACGTCTGCTGCCTCCTTGTACAGATGGTTGCGGTCACGGACAACTTTGAGGCCTTCGAATCCCAAGGTTCTGAACCTTTCTTTGCATCTTGGGATTACAGTCATGTCTACTTCCCAGGCCATGAAAGTACGTCTGTTTGGTGAATGAGGAGCCATAGTTCAATGATGCTTGTCCCTGCTTGCAGAGTACAAGCAGCCGCCCAGCAGTTGACTCGCGGCCACGAAATGAGACACTTTATCTGTCAGCCATTCACGCCCAAGAGGACATTTCATATCCATGTCCACTGACTGAGATTCAGTTAATTTGCACGATGATTTCCATTCCCATCGTGCATGAGGAAACCATGAAAAGTCAGGGACTCGCTTAATGAGGTGTTCGGAAGCCTTCCGATCATATCTCCGTGGCGGGGACGATTGGCCCAGCTGGCTGCGTAGACAGACATGCGCACGCCGGCCGGCAACGATCGACTCAATCCACATACATACACACATACATGGTTTGAAGGCAAACTCAAAATGAAGGCACTTGGCCAGCTAGAATCCATCCTCACTCTCTACACGCCCCCGCACACCATTTACGTGCACGTCAGTCAGAACCGCAGCCCGAGAATCTTGTTGGCTGGATCTTGTCTGAACGGGGCCGCCTTGACGCCTTCGCTCAGCCTGTGCTCGCTGTACATCCGCAATATAAACTGCCCCGCCCTTCGAGACCGGTAGTGGTCCACCTGACATACACGCAGTGATGCAAACACGGTGGATGATACGTGGATGTGTCTCACCAGCTTCTTGTAAGTGCTGGGAACGATCGCGTCAGTGCCGATGATGGTCTGCAGCTCCGTCGGCCGCACCAGCAATGCGGCCATGGACGCGAAACAGATATCGGCGGCCGTCATCCTCTCACCAAACAGATAGGAACGGCCATCACTACCGCGCAACACAACCCCGCAATACGACACGTGAACACTTAGACGTCTTCGATCGGTACCTGAGTCTCTGTTCGACGTCATCCAGCACTCGTTCGATATCCCTCTGGTACTCGCCGACACGCGACACCACCATCCCGCCCCTTTTGATCAGACGTGAGAACTGATGCAGCAGCGACACACCGGAGGCGGCTCATTCGGCCAAGCAGCTGTATGTGGCGCGGCTTACGAAGAACATGGTGATGGGCAAGAGGATGTTCTCGATGATGCTGTTCTGTCCGAAGTAAAGCCGCGCCAGCAGCGACTGGGTCCACAGGTTGTCACAATAGACTGCACACATACACACACGCACACACGGACGCATCAGCCTCACATAATTCCCTCCTTCGCTGCCTTCTCCGGACTGACTGACTGACCAGCATAGAACATGCGCCGTATGGCCACGGCCATTGTGGTGTTGCACGCCTCCTCGAAGGCCTTGATGGCCTCCCGCTGCTCGGGCGGGTAGAGCTCCAGCGACGGATGGGCGGCTGCAATGTGGTCAGCGATTTCAGACGAGTCCGTAATGACCTTCCCCTCACCCAAGACCAGCACCGGCACAGACGTCGACCCACCTGCATCCATCGACATGTGTGTATGTCGGCCCTTGCCTCCCTCTTTGTCTGTCTTTCTCACCTTGTGTGGCCTCGGCCGTGAAGTGCGAGTGGATGAGGGGCATGTGAGCGTCCTCCACGTAAGGCGTGCCGCTCATGTCCAGCACCCACCTCGCCTTCTCGCAGAAGTGGCTGTTCCCCACTGTGATGAGGCGGGCCGTGGGTGCTTTGCCTTTGACACGACCCACACCGCGGAAACAGCTGAGCAGCCATCGAATCAAAGGGCCGAAGAAGCCCTTCTTGCCAGCCATCCTGAGATCCCTCGGGTGGCGACAGAGATGGATCAACGAAGAAAACAGCGTGTGATTCAGCTGAGAGTTAAAACAGCGTAACTGCATACACAACGAACACAACTGCATTCATCTCGCAGAGGAATCTTTCGGGTCGCTCAGCTCGCAGAGGCTAGGCATTCCGTGAAACCACTCTCTCTCTCTCTCTCTGAGACTGAAGAAGAATGGAAGAGGGCGCTTCATTGCTATGCCTGCTATGCGTCATCTGCCTCCACATACATCTATGTGTCAGCACATCTCCTCTTCGCCGTCCCCTCTTCGTGCGCCCACCATGCGCCAGCCACCGCTCGCACACGCGACGGAAAGGCGACAGCATGCTCTGGAGAGCGTCAGCGACCGCAATCTCCCGCCCGCCAGTGGCTGCAAGCACTCAGCCGGTCGGCATCTTGCGGCGACTGCGGCAGTCTTGGAGCAAGGATGGCGAGGGAGGAGGGCAGATCTATCGCTACGACATGGATGCGTATCGTCGTGGGTTTGTGAATGCACGGGAGGTGTCGCCCTGTCAGCTAAATGGCACTGTCCCAGCTGACATCAAGGTACGCCAACACTGACACGGTCAAGCAGCCGACCGACATTCAATCGCCGATGGATGGATGGCCTGCCTTTGCGTGTGTGTTTGTGTGCAATCGTTCGTCAGGGCACATACTTTCGTAACGGGCACGGCAAGTTCCAAATAGGCGAGGATCTGGTGCTGCATCCCTTCGATGGCGATGGGATGGTGGCTGCCATCACTTTCAGCAACGGACGGGCCTACTTCCGCAGCCAGTATGTCAAGACCAAAGGATATGTCAAGGAGCAGAAGGAGGGGCGCATCTGCTTCAGGTGCGGCAGCACGCAAGACACACAAGGAACCTATGTGTGTTTACGTGGATGGCCGCGTGTGATGTGACGCAGGGGTGTGTTTGGGACGGCCAAGAGGGGCGGCTGGCTGCGGAGTTTCCTCGATCTTCGCGTCAAGAATGTGGCCAATACAGGCGTCCTCTGGTGGAACAGAAAACTGCTCGCACTCTGGTACCCACCACCACGCCAAGCCAGCCGATACACACCACATAAGCCTACAGACACACACGTGTGCACCCATCCATTCATTCATGTGTGCAGGGAGCAGGGCCGCCCCTATGCGCTGGACCCGATCTCTCTGTCCACTCTGCGTGAAAGCAGCCTGAACGGTCTGCTCAAGAGGGGCGGGGTGATGGCGGCACACTACAAGATCGATCCCAAGACCAATTGTCTGGTGGCCTTTGGCTGCCAGATACGGCCTGTCAGCTCAAAGGTAACCCGACCGTACCGGGGGGCGTGGTCACACCAGAATGTGTGCGCCTTGTGCTGCCTGTATGCAGGTGTCTGTGTGGGAGTTTGATCCGTCCTTCAAGCTGCTGAAGCAGCGGTCCTTCCGCATGCCCGGCCTGGCATTCCTGCACGACTTCGCAATCACAGACAAGTATATATGACATGACACACACCTAGCGACCGACATCACACGTTCCAATCTTCTCTCTCTGTCTGTGTGTCAGTTACTATTTGTTCATCCAGCCGCCGTTGTCGCTGCACCCCCTCCCCTGGCTGCTCGGCAAGTGCGGCATCGGACAGGCACTCTCATTCCATCCCGACAGACCGGCACGCCTCTACATCGTGCCCAGAAACAGGGAGCAGCAGCGGCAGCCGCACACCACCACAGGCGGCAGGAGGTGGCTCGGGTGGGCGTCGTGTGTGTGGATGGCGCTGGGCGTGTGGATGGCCAAGGGCAAGAGGAGGGAAAGGGCTGACGGCATCAGGTGTGTTGACCTGGACCCGTTCTTCATTTTCCACTTTGCCAACGCATACGAGGAAGAGAATGGTCAGCCACACAACACGACACGACACGACGCGACACGATCCCCGCACGCGCACCCGTGTGCGTCATTCCGTGTTTCATCAGGTAACCTGGTGATCGATATCGACCGCTCTGAGCGCTACACCTTCGACCTGACCCTCCGGACGGCCAGCAACCCGCACCCCATCCCCAAACACACCCCTATCTGGCTCTTCGACCAAGTCGAGAAGAAGATTCCCAAGATCGAGCTCTTCCGGTACCGCATCACCACGAGCGGCAGCGGCCGGCCGCTCGCATACGACAAGCGGCCCCTGCTGAAGCGCTTCACCGAGTTCCCCGTCATCAATCCGGCCAACGTTGGGCAGAGATATCGGTATGTCTACGGCCTGGCTGGGGGCGACCCGAGTGAGAGTGCGCCGCTGCAGGGGATCCTCAAGCTCGATGTGGAGACCAAGGAAGCGTCCTACTGGTTCCCCGATGCCCATGAGTTCTGCGGCGAGCCTTGCTTCATACCGAGAAAGACTAGCCCGCGAGAGACGCATCCCTACCATTCTTCTGACCCGCCTCCATCCAGCGCCACGCAGCCGCCATTACTCAAGGCGGGGGCGAGGAGGAATGGGCGGCGATCGTCGGGGCTGTTCTACTCTGCCTCTGTGTCGCCGGCTGTCCCCACACTGACACACAGACGGCTGGTGGAGAGGGGACGGGGTGGGAGGGAGCAGGGCCAAGGTAGTGGATATGGCCATGGCGAGGAAGAAGATGAGGGCTACCTGCTGTCGCTGCTCTTCAACGGCAAGAACATGACATCAGAGGTGAGATACGATATAGACCATACCTGACCTGCGCTTTCCCGTTTGATTGACCTCACGGATCCGTGTCTGTGTGTCCAGGTGGTGTTGTTCGATGCCCAGTTCACCTCGAGTGGCCCCATCGCGCGGCTGCCGCTGCCCTCGTTCGTCCCCCACGGCCTCCATGGCGCGTTTTGTCCTAACGCTGACTTCGCCATGACCCAGGTGCGGTGCGCACACCCCGCCCGGCATCCAGAAGCACTGTCAGTGCCTCTCTCTGGCTGCGTGTGGGTGATATGCAGGCCTCTGGTGGCGAGGTGATGAGTGAGCACTACAGCAGGGCGGAGTGGCGTCGTGTCTTGGGTTTTGCGTGGCTTTACATCACCTCCCTCGCCAAGGCCGCACCCCTGCCACACTGACCTGGCTGATCGACGCAATGACTGACTGACTTGTGTGCCCTGTGGTTGTTCTGCCCAGCTGGTGAAGAGTGCAGATATGTCGTCTTGATTGCGCTGTTTTCTGGTATCTAATGCTGATCGTGGGTGGGTGGAGTGAAGTGCACGAAGGAAGTGTCGTGGTGTGTCTGCTTCATTACCGTGAAGCCGCTCCTTCTATCCAGCTAGCTGGGATGGCGCTGCTTGGGCAGGCAGTGTATGTGTGTTGGCGGGAGTTTAAGGGACGTAGCGTAGCGTAGCGTAGCGTAGCGCAGCGATAAGTAAGTAGCGCGTCGTGGGGTGAGCGGCATTCATTCGCGCAGTGTCTGTCTGTCAATATGTGTGTATGCTTTGCGTAGTCGTGCTGTCAGCCAGTCGGTCTGCTGTCGCGTGTACAGACAGCATCCTTCAGGTATCTATCGTATTGATTGCGTGGCCCATCCTGCCTGCAATCTTGTTTGTACAGACAGACCGTGACCGATCGATGCCTTCTGGCACGCCAGCCACACGTGCAGGCAGACAAACACTTTGGTGTATGTGGACGTACGTACGTACGTCAATCTATCTACTGCTAAGGGTTGCTCCAGCCGGTTAGGAAAATTCATCCAAACGACCAGAAAACGGCAAGACTGCCGCACTCGCTCACCACACAAGAACAAGACGGCGCGGCGGCATCCGCATATCGATCGAATCAAGTGAGTCACCGTGCCATGCGCCGCTCTTGTGCACGCGATAGATAATCCTTGAGTGAAAGCGCCGAGGCACCTGCATACACACACACAGACACAGACACTCACGTGTATACAAGAGTGTCCACGGTGCAGGCCTCTCTCTGTGTGTCGTGTCTGTGGTCATCCATCCTGTCAATCCGATGAGCCCTGGCGATGATCCCATTGCCCTCGGCGGCCCTCACACTCGTCCGATCCGATGCACACACACAGACACAGACGGGAACCGACAGCCAGGTCCGTGAGGTAGCTACTCGGCCGCATCGCCTCTCTCCTCGTGTGTGTGTGTGTAATTGAATTGGCTTACCGCCATTTGATTCGACGGGTTTCATTCTCAGGTCGCCGTGCCCTTTGTCAGGTGGCCGACGAGCACCACTCGCCACAACTACACACACCAAGTGCCATTCATGCAGCCTTTTATGTGGGTGGGTGGGGTGGCGTACTGCACTCGGGCGGCACCTGATGTCCCTCAGAAGGGAGGGCATCACGTCGTGACGTCAATCACACCTGACGGCCACACCACACCCACACGCAGCGACTTCAGTGCATCTCTAATGCGCTGGCCGTCGTCTCTGTGTATAGTTACCATTTGCTGCCGATCAGTGGGCGGCCTGCCATCTCTATGGCGCCGACTCTCATTGACTCGCAGTGCCGCCGATGTATCAGAAGCCGCCAGACGGGCCTGCCGGGTTTCTGATATGAACCAACACAGCGCAACACACAACAGTCCTGGTTCATTCCTTTGCCAGTGAGTGCATTCCCTCCCTCTCTCCCAATCTGTGTGTGTCTGCTGACCTCTGTCTCATGAAGGCTGTCGAGTGCCCCCGACGGGACGGGACGGCCATCCCCCCACCCACACACAAGTAAGTACACACATCACATCCACGTTTGTGTCAGGTCAGGTTGGGCTGAGCTGGCTGACTGGTCTGTCTGTCTGTCTGTCTGTCGTGGTTCTTTCTGCGTGTGCACACCGACACAGCCATGCTGCCCACACCACGCACACGCACACGCACATGGCCTGCCTGGGAACCTTCCTCCCTCACTCTCTGTCTGCCTGTCTGCCGGTCAGCAAGTGAGTCTTAAGGTAAGTCCTGTACTCATTATCAAGCCAGTCAGTCAGCTAGGTAGCGGCCGCCATCCTTGGCGCGCCAATGAAATGACAGCCCCCTTCGCTTTGGTGTGGTGTGTATTCCTTTGACTGACCGATCCGCACTCACACGTTGCGTTGCGCACACCCTTCAAAACTCTTCAAACCTGTTCTCTCTACCCCTCCCTCGCACACACACAGACACACGTATGCAGACAGGCAGGCAGGCAGGAAACAGATAACGGCAAAACAGGAACAATAGCCGTCAGTCAATCAATCATCATCCCAAAACGGACAAAGAGGGAGAGGGCTACTGACTGAGTCAGTGGGAATACACCGACAGCCAGCTTGCCCGTCCGTACTCGCCTGACTCAATTCACTGGCGCACTCCCAGGCAGACAGACAGACAGACAGACACAGACTGACCGGAAGGAAAAGCGTCCGGGACGTGTGTGCGCAGTCAGTCCGCTGACCAACGCGTCAAGAGAGCAGCCAGCTCATATGCAATTCCCACACAAATACTCCACCCACCCGTTTCTCTCTCTCTCTCTCTCGCTCTCTCTCTCTCTGTGTGTGTGTCTCTGTCTCTCTGCAACGTACTTACTCATCCAGGCCCACCACGCCAATAGTGGCACGACATAAGGCCGTCAAAGAAGGCACCATGCACTCACTGCAAGCACCCACCCGCAGCCGCACTCACCCGCTATCACGCCGACTTATCCCAGCTCATAATCCTCCCCCTGCTGCTGCATCTCATCGGTGTCATCTCGCTCGTCCCGCTCACGGTCTCGATCACGGCCCCTCTGGCTCTTCCTCTCCCTCTCCTGCCGTCTCCGCACACGCAGAGAGACAGAGAGGGAGAACAGACAGACGTGGTCACGCACACACACACCAAGTAACAGCACATCCAGGGGTGCAGACACAGAAAAGTCGTACCAATGACGGGAGCCTCTCGGTGGGTATGCGCGCGGCCGCCTCGTACACCCGAGCAACGATGCTCTCACTGCTGCTGACGTCCTCACCACCCTCACCCCGACTTCCACCACCAGCACCACCCTCTCGCCGCGGGCGTGTGTGAAGGGGTGTGTGCCCTCGAGGACCTGCTGCACGTTGAGCTGGCCGGTCTGGTGGATGGCGTGGCGAATCAGGGCGATGTCTGCGGGGTCGATGGCGGCGTCACTATGTGAGAGGCGTGTGACGGCCTGCTCGAGGTGGTCCTGCAGCCGACGCAGCTCCGTGAATTCACACTGAAGGCCGTTATAGATCACGACACAGACAGACAGACAAAGAGATATAATCTGCCGGTCTGTGTGGATGTGATTGACGTGGCTGTGTTGGTGCCTGCTCTTCAAGGAGTGGTTACTTACCGCTTCGGCCTTCTCGCAAATTCGCTGGCACTGTCTGTTGCCGTAGAAGGGCCGAAGCAGAGGCCTGCAACACACCACACAGACACCAATACAAGAATGACCCCTGTCTTGACTCCTTTCTCTCTCTGTGTGCAGCCCACCCTCTCACGCACCTGTCATGCTGGTCCATGGCCGTCATGAAGTGCCGCACGATGGCCAGCGAGACGGTCGACGACTCTGGGACACACACACACACACACACCGCATAGACATCAATGAATGCACTCAGATTGAGGAGGTGGATGTCAGGTCTGTGGGTGTGCAGTGAGCGTGTGTGTGTGTGTGTGTGTGGACAGGTCAGCACAGGTCACTCCCTCTTCCTCCCTCTCTCCCTCTCAGGTTGCCTGTCTGTCTGTCTGTCTGTCTGCACGACCGCCCCGCCCCGCCCCGCAGGGCACCACGACTCAGTCCGTGTGAAATCGTTTGTTGATGAGTGAGTGAATGAGTCACTGGATGGAGGGATGCAGCCCGTCAAGTCAGGCTATCCGATCCAATCCGATTCCCCGCCCCGCCAGCACTCCCGCAATAATTCCAAACTGCTCAACCAACCACGCGTATGCATGTGTCTATGGGTGTATGGGAGTGCATGCGTATGTGGAAAAACGAAATGCCCTCTCCTCCCCCCCTCCCTCCCTCCCTCCCTCCCGGCTTAAGAAAATCAGACAGATCGATTGGCACGCAACGCCCCTTTCCCCCCTGCCCCTGCCCCTCCCCTCCCTCCATGCACACGAAGTCACGAAGATGGCATTGTGCGAATGTGCCCTCTCCCTCCCTCCCCCCCTCCCTCCCTCCCGGCTTTAAAAAATCAGACAGATGGATGGGCAGCTACGCCCACCCTGCCCCTGCCCCTGCCCCTCCCCTCTCTCCATGCACACGCAGTCACGAATATATGGGCTATGTGTATATGTGTGTATGTGTGTATGTGTGTGTGAGGGAGGGAGAGTAGAGCCACAGAGAGAGAGGGGGCTGGGGGGGATGGGGGTGATGGGGGTTGGGGGTCGGCCAGGCCACTTAGTCCACGTCACTCACGACACGACAGGGCACACGTCATCAAACACCACACCAACCCGCCCAGCCAGTCAGTCCGCCCAGTGGCCAGCCAGCAGCCAGTCCGTCAGTCTTTCAGCCAATCATCCGGTGTGTCACTCACTGGCTCTCCCCCTCCACTCCACGCCATCCATGTCTGCAGCAGGTAAGTAAGGTACGCCCACCATGCACCGACGCACGAGAGAGACGAGACACCCACCATACCATGCACCCATGAACGCATCCCACCCATAACGGCAGGCAGGCAGGCAGCTCGACCAACCAAGGAAGGAATCAGCCGACCGACTGACGGACCGACCGACCGACCACTGGGCAGCTCTCTAGGCGTGCCGTGGCGTGTCTGTCGTCTGTCTGTCTTGTCTGTCTTGTCTGTCTGTGTGGCCTCCCAGCTATCAGATTGCTACATCCGTCCACCACCACGACGCCCCCACCCCATCAGCACACGACGGACAAGCCACTCACGCACACCTCACTCACGCACCCGCCGCAGCCGCACCGCCCTGCACCGCATCCATGGTCGGCCGGTCGGTCAGTCAGGCCGCTTGCGTTTCTTCCGGTGGTTGTCCTCGGGGTTGGCCTTGCAAGCATTGCGGCTGCGGGGTTGGTAGCGCGGCTTGTCTGCCTCGCCTGCACGCCAAACATATCACGAGATAGACACACGGCAAGAGGCGAGACGAGGTAATGGTTGCTGCGTTGTCGTGGCGGTGGTCGTGGTGGTGGTGGTTGTGTGTCTCTTACGTGTGATCTTCTTGGCCTCGTGTGCGGCGAGTGGTTTGGCGGCGGCAGCAGCAGCAGCAGAGGTGGCGGCACCCTTCTTGCCTGCATGACAGAACACACAACACAGCACAGCACAATGGTGACCGCACCCACTCACAAACCCCCCCTCTCTCTCCTTGTCTGTCTGTCTGTCTGTCTGTCTGTCCTGTTCCCCCTCCCTCCCGCCCGCCCTCGCTTACGTTGCGGTTTCTTGGCTTTCGGCTTTGGCTTGGGCTTGGCCTTGCCCTTGGGGGGGTCCGCCTTCTGCTTGGCCTTGGCTGCAGTCACACCACACAAACCAAGGACGCACTCACGTGTGTGAGGGAGTAGGTCGTGGGTTGTAGGTCGAGTGGGGGCGCACCTTTGGCCTTGGGTTTGGCCTTGCCCTTGGCCGCCGCCTTGGGCTTCTTGGTGATGGGCTTGCGAACGCTCTGCGCGCGCAGGGATACAGGCAGGTCAACACACCACACACAACAGGACAACATAACATGTGCCTTCATGGCCCCTGTGGCATGGTGTGGCGGATGTGCGTGTGTCCATGTGTGTGCGTCCGTACCGCCTTGGCCTTGGGCTTGGCGGCAGCCGTCTTGGGTTTGGCCACAGCGCGGGTCTTCTTGACAGCCTTGGCCTTGGTCTTGGCAGCCTTGGGCTTGGCGGCTGTCCTGGCGGTCTTCGTGCGGCGTGGCTCCTCGGGCTCGTCGACGGTGCCCTTGCGCTTCTCGCCGCGGCTGCTGGCCGCCTTCTGCCGCTTGGTGGGCCGTCTAGGGCCCAGAGACTGCGGCGCCTTGCGCTTGACACAAGTCTTCGGGCCCTCCCCTTCCTTCTTGACGGCCGCCCCCTCCCCCTTGGTCTGCGCCCTAGTTAGGGGGCGATGGGCAGTAGAGGGGGCAGCGGGGGCTGGTGGTGGTGGTGGGAGCAGTGGAGGTGGTGGGCCAGGGGGAGGCGCAGGGAGCGGTGGCTGCTCCTCCTCCTCCTCGACAGGGGGGGCCGGTGGCTGCTCGTCCTCGGCAGCATCGGGGGGGAGTGCCTCCTCGACAGGGGGGGCCGGTGGCAGCATCGGGGGGGAGTGCCTCCTCGACAGGGGGGGCCGGTGGCTGCTCGTCCTCGGCAGCATCGAGGGGGAGTGCCTCCTCGACAGGGGGGGCCGGTGGCTGCTCGTCCTCGGCAGCATCGGGGGCAGGGTGGTCCTCCTCCTTGTCCCTCCTGAGCTTCTTCTTGTCACTGCCCCCCTTGCCGCCCTTCTCTCTCTTGCGCTTGGGGCGGGATGGCGGCGTGGGTGGCTCAACTTGGGCAGCGGCGGCGGGGAGGTGCTCGTCCTCTACCGGCTCTTCCTTGATGGTGTGCAGCGCGTAAAAGCCGTCATCGTCATCGGCTTCAAGGTTGCGGCTGAGGGGGACCAGCCCACCCCTGGCGTGTTTCGCCTCCATGTGTCGTCTCTGCTTCCTGCGCCGCTGGTCGCGCGCCGGTTGACGACGTGCACGTGAGTTGAGGCCGTCGGCCGCAGACAGGCCCTCAGACATGGTCGACTCGGCCTTGCGCGCAGGGGAGTCGCCACGGGAGGTAAGGGCTTTCCGCGCTGCTGCTGCCGCCGCCTCCATTCTCACCTTTGCCGACTTCGGCATGTCCTTGGGTGGTGGGGGTGGGGGTGCGGCGCCTGTGAGATGGCTGAGGGCGGCTTGGGCCTCGCCGTCACGCAACGACGCCTGCATCGCATCCATCGCGATCATACACAGAACGAGAGAAAGGTTGTTTGTGTGTCCGTGTATTGTCTGGCCTGCTCTCTCCTGCTGGCTGACTGACCTTGGGGCGGACACATATGTTGGGAGCGTTTGTGTCGGGTTTCAAAACGAGGCCCATGGCGCGGGGGTCGAACTCTAGTCGGTCGTTGCTGAGTCCAGCCGTTTCCTGCCTGGTGCGGCCTCGCTTTTTGTCGTGGAGGTCGGGGCGGCAGTCGCGGTTGACCAGGCCCTTGTGCCGGTACTCCTTCTGGTCACTTATTGACCTGACCGTCCACACAACACAAAGAGGCGGCTGAGTGCGTCAGTGTTCCCCTCTCCCCCCCCGCCCCTTCCTCTCTCTTTCGTCAAGACGCACCTGCGCTCCTTGGCCTCAGGAGGTGTGTGTTCTGGGCAGTAGACGGCCACCTGCAGCTTGGGAAACGCCTTGTCAGGCATCCCCTGCCACGTCATGAAGTGCTCAGTTAACGCCTCCTGGTCGACACGCGCACGCCACTGCTTGTTGGACTCGTCGGGCTGCTGCACGGGGCCCATGAGGGCTGCGCGGCAGAAGAGGCCCTCGTACCACGCACACATGGGGTGGAAGGACTTGTCGCAGCAGGGGGAGCCGTCGGCGGGGATGTGACTGCACGGGACTGTGAAACCTGCACACATTCACAGAAATGGATGGATGGATGGAGGGGGGCATGCATCGTGTGTGGTGGGGAGTGCTAGTGGTGGGGGGGGTGGGGGGGGGAAGGTGGCTCGCTGACTCACTTACCCCCAGAGCGGTTGCAGATGCAGCAGGTCTTGCCGGCGCGTTCGGGCTTGATATGGGTGAGGTCCCACCCCTCGTATGTGAGCATTTTGCGGCAGGTGATGCCGTAGGGCAGCAGCCAGACGGCACAGGTCACGTGCACCCACCGGTTGTCGGTGGTCTTCTTGAGCGCGCCGCCCGGCCACCCGCATATCGCGCACTTTTGGGAGCGAGGGATGAAGATGTGCCGCTTCTTTTTCATCTCTGCCTGGCACCGGTCGCAGTACCAGAGCTGGTTCTCCTGGGGCTCCTTGAACTTCGTCTGGCGGGCGGCTGATGGATGGATGGATGACACCACACAGACAGACAGACAGACAGTATGTCCATTGGTCTCTCCCTCCCTCTCACTCACTCTCCTTGTTTGTCTCACCTGCATAGCAGTTCTTGTGCACCGTGACAAAGCACCTCTGGCACTCCTTGATTTCGTTGAGGCTGTCCCCGCCGGCACCGAAACACACACTGCACACAACACATTACACACAACACACACTCAGAGGCACTGCACCATCCCCCCACCAGAACTCACAACCCCCTCCCTCCCTGTCCCTCTCGCCCACCTGCAGAACTGTTGTTCTTGCTTTTTCTTCTTCTCCTTCTTCTGCTTCTCCTTCTCATTGACGTTTGCCTCGCCAGACCCCTCACCACCAGCCCCCGGCTTGTCCTGCCCAGACACACCCGTATCACCACTGGCGGCAGCTGCTGCTGCAGATGACGACCCCGCGGCATCACTGTGTCCATGGCCATGCTGCCCATGCCCGCGTGTGTTGTGCCCGTGGGTGTGGTGGGATGGCGACCCTGCTCCTGCACTGGCTGCTGCTGCGGCGGCCGCGGCTGGCTGGCTCTGTCCTTGCGGCGTGTCAGGGGGCTTGTTGCTTT